GGGAGCAACCTACATGGTGTAGCAGACCTCTCCTGTCTTGCCCGCTGCTCCCTTCAGCAGTGTATTTCAGTTAATCTGCCTGTTCTGCTCCCAACTCTGTCTCCGGTGAGTCCTCTCAACCCCCTCTCCCCAGCTACCCCAACTCTGGCCTGTACCCCCAGCTCTTGTATGCATAAATAAACATTTTTTTTTAAAAGAATAAGAAAGTGCTGACCTCTAAAGAGCTTTTTTTCACACTGCGAAGCGATCCTCATTCTTGTTCCTGGTTTCCAGCTTCAGGCCCCCAGGAACCAACCAGAGCTGCTCCATCTGTTTCATATGCCGCCACCTTGAGGCGGGAGTGTGCAGTTACATCACTATGTATCAGGCTCAGCTCTCACCCTCTTGCAAGGGAAAATCACCCTAAGCCCAGAAAGTTTAGATCTAGGTCCAACTTTAATGACATTTAAATATGGTAGGCAGATTCTCTTCACATCAGCTGAAGTCAAGCAAAAGAAAGAAAGATTTGGGCCTCCCCGGTGGCGCAGCGGTTGAGCGCTGGGTTGCGAAGCTGCCCGCGGCCTCTGCGGCGCCGGTTCGATCCCCGGCTGCTCCCCGGCCACCGGAGGAGGGTCCCACATGGCGCGCAGACCTCTCCTGCCGCCCGCTGCCCCCCTCAGCAGTGTACTTCGGTCCTTCTGCCTGCTCTGCTCCCCACTCTGGCTCTGGTGAATTCTCTCACCCTCCCGCGCTTCTGACTGTACCCAGTGCATGTATAAACAAAACAAACAAATAAAATAAATAAATAAAGCATGCCTCTATTTAAAAAAAAAAAAAAAAAAAAAAAAAAGAAAGATTTGGCACTCATTTCACAATCAATCAGGTTTATTCCTTCACTGGCGTTTTCTTCCTAATCTGTAAAAGGCTTCAGAAACAGAAGTTTATTCATTTTTACTTCCCTCACGGAGCCTTATATACACTGCTGGTGTTAAAAAACAAATCTCTGCTTAGTGCATTTATATTTAGGTGATAGCTTTTAGCAAGTTTGTTTAAAGCTCCAAAACCATTTTGTGACTTTTTTGAAAAGTGAAAATAGAAAAACATCACCCATAATCCTAACACCTGTAGTCATTGATATTTAGCAAACAACTGCAAAAGAAGTAAACTTGCTTATATGCTCCATGGAAATCACCATATAAAATCACTGAGTACTAGTTAATAATATGGAAAAAGATTTTGAGGTTAAGTGAAAATTGCATTAGTTTGATACTGGTAAAAGTAACAGAGAACCCAACTCAAATGAGCTTAAATGGAGAAGTATTGGCTTATGCAAGTTCAGAGAGAGTTGGGATCAGGACACAGTGTGTTCAGAGCTTTACTCCTGAAAGGCTTCTACTGTCTTGGCACCAGGATATTGAAATGGGGGCGGGGGCATTGCGGGAAAAGGCCGATAGCCACAGAGCTGGCAGGCATGACTTAGCATCCACAGGAGAGGTGTGGGAAAGAACAGCACCTATGGTCACTTCACACCTCTGAGTGACAAAAGGGGGTGATGAGGCAAAGCAGTGCAGTGGAAAAGTACCCCAAAGTAGAAAAAAGCCCCTGGAAGCTTTTAAGAGTGGTGGGGTCCCCAAAAGCACCTATATAAAGGAAACCTACCTCCCTCAGAAATGGGCTCCTCCCTCAGACTCCCTCCTGCTCTCAGGAGTCTTTCTTGGAATAATCCTGAGTTTGCTAGTCTTCAGGCCGGGTGTTGGTGAAAATTCTTCAACCTCTAGAACACAAGAACCCAGCTGATTGGCAACAATATCAGCTAGAAAAGATCTAGGTACCACAGGTGTCCTCACGCCTGGACAATTAAACCCAAAGCAAAATCTCCCAGTAACTAGCCAAATACGTATGCAGAGCCATTATTACTCTGCCTTTCTATCTCTTCACTCTTCGACATGACTAGTTAAGCAGCTTGCATTTGAGGAAAACTTGTACACAAAAGAAAAAGATGAATAGGGTTTCCCTGGCGGCACAGGGAGTAAGACGCAACCTATAAAGCTATCTGCAGCCTCTGTCCCCGGCTGGGTCCCGGCCAGGAAACAACCCACATGGCACAGCAGACTCTCCTGACTCGCCCACTGCTCCCCTCAGCAGTGTATTTCAGTCAGTCTGCCTGTTCTGTTCCCCATTCTGTCTCTGGTGAATCCTCTCACCCCCCCCCACCTCTGGCCTGTACCCCCATTCTTGTATGCATAAATAAATCTTTTTTCAAAAAAGAAGAAAAAGATAAATATAAGGGGCAGGAAATCACCCCAGTGGGAACAGAGATGATTCAGGAAAGGGGAAAAAATTCAAAATCGCACAATTATCATTTTCAGTCACTGCAAAGAAAGAAAATACTTAGATATAATTTTTTTGAGTTATTTATAAAGATGACATTCATGTAATTTAAAATAAAGTATCTTTAAGTGAACATTTCAGTAGCATTTACAACAATCACTATGTTGGACAACCACCATCTCTATCTGATTCTGAAACATTTCCATCATTTCAAAGTAAAATCCCCTCCCCATTAAGCTTTTCTCCCATTCCCTTTCCCCTTAGGCCCAGGGAACCACCAATATGCATTCTATCTCTATGAACCTATCTGTTCTGGAATCACAAAATGTGATCTTTGGTGTCTTATTTCTTTAGCTTAGTATAATGTTTTAGGGGTCCACCCATGTAGCACACATCAGCACTTTTATATGACTGAGTAATATTCCACTGTATTTATATAGGGCAATTTGTATAGCTGTTAATCTGCTGATGGACAGTGGGGCTAGTTCTACCTCTTTGCAATAGCGACTAGTGCTGCTTTGAACATGTGTGTGCAAATGCTTGTTTTAGTCTTGTGTTTTAAACTCTTTTCAGTATATAATTTGGACTAGAATTATATACTGTTAATCCTACATTTAATCTTTTGAGAAAATACCAGTGTTTTTCATTGTGGTTGAACCATTTTGTATTCCACCAGCAAAGTACAAGAGTTACAGTTTCCCTATACCCTTGCCAATGCTTGTTATTTTTATCATTATTGTATCCCAGTCAATGTGAAGTGGTATTTCATTGTGGTTTGATTTGCATTCCTTTAATGATTAGCATATAATGATCTTTTCATGTTTGTGGGACACTTGTGTATCTCCTTTGGAGAAATGGTTATCTAATCCCATGTCCATTATTTTAGTGGGGCTATTTGTTTTGTTATTACTGTTGAGTTTGTAGGTGAACTGAACAAGTAGCTCATTGCCAGTTAGCTCCCACAAAGGGGGGAAAATGGACTTCTGGAATCAAATTACAAAAATTAGAAACAATAGAAAAAGTGATAAGCAATGCTATGAACTACTTAGCCAGTGAGCTTAGATGAAATTCCTAGATCCAAATTACCAACACTTACTTGAGAAAAGATAGACAATCTGAATAAACCCTGAAGAAGCAAAAATATTGAACTAGTAACCAAAAAAACTACCCACAAAGAAAATTCTAGGCCCAAATGGCTTCCCTACTGAATTCAACCAAACATTTAAGAAATACCTATTCTTTACAAACTCTTCCAAAAGTTAAAAGAGGAAATACAACTCACCGACAAATCCTTTGAGAAGGAAGCTACCAATACCATAAGAAACCAAACCTAGGTACAGTAAAGAATTTAACCTTACTCCAAAAAAGGGACACAATGTTATAAACATAGGCACTGGAGCAGAATAAAACTGTTTGGTGGTCAGGGATGCGCTGAGAGATGAGTCACAGAGCAGGTTTGCAAGGCAAGTCACTGCTCTTCAGTGAGCAGCCCTCTTGCTATTTGTTAAGTAATAGTGAACAAGCATGATTATTACAATGGCAGAAGCAGGGTCCAGGGGATACAAAGGGTATTCATCTTATGGGGGGCAGGACTTCAAAGGGATCAAAGGGTAATAATTTTATGGGGAACAAGGGAAGACATGTCCTGCCACATGTGCAGGGAGTACTTCCCGTGCAGGTGCATGGTATAATTTTCGAGCTACTTCCAGAACGTCTCGGACCCTGACCACACAATCAATCAATGGCTACCTAGGTGTCCCCGGTCACCTCGTGACATGGGCCATTGTCTCAAGCAGTCATGAGGGAGTGCCTTATCCAAATCTGTCACGCACACATTGGTGCACGGAGAGGCCAAGTGCACACAGTGCAGAGGCCTTAAGTGGAAAGGAGGCCACAGACCTGGGATCAGTCCAATTTCTGTAAAAGTCTGGAATGTTGTTCATTTACCTGAGTTGCAGGTTCTTTATCTGTAACATGGAACTAGCAAAGGCTCCTAGGTATGTTGTGGGGATGAAATGAGGCAATGATTATAAAAATGTCCTTAAATAAACTAGAACTTCAGAAATGACAACTACTACAGAAAAACACACTTTTAAAGAAATTACCGTATCTCCTTTTCTAATGTCTCATTGTTAACATTATGAACAGATATATTCTTTTTTTTTTAAAGATTGATTTAAGCATACAAGAATGGGGGTACAGGCTAGAGGTGCGGGGGGTGAGAGGATTTACCAGAGACAGGGTGGGGAACAGAACAGGCAGACTGACTGAAACACACTGCTGAGGGGAGCAGCGGGCGAGTTCAGGAGATGTCTGCTGTGTCATGTGGGTTGCTCCCTGGCCGGGGACCCAAACTCGTGCTGCAGAGGCTGCGGTTAGCTTCATAGGTTGCGTCTTAACCCCTTACGCCACCAGGGAGGTCCCGAACAGATAAATTCTATGGTGTTTTGTTAAGTTATATAAGCAGGTGGAGTGAAATAAGCTCAGCTATGTGTCACTATCACTGGCAACATTAAAACTGATTTCCCCCCCAAAAAAATATATATATAAATGCAGAAGCAAATTATTTTAAAGACAAAAAACTCAGTATTGAGATTAAGAAAAAGACCCAAACATTAAGGATGAGATGGGGTATAACCAGAGACAAAATCAAATGCTATTAACAATTCCATAAATTTGAAAACCTTAATGAAAAAGTGTAGGAAAATAAAAAAATTGATATTCCACATGCAAGCATAAAATAAACCGAAAAATCACCAAACTATGTAATGTAGCACCAATCCCACTCTTTTCTAAGAAATTCTTTCAAGCTCTCATATTCTTTCAGGTAATACGTGTCTTATTTAAACTGTTTCAGAATATACAGCAAAATATGAACTTAATAATTTTACTATCTAAGTAACGATATCTCAATGAATTTTAGATTCCAAAAGGATTTCTGTATCAGCGCTGAGATACTATTTCAGCTATTGTTAACCAGAACCAAAGGGCAACATTATGAAGCTTCTGGGGTCTTCCATCTGGCAAACAGATGGTTCCTTAAAAGAAATGGAGACATAGGGCAATCTGGCCATGAAAGCAACAGCAGAGTAGAAAATGCACTTGGGGCGTAGGAGTCAGGAAATAAATAACACTTATTTTGGTTCTGCATAATTCAGAACCACCTTATAGCTGCTACTTCTCTAGGACCCCATTTCTTTACCTGTAAAGGAGGTGGAATAACTGCTCTATAAACTTTGGTCAGTTCCATAAATTCTAATTTAGAAGGGTCAATGAGAATACAATGAGACAGATACAAAAATATTTATGGCAACTTTATTAATAACCACAAACTGGAAACAACCAACATTTCCATTAATAATAGAATGGATTCTTAAGTTGTGGTGCAGACACAATGGAATACTACACAGAAGTAAAGAAAGAACTGCCGCTACAAAAAAACATGGACTTAGACATAACGCTGAACAAGACATAGTAGTACATACAACTATTAGATTTACATGAAGTTGTAAAACAAACAAAAGTAAACTATGGCAACAACGGACAGAATAGTGGTTATCTGTGTGTATGAAAGGCTTAAGAGCACCTACTTACGTGCTAGAAATGTTCAATATCTTGACCTAGGTGGTAGGTTCAAAAATGTATATAAAAATCTACTGAGGTACACTTAATACTTGCACTTTAATGTTTCACCCCAATAAAAAAGAAAAAAATGTATTTTTAAAGAAATCATATAAATGGATAGATATAACCAGGAATAACTGTTAATTATTAGTGTTGTTTTCCAAATGTACCTGGAAGGATTACACTCCTCCTTCAACTTCCGTGTGGCCATGTGATTTGTTTTGGTCAATTAAAGTGCTTTGAAGGGCCTATGGGTGATTTACCACTTTTTTCCCCACTTCTCAAAATGAGTAGCCACACCCTACATGGCATCTGATTGGCCTGAATCCCAGAATGAATACAACTTAGAGCAGGCTTCAGTGAACTTTCCTCTGTAAAGGATTTTAGACTGCACCATATGCTCTCCGTCACAACTACTCAATTCTCCCACTGGATAGCAAAAGCAGCCAGATAATAAATGGGGAAGGCTGTCTGCAATAAAACCGTATTTACAGAAACAGGGTAGTTTGCTGAGAGCTGTATTTTATCAATTCCTATCTAAGGCAAAATCCCTAACCAAATTAGGGATATGGTGATTTTTGTGGTTGTTACTAGTCTGTCCTGATACAGAAATTGGCCTAGTTGGCATTCAGGAATTTGCTATTGGAGGATAGAAGACATAACTTATGCACAGGCAAATCATGTTAAGGAGTGGTGCAACTGTCCCTTGAGAGAGCCTGGAAGACAGTGTCTATTACTATACAAACAAATTAATAAGACAAGAAAACAAAAATCTTATGGTTGCTGTTGGCTGCTTTTGACAAAATGTATAGGAAGAGATTAGTTCAGAAACAGAATTCATCAATTTGCAAACAGAAATGCCAGGGAATAAGAGATTTCGCAAATTCAGGTATTTACAGGGTAGAACGAGGCCACTATTCCATTATAGAAAGACAGAAACGAGAAATCCTTAAATCCAAAGGCTGAATAAAGCTCAGTTGTGTAGTATGGATCAAATCACTGGATGAGTACCATACCTATTAAGAGCTCTAAATGAGTTAATGTGCCTAAAATTTAAAATCCAACAATAAGACTACCAATATTTGGTCTCTTAAACTGGAAGTGGCTCAAGGAAAGAGATTAAAGGTGTGGCTTTCTCATGAAGCCTCAAAGATTCAGAAATTGAGAGGCATGTGAACAAGAAATAAAGTAAACCTAAAAAGTCCAACATTGACTAGATGTCCCTTTGAGGGAATCCCTTGGGATGGTGGCGAGGACATTCTGCAAGGCAGCAACTGAATATCTAGTTACCAGAAGAGTCAAATCATTCTAAAATTTTCTTAAATTTACTTACTTTTAAATCCCAGAAGAGCCAGAATACATCTGTAAAGGAAGTATTGATAGCAAGTAAATAGTATGCCATATTCTTCTAGGGTTAATGCTTACACAAGGGAAAATGGATATCAACTCTTAAGCAGCATTATCTTTTTCTAATACCAAATGTAATTTTTTAACTACTGAACTAGTTTTAGGTCACAAAGGACTTTCCCAGTCTTTTCCATCCTGGTTCCTTTGCAAGTATGTCTTTGAAAATCAATAATAATAAAAAAAAAGACTTTTATATGAAGGAGGTAAAGACTTAATATTACATAGTAGATTTATGTGGGTATTCCTGGCTTTGTAATATACAGATTACAATTACCCAGCAAGCAGTCTGAGACAGGACCACCGTGAAGATCAAATGAAACTGTGAAAAGGTTTCAAAGACTATAAAACACTACACAAATATTTATTCATTGCAATATTTATTGAGATGCCAGGCATTGTGCTAAGCACTAGAGATAACAGCAAGCAAGGCTTATATGGGTCCTGCCCTTATAAAGCTTACAGTCTAGTAGCAATCAATAAGAAGCAACAATAAAGTGTGCTGTAAGTATATGGCTGGGAAAGAAGAGGGAGTTTGGGGAGTACACTGTAAGGGCATCTAGTCTAGAGGGCACTGATGAAGTCTTTGAGGAAATGGTATATGAACCAAGACCTTAAAAAGAAATGTGTACCATACCCTGAGAGCAATGGTGACAACAAATGAAATGACAGATAAGTCTTTTGGAACATGGAATCAGAATGAAAGAAAGGGCACCTAATGAGGGGGTTACTGTCATTTAGATAGGCTAACTCTGAGAGTAGTAATACTGGAGAACGGAGAAAAATCAGAAAGTAGACTCAACACAAAGGTTTCTGCAAGGGGATCAAGAGGGAAAAGTCATGGATAACTCAGTTTGGTACTTGAGCAATGGCAATGGAATGGTTGGTTAGTGGCAGTGCCATTGACTGAGAGAGAGAACATGAAAGGTGGTTTGGGGGCAAGACCAAGGGCACACTGTGGTACCTGTTAGACAGCAAAGTGGACTTGAATTACCCATTACATAGATGAATGAGGAAAGGTCTAGACATGAATTTGGAGTCATCTGCATACAGGTGGTAACTGAAGCCATGGAAGATGAAATCAGCTAAGGAGATGATGCATTTATGAGATTGCCTAAAACAACATTTTTAAAATGGCAAGAACACAGATATTGAGAAAGTATACCTGGATGTGGTAACTCCCTATAGGCAAAGAAACAAGTATATTAAGGACAGTGGCATCAAAGAAGTTAAGAATACTGACAAGCACTTGGTGAGCTTGGGAGAGCAGTTTGATCAACAATATGACAGACTGGGAATACAGAAGTGTTTCAAGAAAACTAGTAGTAACAGGAGATACAAAGACACAGTTCTTTAAAAACTGCTTATTTTAACTATATTCACAAATACAAGACGAATAACAACTATTTTATATAAAAAAAAACCCAAAATAAAAAACTGCCATGCAGTTACAGAATTACTTAACACAGAAAACAGTAAAATACACACTTTGAAAAACAAAACAAAACAAAACAAGACTAGTTTATAGCAAATTCTCTGTTGTTCAGAGTTGATTTAAAGTCCTTGGCTTATATGTCCCCCCACCCCATACCCCCATATGCTGCAATCTAACTTTATTATCACCTTAAGCAAAATACATACTTAACTCCACAAAATGTACAAGACTTGAATATTTGAGGAACTGGGGTTAGAAAGCAGAAGCAGCTTTCAGATCTTCCAAACATTCTTTCAATAAAGCATTTGCCACAACAGAGGATGCTCTAAGCTACTGGAAATTAATATGGGCAGATTTTTATTTCATTTGTTTATCACTGTTCTTTTTCAGATATTTAACCTTACTCCTGACCTATAGCTCAACTTGACCACTCTTGATAAATAATATATAATACTTGCTTTTCTGCCTTAAATTAACATATGTAACAGAACACAGCCTATAATCTGATGCAGAATCAGTTACTGATTTATAAAAGCTATTGTGAGCTACTGGAACCTACCAAGGCCTTTACTGCAACTTACCGGGCAACTATGAATGTTGGAATTAGTCTCCCTTACTAAGCATTATCAATTTGCCCAACTTGCCCTTCTAATTTTGCTTCTACAGGTAACCTGCCCTATTCCTCAGAATAAGGTAGTCTACATTGGGCATCTTGTGGCACTTTGGGAGTGATAATTCTTCCTGCGCCAGACTGTCCTGTGCATCAAAGGGAGGGCGGGGCATCAGGCATATGATGAGCAGAACCCCACAGTAAATACGACAAACAAAAAATACCTCTCTGTATTTCCCAACATCCTCTCAAAAGACTAAAAGGAGGGGTTAGTGACTCTAGTTGAGAACTAGACACAATTTGGGTTCCTGGGTTCTCACGGAATTTATTTTGATGGCTCAGGCATCATTTCCTTCCATATTCTTGGATGTTTAATTCTGGCTCCTTGAATTTGCTCACTTAGTGGCCATAGGATAATGTGTTATAATAGTTACACCAGGACTTTATCACAATAGTTTTCAAACTGTACTTGATAGGATCTTAATTTGGGTCCTGTTTTTAAGTTATTTTACATATTTGGCTCTGCTGTAAGATTTCCTTTTCATGTTAACAGAAGTCTGAAATTTACTGTTTAGCACAAAGCAGATGTCTCACTAGAAACATGGAATTTTTACAATCTGGGAATAAAGCTGCTTCTTGAGAGTTAAATATTTCCACTTGTACACTGTCTTAATCACAAAATATGTGGGAGTTTCAAATTCTAGAATAAATCCATTTCCAGGAGCTAACAAAATCAGTATATCATTTTAAAATAAAGAATTTCCTCTAAGCAGGAGCTCTTTACAAAGCAGTAACACCCATGCAGACAGGACAAATAGGCTGACACAGCTCACACCTCCTGACTCTAGAGTGCAAAAATCCTTTTCTCTCATTCATTTTGACAGAGTCAAACTTCTGTCTAGAGCAGAAAAAAATTACTAAGGGGCAGGTGTTACGATTCTATACTTACCGTAGTCCTTTATTAAGCAAGCTGATAAAACAGTTCCCTATGGGGAAAATTCAGGGGAAAACCCCAACAACTGGTTAGTCTGATCTCCAAATTGCAACAGGTCTCCTACACCAGTAACTTAAAAATCATCTTGCTCCCCTACTAAAATTTTACCTGGTTACTTCTTCTATTAGTAATATCATTATCACTGGGATGGTTGGGGGGAGGTGAGGAAGGAATTCTGTCAGTATTTACTTCAGACTCAGAATTTGTTTTTAAAAATTCTCATTTTGACAGTTAGACAAAAATACCTCCCCTATTTGTATGTTCTTCCTTTTCAGAAACTTCTGAACTTGCTAAACGAGTTTCTGCAATTGGCTCAAACATATACCTTGAGTTCGTAATTTCAGATTATATGCATCAGCATTTTAACACTTAGTTAAAATAAGAACTTTCTCCAGAACACCTTAAAAAGACTTCTAAATCACATGTCACTACTCAACTTCTTTAAAAACAATTCTATCACAAAAGTAAAGACGATGACTTTGTCAGTAAGTTTTAAAAAAGGTGTTCTCATGTCAGTCCCATGTTGTTTCTTGAGATGAAAAAGGAAAAAAGATCAGTCAGAAGAATCTGAATCCTGATCAATTTAGGTGAATCAACTTGGTGCTTTCCACAATCCGTATTAGTAAATTTTAAAAAATCAAACTAACTTTTGCTTTTAGAATTGGATTCTAAAAGTTTGAGTGTCTCAGCGTTGTAGATTTCAAGGGTTACGGATCAGATTCATTTCTTCCTCTCACAAGATCATCCCAATGCGGCTCTATTTCGGTTGTGGCAATCCTAAAAAGGGCGCGGAGGTGGTCATCTGTCAGTGGCTGGCTCAAAGTGTGTTGGTTTCGAGTCAAATATGAAAAAGCCTTTTCGCAGATCTGGTTACTATCAAACAAGGATGCCACCTTACAGGCAACCCCTTTGATAATTGGGTAAGAATCAGCAGACAAACCAGCATAGAACTGCCCCAAGTCTTTGTTTCTATATTCATCCCAAAGGTTAGTGTCTGCCTGAAGTTTTGTTAACTCCATCCTTACTGAAATAGGTGCATATTCAGGCTTAAAGTTAAATGGATTTGCAAAAAGTTCTAAGTCCTTTTTAATGAACCTGAGGTCCTTGAAATGTCTCTCAAATTCTTTCTGCAGGCGACAGATCACTACTTGATACCGATCGGGATCAAATACTTTCTCATCTTCTTTAAGATGCTGTGCAAGTTCATCAGCAACTTCCCGCAAGGCAGCAAAGTGTGTTAGATTTTTCTCCTCCATCTGTCTCTGAAGTAAATTCAGCTTCACTTCAAAGGCACAAATATGGTCAAAGGCAGCAGCAGCAAAGACTTTACTAACCCCCAATAATTCACTGAGTTCTCGGAGATGGTCCATAATATCCACCAAGAAGCCAAAGTCGCAAAGCCACTGCTTGTCTGTGAAATGAACTGTAGTTGCTCCTATGGAAACCAAGAATGCCTCTATTTCTTTTCTTAGGGAAAATATTAGTTTTAAAGTTTTCCCTCTTCTAAGCCAATTGTTCAGACACCGTCCATTAACCCTTTCCCCATGCTCTGACTCAGACTCCGTTAGCAAGGCCTGAAATTCGGGCCGCCTAACACCTCTGGTCTTAATCAAAACGATCCATTCAGATATGGTATTGACGATCTGATTAACGTCTACATCGTAGGAGCTCAACAGCTCCAAGTGATGAAATCCCGAATAATGGATGACATTCCAACAGTTGGGGCTTACAGCCTTTTCTCTCATGTACGAAACCAGTCCTGAGTTCTCACCAATCATCCTCAGAGTATGGGTCGTGGTTAGTCCAACCATTCGTTGCAAGCTAAGACCTGCAGTCTGCAGGGCCTCTAGGATTGCCGCCATGAGGGCACCAACACTGAAGTGATGAGTCAGGTTGATTATGGTCAGCAGCTCTTCTTGCACCTCCAAGTCCTGGCTCACGCCGCGGACAAAGACCAGGAGGTAATTCTCATAGGCCACAAAAGCCTGGTCGTCCAAGGCAAGGGAATAAGCTTTGAAGTCCTTGGCTCGGTGAAAGAGCTGACTGCGTAGATTCTTGTCAATGTTCAGGACCCTCTGCCGCGTGACCTCTGGAGATAAATCAATGCTATCCAGAACGCTGACATGATCGGGCAGTACATCTCTCAGCATCACCTCCATGCACTGGGATACAAAGTCCCCCTCACCCCAACCGCGCCCCTTCAAGGCCAGGAGCCGGGCGAGCCCGAGGCCTGCGCGAGCAGCTCTCTCCTCGGGAGTGAGCTGGGCGACCACGGGCACGTCGCCCTGCCGCAGGCGCTCCACCAGGGCCGCGCGCTCGCCCTCCGCCACATACCGCTCGTAGTGGTCGTGCTCGGCCTCGTAGTGGCGCCGGACGTCGCGCTCGCGGGTGGCCACGACCACGCGGCGACAGACCAGGCACAGGGCCCCTTCGCCCTCGGGAGGCTCCACCACCAGGTAACGCTGGGTCCATTCGGGCCGGAAAACCTCGGTTTCATCGACTTCCATTTTGCTCCTCTTGGGCGACATCCACATAGTCCCGGAGGCCACCAGAGCGACGCCGACCTCCCGGAGGCCGCAGAGAGGGAGGAGCAGGAGACGCGCCGAGCACGTCTATCGCTCTGCGCTAGATCACCCCAGCGGGGGACTCCAGCCCCCGACCACAGACCTGCGTCCCTATTGGCTGGGGATTTCGTAGTCCCTGTGGACTGAGCCAATAGAAAGCGCGAACAGTGATTTCTAGCGCGCAAGCGGGTATTCTAGTGGGTCGACGCTATTTTAGGGAGGGTCGATTTGACTGGCATTCGAGCTGCCCAATCAAGAGCTCCCTGGGTCCTAAGCGCGCCGCCGCTGGAGGGGGACGCAGGAAAGCGGAAATGGAGTAGAAAAGGGGACGTGGGCACAAAGCACTGAAGTGATTGGCTGACGGCACTTCCGGAGAGCGTCACGACGCGACCTGCGCTCCCTGGCGCCAAAATGTCTCTCGTAGCGGGAGTTATTCGGCGGCTGGATGAGACAGTGGTGAACCGCATCGCGGCGGGAGAAGTTATCCAGCGGCCGGCTAATGCAATCAAGGAGATGATTGAGAACTGGTACGGAGGGAGTCGAGCCGAGCTGTTTTAGCGGCTGCACCTTATGGGGCCGCTGCTCAGGATGGCGTGGGCACGCCTCCCTGCCCTCGGCGGAAGCGTGTTCAGCGCATGCCCATTGCGGCGGAGGGACGCTGGGTCCCGCCTTCGCCCTTTCCGGGTTCCGCGTAGTCTCGAACGCCCTCGCGAGATTTTGGTGAAATTGTTGGTAACACTAATAGAGGGCTGCACGGTGTTGTTGCAATGGTGCCGTTAACCGGGGGAAATACTTTTAGAATTGTATATGCAGAAGTTGCAAAATTTGAAATGTGTAAAAAGTTTCCGTAGGGAAAGAAAAAATCTTCCTTCATCCTTGAGATTACCATGTTATCAGTTTATTGCTTATTTCAGAAATCATCCATCCATACATTCAAGAGCACAATTCATTTTGAGTTTTATTCTAAATAAATTGGGACTTTAGGACAAGCCGGTGGGATCTTGTCTGCGGTTAAAACTTGTGACTTCCCTGCTTCCCAATTAGTGACCCCGCTTCGTGTTTTCCTGCCCTTTACTTTTGGGGGGGACACATCAGAGTTGCCTGATTCTGTGGGTTGTCCTGTGGTTTGTGAAGCTGAGAAGTGTCACACTATGTGGAAGACAAGGTTAAGAACGTGGAAAGAAAAGTGGGTGTAGACTGTAAGCCATAAGAAAGACAAAATGCTTATAATGTGGCTAAATGTTAAGTCTGATCCTTTGTGATGGAATCAACTGATGTTGATAAAATTTATACATTAAAATTTTAAAACGCCCCAGTAAAGAATGGTCGGTTTGTAAAATCATAGATAATCATTCAGGGTAATGCGACTGAAAGAACAGTTGGTCAGGAAGCACCACTGATGGAAAAGAGAATTAGAAGGTAGACAAAAGATGGAGCAGGGAACCTGAGAACTTCTTTTGATTTTACGTAGTTTGTAAAGTCTGATTTTTGTTTCTATATTGGTAGAATTAACTGACAGAAAACTTGGCCTGTTATCTTACTCTGTACCAACAAACCAAACATGAGCTCAGTGGCTTATAATTCTATAAGCAGAGATTTTTGTCTGGAGCTCAGTAATATTCTTTAATATATAAGTCAAGATGGCTAATAGAATTTCAATTCAGGGCTCCTGAGAAACTGTTACTTAATAGTTAAGTAACTTACTGACGTATTTCTGAATAAAGAATTTTTTGCTTGAGGAGTCTTTCTTTTGCAACCCCAGCCTAAATTTTCTTTAAAAAGAGCTCTTTGCTTATAGGCTGCTCTTCGTAGGTATGAAAAATTTACCGACTTCTCAAAGAGCTTTCCACATTACCACCTCTCCACATATGTTTTGTTTAAAGAAAAGAGGATACAAGAGAAAAACATTTCGAATTTTTAAATGACATTTTTATTAGGGTCCTGAGACTTTGAAAGCTGATACTGATGAAAATAGCAGGTGGTAAAATGAGTTGAGAAGAGGGTAAAAGGCATTTGCTAAAAGGATCCTACTTCTCACTTCATTCTCTTTCTTTCCTAAAGGAACAGAGGTGGTGCTTAATGTTCTGTTGGAAATGATGGTTGCCCCCTTCTGCTCCTGTCTTTCCTCTCTGCCACACAACATGTGAACTGATAAGTGGAATTACAGAATCTTTCAGACAAAAGAAAAGTACATTAATCAGTCTTGGATTTTCCTGTAATTTATTCTTATCCCTTGGCTCTTACTCAAGTATGTGTGTTAGAGTAGTTGCAGACTGATAAATTACATTTTCTGTTTCATTTTCCAGTTTAGATGCAAAATCCACAAGTATTCAAGTGGTGGTTAAAGAGGGTGGCCTGAAGTTGATTCAGATCCAAGACAATGGCACCGGGATCAGGGTGAGTAAAGCCTCCAAGGAGCAGGATGTGTGTGTGCATGATGTCATCCGGCTGCAGGAAGAGCATACCCTTTCCCTGTTCTTGAAACTCTGGGCTTTGTGGGTATGATTTTTTCACTGAAAATTGCAACACCACCAACAATAGATATTTACTGAAAACTTTTGTCTCTACTGGAAGCTGTACCAGGGAATAAGGATGTCAAGGAGCAAGTCACGGTGCTCTTTAAGGAATATTTGGGGCAGGGAAAATATTATATGCCAAAACCATGAAACAGAAGCATGCCTGACATTTTTAAGGATCAACAGGGAGGTCATTGTGTCTAGAACAGGGTGACAGCATGAAGAGTAACAGAAGTTGAGGTCTGAACTATAAGTAAGCTGTCATGACCTTGTGGACCGTGGAAGGCATGCAGATATCCAACAGGTACATGAAAAGATGTTCAAGTAATCATCGGGGGAAAGATGGTCAACTAATCATCAAAACACAATGAGCTATCACCTCATACCTATTAGAAAGAATATTATCAAAAAGGCAAGATATAGCAAATGTTGGCGAAGATGTAGAGAAAAGGGAACCCTTGTGCTCCATTAGCCCGAACGTGAATTGGTACCGCCACTGTGGAACAGTATGGAGGTTTGTCAATAAATTGAAAGTAGAATTGCCATATAAGCCAACATTTCCACTTCTGGGTATTTATTCAAGGCAAAGAAAAACACTAACTTGAAAAGATGTCTGTAATGCTGTTCATTGAAGTATTCTTTTAAACAATAATCAAGGTATGCAAACAATCTAAGTGTCCGTTGATGGGTAAATGAATAAAGAAAATGTGGCAAGTGTGTGCGCACGCGCACGTGCGCGCGCACACACACAGGAATATTGTTCAACCATAAAAAAAATGCGGTATTGCCACTTGTGACAACATGAAAGAACCTTGGGAGCATTACACTCTATGAAATAAGTCAAAGAAAGATAAATACATATGATCTCACTTGTGTGGGATCTGGAAACAAGAACAAAACAAACCAAGATCTTAGATACAGAGAACAAATTTGTGATTTCCAGAGTTGGGGATGACATGGGTGACGAGGTCAAAAGATACAAACCTATAGTTTTTATAAAAGAGTCATGGGGATGTATGATACAGCATGGTTACTATAGTGAAGAATAACTATTTTACATATTTGAAAAATGCCCAGTAAATCTTAAAAGTTCTCACAAGGAAAAAAAAAATAACTCTTTATGGTTGTGGATGATAATATGATTGACTTACTGTGGTGATCATTTCACAATATATATAAGTGCTGAATCACGTTGTATGCCTGAAATTAAAATATTTGTGTCAATTACACCTCAATAAAAATGGTTAAAAGAGTAAATTTTTGTTATATGTAATTTATTACAGTTAAATATATCTGTAGTTTTTAATAGAGGCTTTCTAATAATAACTTTTATAAAATACATGACACCAAATAAGACCATCAAGAGAGTGAGTGTAGACAAAGAACAGATACAAGCATTGGAGTCCTGGGTTACTCCACTGTCAGGGGAGAACTAGCAAATGAGACTAAGAAGTGAGATGAGTAAAAAGGACCAGGACAGTAAGGTATGCGGAATGCCATTGGAGAGTTTTTGTTAATTTAAACACTTCTATGGGGAATTTCTTCTGGGATTCAATCAAGAAAAGGGAAGTTCAAGAAGATTTGGAAAGATGAGTGATGTAGTTATTTCCTTATATTTTGATACCTTGGTATCTTCTAGAAAGAAGACCTGGACATTGTGTGTGAGCGATTTACTACAAGTAAACTGCAGTCCTTTGAAGATTTAAGTCATATTTCTACCTATGGCTTTCGGGGTGAGGTAAGCTAAAGATTAAAGAAATGTTTAAAATAACCTCCTGTGATCACATTTCTGCTTTTGTTGGTGTGTGTTTCTCAATAGAGATATAGGATATGATACTTTTTACTTGTTAAATATATGCAAATCTGAGCAAACTTAATTAAGTTCAATTTTCTAAGACAGAATGTTCTTAATATATTATAAAGCATTTTATCTCTAGAGACCTTCCAAAACATTATATGTCACTTGATGGAAGAATGCAGTACCACCTACAAAGTTTTCTTCTCAAAAGTCAAGTGAATCTGGCAAACACTAAGTCTTAAGTGCCAATATTCACAAAATATAGGGGTAAGAAGGGCCTCCCTGGTGGCACAAGGGGTTAAGATGCAACCTGTGAAGCTTTCCGCAGCTCCGGACATGAGTTCGATCCCCAGCCAGGGAGCAACCAACATGGCGCAGCAGACCTCTCCTGACTCGCCCGCTGCTCCTTTCAGCAGTGTATTTCAGTAGATCTGCCTGTTCTACTCCCCCCTCTGTCTCTGGTGAATCCGCTGACACCCTGCATCTCTGGCCTACACCCTAGTTCTTGTATGCATAAATAAAAATAAATTAAAAAAAATTTAGTGGAGGAAAGATAACCTTTAAAAAAAAAACCACACAATAGGATCTTAAATTTTTATGAAAAAATTCTGGATATCTTTTCATTCAATATATTTTGGCCTGTCATAATTATAACAGCTGCATACTATTCCATTACACATGTGCTGTAGTTTATTTAAATGGTTTCCTGTGAACACTTAGGCTCTGCTGTTTTCTTGTGTGAGATTGTTAACATATTAATCCTTTGGTGTGTTTCCATTTAGACTTTTTATATATATATATTTCCTTTGTTCTAATTTGCTACAAATTTAGTTTGATTTTTTTTTAAACATGTCATCAAAGTTGTGTTCATTATTGCCATTTGTTAATACAAAGTGGAAGAGATGATTTAAACAACCTTTCCCCTTAATGTTGTCCCAACAGCGAGTTTTACCTTTTTTTCCATTTCATTTTCCTTCTTAGGCTTTAGCCAGCATAAGCCATGTGGCTCACGTTACTATTACAACTAAAACAGTTGATGGAAAGTGTGCATACAGGTACAGTGCTATCTTCTTTTGTTTATATATTTTTATATATTTTCACCCTAAAATGTGCTTTTTAATCTCGGAGTCATCCTATCTAAACACCAGTGTTATCTCTTTTGGCCAAGGTCCTGGGTAAGTTTTCTTTCCTCCCCATGAATGAACTGCTCATCCACAGGAATCATTGTTAGGTGATAATCTTACTTTGTGGATTCTTGAAAGATAATGTAGCAAATTATAGATGCCTCAAAGGTGTCTATTACACAGAAGTATTTTAAGTAAAATAAAGCTGCTTCTCTTATTTTGCCCCTTTGCTGTTCAATGGGTATCACTCTGGGTTCATTACAGGTCTATGATTGGAGTGCTAGGGCTCACATTTCCTGAGCAGACTTGTGAACCCCCACTACATCAGATATCCATGTCTGTGCTCACCTTCCCATACATGATCTCTGGCTGGCTGTTGTCCTGGCACAGTTTTCAGAGGCTGATAAATAACCATAATAGAACAGAACAGAATTTGAGGAATAAAAATCATTTATAAGCGCTGGCCATTTTTTAGTGGGAGACAGATAGGAGTACCTAAATTATGCCCCAAAAGGATATTGGTTTTTATTAGATTGTAACTTACTAGAGGAAATAGTTTTGACCAGGACAGTCCTGCCTGTTTCTCAGTTTTCTTCAACAGAGGAACGTGTTAAATAACGAGATGGCACATTTTAGAGTCTGTAGCAGTGACTGTTGCTAGTGGGGCCGTTTGACTCTGAATGAATTATAATTGCTAGGATCGGGGTGGGGTGATAACACTTACCCTTTTCACAAAATAAGGAGACTCTGTGGAGTTTGTCTTTGTAAATAATCTGAGCATAAGTTTCCTTTCTTTGTCTCTGCGGTCATGTTATGCCCCTATTTGGACTGCTGGTGGCTCCTCTCCTATGGTAAGAGGAAATCCAGAGTCATCACTATAGCAATTAGTGTGCTCTTAGGCCACCTTTCCAACCAGTTCTCTCCAAACATATCTGGCTGCCATGTATTCTGACATTTCTGTGTTTTTGTTTGTTTTTTCCATCCTGGATGGTCTTTCCTGATCTCTCCACCTGAAACTATACCTCCCTGGAGCCCAGATAAATTGTGCTCTCCTCTGTGACACTTTCACCCACCTGTACTCCCACCCCAGGCTGACGGTTTCCCTCTCTATATCACTTAGCAGTGTCCTGCAATTTAGATAAAATCCTATTTCCTCACAGATCAAGTGCTTTCCAAGGCCTTTCTGTATCATCAGGACTTCTAAACCCAAGCAAAGAGAGGGCTGGGGTGGGGGGGGATGGAATGACCTGGTTGGTGGGTCCTCACTTGTACACTTCTGACTGCAGGACATGACCCCAAAGCAGACACCGTGTGAAACAAAAATAATGGGATTTGTTTACACAGGGAGTAAGAAAAGGGAGAAAGAAGAGTGGGAGGAAATTATTGTCCTGGCACATGTTGTACCCCAGATAACATCCACTGAGCAGAGACCAAGGTCTAAGCCAAAACCCTGCGTGGTAAGCTGGTAGCTTCTCCAGGTGCCCCTCCTTACCAGCCCAACTGTTCGAGCCTCAGCTCTGCCCCTATTTCCCATCAGCCCCGGCTCGGAGTGGAATCTAGCAAATCCCACCTTCTACCATCAAATTGGCAGTGAGCACCACCCACTGACTGTCTCAGAGGTTGTCTTCACTCTTTCTCTCACACTTCCATAAGCCCTGTACATGACAACTCTCAGGAAATGATAGCACAATTACCAGAAAAATTTTACTGATTTTATAGGCAATGGCAAAACATTGGATTTTTTTTTGTTTGATTTTTTTTTTTTTTTTTGGATTGCAATTTGAAGTATGGAATTATGGAAGTGAGGAAAAGTCTAAAGAAAAATGGTAATTGAGACAGTATGTAACATGGCTATATTTTAATCTACTATTAGTAATTTTTTTTAACCCTTTGGATAAGTATCTTTTTTGTTGATCTTAATAATCTCATATTTTCTGAGTAGAGCCAATTACTCAGATGGAAAACTGAAAGCCCCTCCTAAACCCTGTGCAGGCAATCAAGGGACCCAGATTACGGTAAGAGCAGCATATGAATTGTTGAATAAGAACTTTGTATAAATGTTGAAATGAAAAATAAAATTGCTTGTGAGTTTTCAAAGAAATATCAAAATGAATTTTTACTCATTAATAGAAGCCCCAAGATATCAGCCCCTGAGCTAGAGATTGTTTGTGGCATGGCAGCCTGCCCGACCCTTTATCTTTTGTGAGAGCCTGGGAGGTTCTTTTATTGGATGGCAGAAATCAGTGGCAGGATAATGGACATTGAAAGAACCTGAAACTGGGCCTCCCCGGTGGCGCAGCGGTTGAGCTCTGGGTTGCGAAGGTTGCGGTGCCGGTTCCATCCCCGGCTGCTCCCCGGCCACCAGAGGAGGGTCCCACATGGCGCGCAGACCTCTCCTGCCGCCCGCTGCTCCCCTCAGCAGTGTACTTCGGTCCCTCTGCCTGCTCTGCTCCCCGCTCTGGCTCTGGTGAATTCTCTCACCCTCCCGCGCTTCTGACTGTACCCAGTGCATGTATAAACAAAACAAACAAACAAACAAATAAATAAAACATGCCTCTATAAAAAAAAAAAAAAAAAAAAAAGAAAGAACCTGAAACAGTTCCAGAAGACATGAGTTAGAGTTCCAGCATTGCCATTCAACATTTGTGTATCCAGAGACAAGTTACTTAATCTCAGCTTTTCTCATCAAGTGAAACATCAAGTGGAACTCTAGGCACTTAGAGTTAGCAACCTATCAAAGCAAAGTGGAACCTTGGTTTTTGTTTGATTCACCCACTCACGGGTGTTGGTGTAGTATGATGGTGTCATGAGGAGGCAGGCCCTTGTGCTGCCTGTTTCTATGATGCCTCATTTGGTCTCTTCCCATTCTGTATCCTATAAAGCACCTCACTGTCATGTTATAGATTCCACCCTCTTCCCCTAGCCCTGGCTATTGCCTGTCTCCCTGAAGACTGACCCCTAGACTCAATGAGGCAGGCAGGAAGCAGGAATGAAGTTGTGCTAGAAAGTGCATGTGAAGAGGCACCCAGCATCGCCATTGGTTGTGATTCCTGAGAACCCCAGATGGCCTTAGAAATTATATAACTAGTTTGAAAAATGCATTTGAGTGCCATGTGATACTATAATTGCATGTTTATGTTTGCCCTATTAAATCATGTGCTATCCTGGGCAAGACTGTGCTTTGTCTTCCTATTGCCGGCATAAAGCCAAGAGCTTGACAGAGCCCTCAGGTACCAGTTTGTGAGATGAGCAAACGAATGTGGGAGGAGGGAATCATATCCTTTACTCCTTTTGCCCCTTCCCCCAACCAGTGCTTAGAGCTGTGCTGTTGGTAAATATGGTTGGATTCACTGCCGTAGCCAGCATTAGGTGAATAGCGTGGGCTCTAATTTCCATGTCCTTTCATTAATTAACAAGAAAAATCAATTTCTGTTCAGGTGGAGGACCTTTTTTACAACATATCCACGAGGAGGAAAGCTTTGAAAAATCCAAGTGAAGAGTATGGAAAAATTTTGGAAGTTGTTGGCAGGTACAGTTCAAAACCTGGGAGTGGGTCTCTGAGCTCTCTCACCAAAGGAATGTGTTCCAGTGCTTATAAATTGAGAACAGTTGCTGAGCTGGATGGAAAGCAGAATTACTAGCCTACAGATTGTTTCTGGTCAAGGTTTAGTCACCATTTTGGACTTTCATCTCCCCAGGAGAGAGCAGTTGACCACTGTGTTAAGAAGGTTCTTTGGTGACAAGCACAACTGACTGCAGCTAACTTGAACCCAAAAGAAATTTATTGGAGGCCCAGGAGTTACACAAACAGTGGAAACAGGGTGGCCAACTGCTCCTTGAGGAGGACAAGAACCCAGGATGGCTTTGGGGATTTAATGTAGTATCCCTGCTCCAGTGGTTTTCATTCTTTTCTGGCTCTGCTCAAGAGTCTGTTTCTGGGAGAGGGCTAGGGAGCCTATTTCTGGAGAGTGATGGGCATAGCTAGATCCCCCCCCCACACACATTATATGCCCAGATCTATGGGGAGATTTTTTAATTGGCAGTTAAATAAGGTATATCAAGTGGAATTGGGACGTTGTTTCCCGATGAAAAATTAGAGGCTGTTCACAGGAGGAGGAAGAAAGATAGATAAAAACAGCATTATACCCATGATAGATTTATCTGCTAGTTAAGAGGCTCCTGCCTGGACTTTCTAAGTTTGCATGTTCTAGAATTGGAACAGAGATGTATTAACTATTTTTCAATTTCTAAAGAATCAAAAGTGAAAGCAATACTGGCCCATAATAACGTGGCACAGATTTACACCAGCTTTCTTTGCTTTGCCCTGGAATTATGTAAGTCAGTGTCTGCATATTATCTCCTAAAAATAAAGATGTCCTGGTGGACTGTTTTGGTTCTAGGTTGTTGAAAGTGAATTATTGTTACTGAATATTTTGTTAGACACAATTCTTTAATTCATGTGAGGAGTAATGAGGACTCAGGTACTGGCACAGGAGCTTGGGTCAAGGAAGAAGCAAGTGAGGAGGGTGATATATTGAGGGGCTCCAAGAGAGAATAGGGTTGTTAAAGCAGGGTTCTCCAGATGCCTTGAGACAACCCACGCCTCTGGAACACTGTAAAAATGGAACTCTAGGCAAGAAAAAAGTTGTATTATGATATCGTTTAGGCTAGTTAGCAACCTATCAAAGCAAAGTGGAACCTTGGTTTTTGTTTGATTCAACCAAAATTTAACATCGATATCTCCATGCAGTCTGCTGGCTAATTGTCTTGTGGATAAAACAAGATATATGTAGGGGTGTGTGTATTCATTTAGATCACTTATGTCCATTTATTAAGCTAAAAGCTTAATACTTAAGCAACAACATATGCTTTGTGTTTACTGTTCATTTGCTTACTGTTTATTTTCTTTTCTTTGCCAGGTATTCAATACATAATTCAGGCATTAGTTTCTCAGTTAAAAAAGTAAGTTTTTGATTTATAGGGGGTGCTTATATATTATCAAAGAAAGAGGGAATTTTTATAGTTATGGAGATAAGTCATGCAGTTTCAATCATAACTGAGACAGTAAGTCCTATTTTCTGCTCTGCCCATCAGCAAGGCGAGACCGTAGCTGACGTTAGAACACTGCCCAATGCCACAACCGTGGACAACATTCGCTCCATCTTTGGAAATGCTGTTAGTCGGTATGTTGATAATCTATATTAAAAAAATATTTCAGGGCCTCCCTAGTGGCGTGGGGGTTAAAGTCTCAGTGCTATCAAGCTATCACCAGCCACTGTGACATGAGTTCAATCCCAGCCAGGGAGCTGACCCACATAGCGCAGCAGACCTCTCTTGTCTCACCCACTGCTCCCCTTAGCAGTGTATTTCAGTCGATCCGCCTATTCTGCTCTCCACTCTGCCTCTAGTGAATTCTCTCACCCCCCGCACCTCTGGCCTATACCCCAGTTCTTGTATGCATAAATAAATAAAATAAATATTAAAAAAAAATTTGCATCCCAGGTCTTGATTTATCATTTCATGACATTATTTTGGACTCTGCCAGGGTAGCACTCACTTTGAGAGTTTCCTTTAATCAAATGCGCTTCTTGCTTCAGATTTGTTAAGAGTCATTATTTCTTATAATTCCCACTTGCTGGTGCATGTTATCTCCTGGGTGCTCACTGTGAATCAGTGTGTTGTCCCTCAGTGTCAGTCTCCAGTGTCTCCTTGTCCTTATGCTTCCATTGTTATCACTTTAGGATTTCATTTATCTACTGCCATTCACTATTAATTGCTCTTCATATTCCAGAATTTTTGCGAGAAGGTAAGGAAGTAAAAAGATGATTAAGTATTTTCTGCCCTTAAATCCTTAAGACTTCCCTGTCTGGCGGCTAGCAAACAGTTTTGTGTCCCCAAGTCTTCATTGTCAAGGAAAGCATAAGAAGGGAAATTGCTTGCATTATGGATTCCTCATTGCAGTCCCCTCTGCAGGTGAAAACCACCACTTTCATGATAGATTGTTAGCTAAATCTTGGCACTTGACAAAGTCTAGAGTGCCTGTGTCATAATCGAGGGGAGAATCAAAAAGACCTTTCTATATGGCAGGCTTATTCCAGATACTGGGGATACACAGATAAGTGAAATAGCCCTGACTTCCCTTTTCCTACAAATCTTTTCTTTTTTAATGGATTTTATTATTTGTTTTCCCCACAATTCTTAAAAGTAGCAGCAAAAATCCCAGAACCAATTTTCTCCTTTGAAAGACAAATTATTCATCCTTTGAGCAAAACCTAGTTCCTATCTATAGAAGTCAAATTGCTCTAAATTACCCTTTTCTAATTAAGTGTTAGTTTTTTAACTGTGTTCTCAGAGCAGAGAGAAAGCTCTGTTGTACAGTGAAACTTTCAAGAGCTCCTTGACTAAATTTTAGACTTAGAATTAGTTGTTAGGAAATTCCTAGGGACTGTAAGAAATTAGAAGTCCCCAAGGGCAGCAGTTCCCGAAGTGTGTTTCCAGAACACTAGACTCTGGAGTCATTTCGGGAAGAAAGGGCTTGCTGGTTCATCGTGTGTGGGAAATGCAAGCCATACCCTCAGAGATTCAGAACATTATTACTGCATGAAAATCTTCCACCATCCCTTCAGTAAAGGCTTAATGACTGCCTGCTGTTGACCCAGCACTGTGCTATATGATAGGGATAGAGTCGGGAGTAAAGCAGAAATGATTCTTACCCTCAGAGGACTCACTTTAGTTGGAAAGACATGAAATAATTACTGCCATTCTTTAGTGATTGTGCTAGATGCCTCAAAGGAAGAACATAAAACACAGTAAGAATCTCTCCAAGTCAGGGATAGTCAGAGAAGGCTCTGTGGGGAAGGAATGCCTGAGACATGAGGGAAGAGGGACAATTAACCAGCTGATAATGGGTCAGGAGTAAAACTTTCCAGATTGCAGGGCCAGCACTTGGGAAGACCCACAGGCAGAAGTGAGTGCGGCTTGTGTGAGATCCTCCTTGCACAATCTCACCTCCCCTTAAAGGCACTCTGGGGAATACCAGCCAGATGGTGCTACTCAGGAGAGATGAATTCTTTGAGATTTCATCTTTGGAATTTAGTCACTGAGATACATAAAAGTTTCAGCAAAATACAATCTTACAGCGTAGACTTGGCCTTGTGTCCTAGCAGTTAGAGCAATGCTTGGCAGATAGAATAAATGCTTGAAAGCACTGACTGAATGGGTACCTGAGTGGATTGACAGGATGTAGGGTCATCCTGGACCACCTCAGCAAATCAAGTCCCAGGGGTCCTCATTTGGCCAGGTTAGTTTATGGGAGGGAGCTCTGATTTTTCCATGTGTGGTTCTTTATAATGTTTAGATTTTCCAGTGTTTTCAGAAGTCTTAAAATGTCTTTTTCCCATTTAGAGAATTGATCGAAGTTGGATGTGAGGATAAAACCCTAGCCTTCAAAATGAGTGGCTACATATCTAATGCAAACTACTCAGTGAAGAAGTGCATCTTCTTACTCTTCATCAACCGTAAGTGAAATAAAACCAAGTGGGAAAATCCAATCAGAAGGAATCTTATGGGGCCATGGAAAAATTCCTGATTTATAGCTTGAAGTACACCCAGAGAAACCTCATGACGAAGTGTGGTTTGATTAGGAAGCTTTTAAAATTTCTGGCCTAAGTCTGCTCACATGCTCATTACTCACCGACTGTTGGGGAGTCTGGGCCTGGCTTTTGAGATGGAGCCCAGGAGAGGACAGCCCAGGCCCCTGTGAGCCAGCACTTTCCTTACCTGCTGCATCAGAGCCTTTACAAGCAGAGGCAGATGTTTCTTCTCTCTGTAGATCAGGTCCACTGTTTGAAACTGCTGCAGATTCTGGAGAGGGGAGGCTTGGGTGTAGGTGCTGTAATTAAAGAAAAGAAGTGGAATGCTAAGACCCTTGAGAATTTTTTAGTAAGGAATGAATTATTTATGATACACAGAATCATATTGGAAATCAAGGAGGTGGTTAACTCAGTGAACTTGAATTTTCCTCTCTGTCTGCTGACATATTATTTACATGATTGCTACTTATTTAATAAATACTATTTTGAATTCTGCTTCTTTTTTACTTAATTGCATATTACATGGTTTTGAGATACAGTGACAGGCAACAATAATCTCAAGCACAGTGTGACTCAGTTTTCCATCCAGAAACAAGATTCATCTCGATTCATTTCTTACTGTTGTCATTATATAGGTCTTATTACCTTTATTGTTTAAAGCAGTTCATAGTTATTTTATAGTTTTGCTTGCTAGTTCTCTAATGGCCATGGTGTATTCCACCTTCCACTTATGTTGATAATCAACTATAAAGCAGTTGCTCAAAGCAATAAACAGTAAGTAAGGAAAAAGCTGGCATTTTATAAACACATTCTGTTAAGCTGGTTTATATTAGCAGGGTTTTCCTCTACTTCATTAGGGGAAATTTAAGCCTGATCTATAACAAAGCTTGCTTTAATCAAAGCTCAGAAAGTTTTTCACTTGTTTTTTTCCTAACCATGAAGAATAATTGCTATGTAACACATGTGTTGGCTGCAGAATACATAAGTAAACACCAGCGTAAGTGCCCTCTGAGTAGCCCATGTCGGTGCTTTGGTGAGCTGTTTACCACATGGACTCTGCATCAGATTCAGCTAATCTGCTCATGATGCCAAGTTCCCAGCAGCAAGGAGAGGTCAGACTGGTGGGCATACCACTCAGTTATATGCACACTGTGCAGGCTCACTCAGGAGGCAGGGACAAAGAGCAGTCCTTTGGCATGTCTGAGTCAGAAATCTCAGCAGTGTGATTCCAGATGTCCTTTTATCAAGTGCCCACACCTGACAGGCCCGCGTGGGCAGGACACGTGCTCCAGAACACAGCGACACTATGGAGAGGGCTGTGGACATTCAAAGACTAGTAGGTTCCTCATTGACAAAATCATGGCCACTCTTCTCATTGCCAAATCCTTGGCTACATTGACACAGGACAGCAGATCATCAGGAGGCCTGTATATCTGAGCACAAAGAGCTGTGTTTTCTGAAAATAGATCCTCCCTCTGATTTTTAGTTTTATCTTTCCCAGCTTTTATTGTTCTCCACCCCCTCAAACCTGCCTCATTTCCTAAATTACCTTAAACACGGCTATTTGTACTTCTGAAATGCCTGGAAGACTCATTCTTATCTTTCATGACTTAGTTTGCGTACCCCGCTGTTGGAACTCCCTGAGCAGAGTCAGTTGTGCCCCTTACCTCACCATGGAACACACACACACCTCTCTTGCGCTGCTTACAGTGCAGTTGGACTTAGTTTATTCACCTGAGTAGTCTCCTAGCATGTTGCGAATGCAATAGGTAGCCAGTCTGTATTTGCATGATGGGACTTAGTCACACTGCCCACCATTCCCAGCCAGCGCAGAGGGGTCCACCTGGGCTGACTGAGGGGAAGGAAGTGGGGAGGCAGAATGTACCACCATGTCATGCTTCTACTACTTGGGCAAGAGGAGAGAGCTCCAAACCCCTCATGAGGTGGCGGGAAGCAGCAACAGATCCCTTTCTCCCCTGGATCTGAGTGGATATCACTCCAGAGATGTTTTTCAGGTAGTTCCATGACATGATATGAATATGTATCTGTTACTTCATCTCTCAGGACGGTTTTGAGCTGGTTACTTTCCTTTTATTTTTCAGATCGTCTGGTAGAGTCAACTTCCTTAAGAAAAGCCATAGAAACAGTATATGCAGCATATTTGCCTAAAAACACACACCCATTCTTGTATCTCAGGTAATGCACCACCAAACTCCTAGCCATGGCGCACAAGGAATAGAAATTTGTTCGGCATTCCTCATTGAAAAAGATGGGCTTACCAGTGCTCTGTCAGAGTGAATCCCATATACCACTGGCCAGGGGATGTGCTGTCCCTTCTCACAGGCTAAGGGCACAGTTGTACCTTTTCCCTCATTTATTGGCTCCTGCAGCAGAGCCTCCCATGTGCCAGGCTCTGTGTTGGTGAAGCAAAGGTGAATGACATCTTACTCCCACCTTCCCCCAACCAGAGAAACCCTTCCTCCTCCAGGGTCCCTCTGGTGCCCTCTGTTGACAGAGTGTCACACTGCAAAGCTCCTTTTGGGAGCAAGCATATGAAAAGTGGATTTGGAGTTAATAGCTGAGCCAGCCTCTAAACTTTTACTTTCGTATTAAATTTTAATGACAGAAAGCTGTCTTGCATATATTCTTGTTTTGATCCTCATATAATGCTGAAAAATAGGTAGCAGACAGGTTTATGGTTACAGATGAGAAAACTAATCCAGAGACCTGCCCATGGGGCATAACTAGAAATTCTGCTAGTCTTGGAATGATATAATAGCAGCTTAAATGATGTTAGTAATGAATGTTAGTATAATGAATGTGTCAGGTACATGCAAAATTTTTTATATGAATCTAATTCCCACCATAAATTATATCCATTTTATAAGAGACTAACCTTAGGCAAAGAAAGATGGTGTAGGGCCTCCCCGGTGGCGCAGTGGTTGAGCGCTGGGTTGTGAAGTTGCCCGCAGCCTCTGCAGCGCCGGTTCGATCCCCAGCTGCTCCCCGGCCACCTGAGGAGGGTCCCACATGGCGCGCAGACCTCTCCTGCCGCCCGCTGCTCCCCTCAGCAGTGTACTTCGGTCCTGCTGCCTGCTGTGCTCCCCGCTCTGGCTCTGGTGAATTCTCTCACCCTCCCACGCTTCTGACTGTACCCAGTGCTTGTATAAATAAATAAATAAATCTTTAAAAAAAAAAAAGAATGAATTTAAAAAAAAAAAAAGAAAGATGGTGTGACTTACCCCCAAACTATGTAGCTTTTATGTAGCAGGGCCAGCATTTTAACCCACGTCACTTAGACTTGACCTTGATATTTTTGACCACTGCGTCCTTTAGCCACCATTGTATCATGAATGTGGATTTTCACCTCCACCCCCCACTATTCTGAGGTAATAGTTCCCCTTTTTTCTCTGCCAGTTTAGAAATCAGCCCTCAGAATGTGGATGTCAATGTGCACCCCACAAAGCATGAAGTTCACTTCCTGCATGAGGACAGCATTCTGGAGCGGGTGCAGCAGCACATCGAGAGCAAGCTCCTGGGCTCCAACTCCTCCCGGATGTACTTCACCCAGGTGAGGGCACTTTTCACCCAGTCATTTCTCTGCTGCCTTTGCCACCTTAAAATGTGCCACACCAGACATAACAGCCCAGATTTTTTACCTGTTGGACTTTCATGATCATTTTCTTTCAGCAACATTTTTTTCTTTGAACCTAACTGAAGGCATTGTGGTATTATCCCTACTCCATCTAGCACCTTAGATGACTTCCCAGGTAAATGAGCTGCCTGAAACATAGGCGTCCTCTTCCCTAGGCCCCTCGCCACTGGAGATGTTTAAGAAGCTTGTCCCGCCTAGGTGGGCAGGTGGAGGGTCAGAGTGCTGGGGAGGCAATAGAAAGAGCAGGGCTGTTCATGTCTCACACACCTAGTTTCCTGCTTTCACGTCTCCCTCAGTAGAAGGGAAACTGGTCATCCCCACACTGGAGGACAGTTGTAAGCAGTGGGTCAACAGCGAAAGGTAAATATCTAGCATAGGGCCTGGCACCATTCATCTTATTTCAATTACCCAGGACCCAAGTGCTTAGGATTCCAAGCTATCCCCCTTCTTAGGGGCCCCCAGTTTTCCCATTTAAAAAGAGCAGATTGGATAATAGGATCTGGTGTCCCCCTCTAGTTCTGACCTGTGACTCAGGGCAGTCCTGTATCATCAGGCCTTTATCAGAAGCACAACAGAGAAACTCCAGAAATGGAAATATTCTCCCCATGAAATTATACTGGGTCTTGCAAGCAGCAGGTGGGATTCTGGGAGGCCTGCTTCACAGAAAACCTTTTCAGTTACCAAGTGGATGAATGTTTCCCATAAAAATATTCCCCACCTGCAAAGAAGCTAGGTGGAAAATGGCACGGGCCTAAGTAGTGAGATGCAGTGCCAGTGGGGCCGCTCCACCACCCTTGAACAGAAGCATTTGGAGATTCTTGGGACAGAGAGAAAGTGAAATGTCTCAGGTTGTGCCTGGTGACCATCTGAAAGGTGTTTGTGGCAGGTGGGCATAGGGAAGTTCTGCCTGGGAATAAGCCCTCAGCCCTCTCTCTCTGGTGGGCTCGGGTGTCACCATGAGCCCATGCTATCAGAGAGGTAGTAAGTACAGATTCTGGCAGGTCCCATGGGTGAGATGAGGACGCACATGTGTACAGTGGGGTCAAGGAGTCTAGGGTGGGGAAAGCTCTGGGAGCAGCAGCTGAGCCATGGCAAGTGCCTTTTAGTTGTTGGTTGGCTTATGTCTGTTGTTCACTTAGCCTCAGTGCCCCTTTACTGCTCCTTGTGCTCTGCCTCGCTCCCCATATATTGTCGAGACACTGTTCTCGTTTTGATCCTCATACAATGCTGAAAAATAGGTAGCAGACAGGTTTATGGTTACAGATGAGAAAACTGATCCAGAGACCTGCCCATGGGGCATAACTAGAAATTCTGCTAGTCTTGGAATGATATAATAGCAGCTTAAATGATGTTAGTAAATGATGTATAATGAAATGTGTCAAGTAGAGGTAGCATAGAGGGTTCCTACCTTCACAGAGGAACTCATATCTCCTGGAGACCACATCCCAGGAGAGAGAAAAACAGGGCCGTCTGGAGAGGATACAGGAGGGCCTTCTGTCCCGGGCTTGAGCAGTCAAGGAAGGGAGTGAGGGATATGGAGGCTGAAAGCCCACAGCTGAGAAAGAATTAGGGGGGCAAAAGGGGAGGAGGAATGAAAAGGAATGTTTCTGACAGGGAACATTGAGGATAAAAGCCTGGGGTACAAGAGAACTTTGAGGAGCTGAAAGTCCAGAGCGCCACCCTGGCTGTCATTGCGATCACCTGGGAAGCTTGTAGAAAATACCAGCGTCCTCCCCAAACCAGTCAAGCAGTGGGGGTGGAGCATGGGCATCAGTACTTTTAAAAGCTTCCCCAAGTGCTTTCACATGAGCCAGCATTAAGCCCTGCTCGCCTTAGTGTGGGCCTGTTGCAGGGAGGGACGCTGGTGAAAGTTGAGCTGCCGAAGAAAACCGTGGAGGGGTTTTCTTCAGCTTATTGGAATACAGCTTTGACTTGATGGGAGTTGACGGGACCTGATTTGCATTCTGTGAAGAATGTGGAAAATGGATTGGAAGAGAACGTGAGAAACTCACAGCAATTTGGGAGAAGTGATGAGGGGTCTGGACGAATATTTGGCAGTAAATCTAGAATCATCAGGACCTAGGAATGAGTTGGCTGGTAGCAAGTGAAAGGAGAGCATCCCTGGCCTAGCTGAAGTCTAAGGAAAGAAATTGCTCCAGATGCTGGAGTGAGTCTTTGACTCTGCTGAGAAAAGCAACTCTGAGTTCCCTCCTGTCTTATGCTGCATGAGTCAGGTTCAGTTAGATAGATTACATTTGGTTTTCTGATAGGACTCAGCAAAGTCCTGACCACTGTGTCTTCAGAAGGAAAGTGGGTTTCTGGGCCGGAGGGCTTGCCTCTGCTGGTGCAGTGGTACAAACCGTGGAGCACTTCCATGGGTGGTAGGGTCCAAACTCAGACCTATTCCTCCTCCTATGGGGTTATCACCTCCCTACCAAAAGTTCTGACTTTTTGGCCTTGGTGGCACCACTGCCTGCTCCCAGCTTGTGCCTTGCACTAGATGCCCTGCATCAGGGCAGCAAAAAGCCCTGGTTTGCAGTGAAGCCATTTGGCATGATAATCAGGGACCATGCAAAGCTTCTAGATTGTTCTGTCATTTGGACAAAGTATTTCATTTCTCTGAACTTTAAAATTACCAACTGCAAAGTAATTATGTTAAAATCTCCTCCCCAAAAACCTGCCTGTTGGGCCTCCCCGGTGGCGCAGCGGTTGAGCGCTGGGTTGCGAAGCTGCCGGCGACCTCTGCGGTGCCGGTTCGATCCCCGGCTGCTCCCCGGCCACTGGAGGAGGGTCCCACATGGCGCGCAGACCTCTCCTGCCGCCCGCTGCTCCCCTCAGCAGTGTACTTTGGTTCTTCTGCCTGCTCTGCTCCCTGCTCTGGCTCTGGTGAGTTCTCTCACCCTCCCGCGCTTCTGACTGTACCCAGTGCATGTATAAACAAAGAAACAAACAAATAAATAAATAAAAAAATAAAAAAATGCCTCTATTAAAAAAAAAAATATTAAAAAAAAAAAAAACCTGCCTGTTGATTTAGCATAGGCAAATAAGTAAATGCATTACAAGCATTCTAAATTGTATAGAAAGAAAGGTCATTTAGGGGCCTCCCTGGTGGCACAAGGGGTTGGGCACCACACTGTGAGGCAATCCGTGGCTTCTGCAGCACGAGTTTGATCCCCCCACCAGGGAGTTGACCCACATGGCGCGGCAGACCATGCTGTCTCGCCTGCTGCTCCCCTCAGCAGTGTATTTCAGTCAGTCTGCCTGTTCTGTTCCCCGCCTTGTCTCTGGTGAGTCCTCTCACCCCCCATGCCTCTGTGGCCTGTGCCCCAGCTCTTGTATGCATAAATAAATAAAACTTTAAAAAAAAAGGTCATTTAACTCTTTTATTGAATATTTTCAAACACACACAAAAGTAGTAATACAACAAATCTTCATGTACCTGTCATACAGCTTCAACAACCATCAACATTTTGTCATATTTATTTTCTCTGTCCTGCTCTTGTTTGGGGTAGGGAAAGGAACATTTTAGAGCACATTCCTCACATTTACTTTTTCCCTGGTAGTTCATTATTCATCTCACATTTTTCTTCTGACATAATCAGTGTTTTTTTACACCTAATAAAATTAATAATATCATTAACATCCAGTGCATTCAAATACCCCTTTTAGCCACAAAAGATATTTTCTAGTAGCTGTTTTTCAAATCTTTATCCAGTCAAGTTTCTGTCATTTATCTGCTGTCTGTCACTTTCTCTTCAGTCTCTGAAAGTCACCCTAGTTGCATTTGTTTTTGTGCCCATTGACTCATTCTAAAGGTTTCCTATAGGATAAGGTACATTTTGGATTGGCTGAATGAGTGCTGCTTCTTACTATCATTTAATTTCTTGTAATCCTCCATGTTTCCTATAAACTGGAAGTTAGATACAGAGACATGAGTCTATTCCGATTAAAAAAATTTTTTTTGCAACATAGATAATGCCATGCACTTCCCATCACCTTCCAGCAGGCGGCGTATCTTGTCTTAATATGTGATTCTGGAGATTAGATCCACCAGAGGGGTCAGCTGGTGATGAGCTGATTCCTTCATCATAAAGTTCCACATCGATATTTATCTTCATGGCTTCACCATTCACTGAGGACCATAACCCAAAATCTGTGATTTCCCTGGGATTGCAAGATTATGATTTTCTGCTTTTATTATTTTCTTTGTACTAATTAGCTCGTCAGTATTTCTGTGTAGAATAGCTTCCCTTTCCTCATTGGCTAGAGCTATCAGATTATTCTGAAATACAGTTCTGTCTAGAAAGTAAGGTTAAATGCTGAATTCTACTCCTTTTGCAGTTTGCAATGTGTTGTCCTAGCAATCTTCAGTGACATATAATGACTCCCCCCTCTCTGTCTCTTCCTAGTTCTCCTTCTCTTCTCTTTCTCCCTCCCCCTATCTCCCCCTCCGTATTTCTTTTGTTCTCTTTGTAGTATTTTGTCGTGTTAACAAACTGATAACACGTAATCATTTATAGTTATTTTCTTCTTTGATGCTCAAATTATTCCATCCTAGGCCAGTGAAAGCCCCTTCCAACTCTTATTCTTGTCTTTTTCACTCAGTTCCAATATTCTTTGATAGTTTCCTTTTTCTGGCAAGACAAGCTGTTGTAGGCTCACTCGGCGCTTTCCCAGCCCCAGCCCTGGATTTGGTTATTTCTCAAATAGCTCTGGTTTATTTTAGTGGACATGGTATTTAGAGACTATAATCTGGTATCGGGGGTCCTCATTGCTGCTGGTTGGTCACTGACATTCAGCCTCCAATACACAGAACTAGGAAATAAATGTATTTACAAACAGTAGAAGAGTGGTTGTCTGGAGCTGGGAGGTAGGGAGGAGTGTGTGGAATGGTGAGTTCGTATTTAATGGGAACAGTTTCCCTTTGTGAGGATGAAAAAGTTGAAAATATATATGTACTCACTACACACTTAAAAATGGGTAAGTAGTACATTTTTGGTTATATGTATTTTGCCATTAAAAAAAAAAGACCCTCTTATGGCAGAAAAAAAAGACAAAAATACCAAATCTTTACATTCATATTTCCATTTCAAATCAATTTTAAGATTACAGGAAATTTGCTAAATTCTTGAGTTTTATATTTGCATACTTCATGCTTTATACTTCAAATTTTGGCCAAAATTTCTTCTGTAATCATTCTGTAACGGTAATTATTCCTGCCTCTAGCTTCTTTCTTCCATACTGCTCCATTTGGGAACTTGGGTTTTTCTAGTTCATATTCTGAACCTTCCCATTTTTTTGACAGACTTTACTACCAGGTCTTGCTGGCCCCTCTGGGGAGGTGGTTAAATCCACAGCGCCTGTGAACCCTGCATCGACTTCTGGAAGTGGTGACAAGGTCTATGCTTATCAGATGGTCCGTACAGATTCCCGGGAGCAGAAGCTCGACGCCTTTCTGCAGCCTGTGAGCAAGGCCCCATCTAGTCAGCCCCAGAACATTGCCCCAGAAGACAGGGCAGATGCTCCCGGCAGAGCCATGCAGCAAGATGAGGAAATGCTTGAACTCCCAGCTCCTGCTGAAGTGGCTGCTAAGAATCAGGGCTCGGAGGGGGATGCCACAAAGGAAACTTCAGAAACGTCAGAGAAGAGTGGGTCTCCATCCAGTCTGGGCAACCCCAGGTATGGCCTTTGGGGAAAGGGCGGCTTGCCTCCTTTGTTCTTTAATAAAGCTGCCTTCTAACTTGGACTTTTCATGGACCAAATCCATCTTCTTTCCACCTAACTCATGTTCCCTTCACCATGGAAATGGGCAATGCTTGGTCTGTCTGCCTTTGACCTTGGCTTGAGAGTCAGCTATCACAGCGGCCTTTGAAGTACCTTAAACGTCCACAATGCCAAGCATTAGTTAAAAATCCATCAGAAGACTTATCCTTTTTTTTAGTAGTGAATTTTGATAAAGCCTCAACAGCATTGGTGGCTAGACAGGGAAACCGAAAATATCTAGAAGATTTTCTTTCAGCCTACTCAGAGCTACTTTCGTTCCTCTAAGAAGAAACACGCTTTCTCAGTTCAAAGTATAAAACTCCCTGAAGCATAGGAGCTAGTGGTGAAAGAGCTAGAGAGCGGGCAAGGATGCCACTAGTGATGACTATTGTTTGATTTGGTGTGCTCCCAGTGTGTGCTCCGCCGGTGTTTAAGACGTGTTTAAGACATCTCACTGAACTCTGCCAGGCGGCTGTGGGTTCTCAAGGTGCACAGGTGCTGAACCTGGAGCTCAGCAGGATGTCATTTGCCTAAGACTGCTCAGCCCTGCTGGCTGACCACTGAGTCCCTGGGGCCATCTGGCTATTAGAACTTGCGTGAGTTGCTTAACTTCACTTTGTTCATTTCTGAGTCAGCCTAGTGAGGTAACTTCTAGGGACTTCTTCCCAGAGAATAATGCAGGCTGCTGAAATTTACTGAACATGCACCCCATGCCAGATACTTTGATCTCAGTTAAAGCTCTTAAACAGCCCTGCAGGGGGAAGTACTACATTTCTGTTTATCGCTTGGGGAACTGATACCACAAACTATTCACCACGCAGCAGTCAAAGAAATCCTTTTTAGCCAGAAATCAGATTGTATCGCTCTTCTGATGACAACCTGTGGTTTCCCACCACACTTGAGGTAAAACCACCCTCGCTCTTCAGGCCACCGCTTTGCCACTCCAGGATGCTTGGCCACACCGGCCTGCGGCTGACCTACACTGAGTTTCTCACTGCCTTTGTCTTCCTGTGTCCTCAGCCTAGGAAGACTCGGGCTTCTTGTCACTCAGGTTGCAACTCAGATGTCACTTCTTACAGAGGCCTTCTTTGTTCTTTTAATCTAAAGATCTCTCTTCTCTCCATTCCCCATCATTCTGTTACGTGACCTTGTTTTCTTCATAGCATTTGTTGCTACTTAAATCATCCTTTTCTGTTGTTTGACTCCCACCGTAGAAAGTAAGTGTTGTGAGGACAGGTAGCCTGTCCTGTTGTTCATGGCTGTATGTAGCTGATATTATAGCAGTGTCTGATGGATGGATAGATGGAGGATGGAATGGGTGACTTGGCAAAGTCAGCTCACTTGTGGCTGGGCCCAACAGGACTCCAAAATCCTGTTGTCCTGTAATGGGCCCCCACTGGAGCCTGCAAGCCATCAGATGAGCAGTGTGCCAGGAAACAGACTGACCTTGCTGCCAGCCCTCTGCACACTGATCCCCCCACAGATGTGCAGAGGCAGCACAGTGAAGCTGCTCCCTTCTCCAAAATGCAATACATAAAATTTGGTTTTTTTTAAAGATGTATTTTTATTTATTTATGCATATAAGAACTGGGGTGCAGGCCAGAGGTTCGGGGGTGAGAGGATTCACCAGAGACAGAGTGGGGAGCAGAACAGGCAGATCTACTGAAATACACTGCTGAGGGGAGCAGCGGGCGAGATAGGAGAGGTCTGCTGTGCCATGTGGGTTGCTCCCTAGCTGGGGAGCACAATCACACTGGTGCTGCAGTGGCTGGTGATAGTTTGGTAGTGCTGAGACTTAACTACCAGGGAGGCCCCCATAATGCATAAAATTTGACTGAGTTAATAACAAGAAAAAAAGAAAAGAACAATAATGATCTGCCAGTTCCCATCTTCATTGCAGAAAGAGACAACGGGAAGGCTCTGATGTGGAAATGGTGGAAGATGAGTCCAGAAAGGAAATGACAGCGGCTTGTACCCCCCGGAGGAGGATCATTAACCTCACCAGTGTTTTGAGTCTCCAGGAAGAAATTAATCAGCGGGGACATGAGAGTACGTAAGTGCAGAGGTCTGCCTGGGACTCCCAGGGTCGGATCTGCTAGCGTGAAGTTTTTGGAAGTGCAGAGAGCATTTCTGTGAGGATGGCCACTGCAGTGAGCTGAGCAAAAACCCCTTCTTTTACTAACCCACAGCAGCAGCAGTAGCTGTTTAAAGACCATTTTCAACTGGGAAAGGAAAAAAGCCTGGTTTTAATTAGAATTAATTGGTCTTCTCATTAAACCATGGGAGTCAGAGTAAAGCAATCATTTACATAATCTTCAGTTTGTTTCTTAGTTCAAAGCAGTGTGATCTAATTCCAATCCTGTGGCCCGAGTGGGGTGTGCTGCTGCTGAGGGTGCACCAGGGTGGGCGGGCCCCGATCCTGCCATTACCACTTCTACTGTGCAGCCTCAGCCACGTGACTTAGCCTTTCTGGGCCTCAGTTTTTCTTTGTCTGTAAAAGGAGATTAATTTAACCCTTGAGGATTAGTATGCTGATCAGGGATAAAATGTAAGTAAGATACTGGTTACAGAGTAAAGAGTCAGATATTTTTATTTTTATTTTTTTTTTTATTTTATTTATTTTTTTTTTTAATAGAGGCATGTTTATTTATTTATTTGTTTGTTTGTTTGTTTGTTTGTTCTGTTTACACATGCACTGGGTACAGTCAGAAGCGCGGGAGGGTGAGAGAATTCACCAGAGCCAGAGCGGGGAGCAGAGCAGGCAGAAGGACCGAAGTACACTGCTGGGGGGAGCAGCGGGCGGCAGGAGAGGTCTGCGCGCCATGTGGGACCCTCCTCCGGTGGCCGGGGAGCAGCCGGGGATTGAACCGGCGCTGCAGAGGCTGAGGGCAGCTTCGCAACCCAGCGCTCAACTGCTGCGCCACCGGGGAGGCCCAAGAGTCAGATATTTTTAATTTCCTGAAGACAAAGTCATAAATCATTCTCATCGTCTTCAGAAACAGCTTTTCAGGATACCCAAGTGTAGAAGTTTCTCTTCTGTCTCTTTTCTGTGATTTAAGTACAAAACTAGCATGGGCCTTAGTAAGATATACTAAAAGAGTGAGTAAATGATTGAGAGGAGCAGCCTGGGAGGTGAAGCCCTAGAATCTTTATTTCAAGGGGATATCAAAGTCAATACTCAGTCTTACCCATCCCTCGTGGGCACGCTGTCAGTCAGTAAACAAGGTTATTTTGGGAAGGTCCAGGATCCACTCAGCGTTCCAAGGAAGCAGGCTCATCTCAGGGATTGGAAATGGCTGGACTTATTCATGCTAGTCCCATAGTTTATCTGTTAACAAGCGAGAGCAAGGCATGTCATGAGATCTTGCTGTCATTTGAATGTGACACTGCTTAAAATTTTATCTACAGCTTTATTTTCTTGGTTTTTGGTAAATAATACTGGTTCTGGAAGTATATACTCTTAATATGGTTTGCCACCAGATGAGGGTTTTTTGATCCATGAGGTCAGTGGAGCTCACACTTTTGTCCAGTGTCTCTCATCTACACAAAGTGTGCTATGCCAATCCCTAAGAAATGACCCCTGACCCCTATGTTAACAGGTACCAGGGTGTTGTGGGTTGTTTAGTGAATAACTGACTGCAACAAAAATAAGGTGCACTGTGATAGAGGAAGGCAGTCACTTCAGGGGACCCTGGGGTGAGATCTGCCTGGGGTGCTTCTTGAACATCTCAGCAACAGCCCCAGGCCCTGGCACCGTGCAGCGGCCAGGCAGGCATCCTCCCTGCAGAAGGCCCTCAGGAACCAGAGGGTGGGTCACCCATCCTTCAGGTTTGACTTTACTTATTGCTTCTCAGAAAAACATGCCGAGATATAAGGTTTTCATGAACTCAGTTATGTGGTTTGACTTTGAAGTACGGAAGGATTTTGTCCCATTTTGCTACTTGCAGAAGGAAATGCCCACAGCCTTCCAGTGCTGTGGGGATGTCTGTGGGAGGAGTAAAGTATAGGTCCCGGAAGCCCAGAGAAGAGACCATGAAGAGGTCCAAGGAGCGTCATGAAGCCAGTGAAGAAAAGGCCTGCCTGTCTTCTTAGTTAATGTTCTGCCTGCATGAAAGGCAGCTCTGAATGAGACCAGCAGACACCCCCTCCCTTCCCTGCCCCTGCTGGCAGGACTGTGCTTCAGTAGCTGTGGATGCGTCAGAGCATTCCATGAAAAATCTGGATGGAAAATCTCTGACCCTGTTTTAGTGGATTACACTGCTTTTTCTTTCCTCCAGTGCCTCATTATTCAAGATTATTTGATGGTCTCCAGCTTTTAAAATAATCATTTTCCACCTACGCAGAACATCCTGTAGAGACATTGAGTTTCCAGTGGGAACAGAGGAAAATGCTTATTCTAAAAATGAAGAAAATAAGCCTCTTTATATGGGGGCGGCAGGGGCCAGGGTGGGGGGAAGCAGAGAGTGTTGCCAAACTTACGTAACAGTGTGAGAATTCACTTATGCTGCCCAAGCTTAAAAAATAAGGTGCAGTAAAAACAAGATGTGCAGGCTTATTGCTGTCCCCAGATGTTCCTCCCAGTTGTGCTGTTTTCATGTCTTTCATTAAAAGAAAAAAAAGTTGTACATACACACCACACAAATATATATGCAGATGTATTGGTAAGTACAAAACCATGCATGTGAAATACACGTAGGGTCCACAGAAGGCAGGTGAACACCTGCTCAAGAAACAGACCTTGGCCGATTCCCTCTCCTTCCTGCCACCCTTAGGGGTAACTGCTCCCCTAAATTTTGTGATTATCGTTTCCTTCTTATTACAGCTTTACCACCCTATTTGTAGCCATAAAAAACTTGCTGCTTAGTTTTACATATTTTCAATTTTTTATAAATGGAAATCTACTCTATTTTTCTGCAATTTGTGTATTTATGTATTTAGAAAACATGCACGTGTGCTTTGTTAAAATGCACCCATCCTTCCTACACTCTGGTTTACTTTTTCTGTGTGCGACATCCCACTTTGCGACCACGCTGTTGAAGGTCTTGGGATTCTCATTCGGCCTCAACTCTCCTTCAGTCCCCACCCTCCTTTCCAGCCGAGAGGATTGAGATCTTGGAACGCTGGTTAAGAGACACTGCCATAACTAGGACAGTTACTGTTGGTTCCTAAAATGACACGTTTTCTAAAGGTATCATGTAGATGTGCTGTCCCTCCAAATGCCGTGCAGATCTTGCCTTTACTCCACCTTCTCTCCAGTGTTTGAGATTGTCAGACTCTACTTGTTTGGTATTTGTGAAATGATATCAGTGGTGGTTTTTATTTGCCTTCCCTGGTTACTCATTAAGTTCAGTTTCCTCTTCTATTAAGTGCCTGTTCAAGATTTCTGTTCATTTTTCTGGTTTTGGGGGTTTTGGGGTTTTTTTTTTTTTTGTCTTACTGATTTTAGGAATTTTCTACAATAAAACATCTTCAGCAAGTTTAGTGCTTAGTTCTAATGTAGGTACATTTTATGAGTTGTTCTTAAAAGATTGACCTTTTAATCCTATTTAGAAATATGTCCTTATTCTGGCATAATTAAAAATATGCTTTTATACTATCTCCCAAAATGCTTGTACTTAAATCTCTATCCACCTGGAATTCATCTTTAGTGCTTGGTATTTGATTAACAGTTTCCATGTGAGTACCTAATTGTGCCATAACACTATTGTCAGATTGTTTGAATTTAGTGAATATAATTTGCTCACAATTATATCCCCTAGACTTTTCATGATCTGCCTGAAAAACATCCTTTAGTGGGGCCTTGATGGCAAACCGACTTTTGCTCTTTCATCTTTATTTTCTTCTTTCTCCACACCTCAGATCCTGTGGGACTAAAGTTCATCTTTCCTAAGTTCCTCTGATGTCTTTTTTTTTTTTTTTAAAGATTTATTTTTTACTTATACAAGAGCTGGGGTACAGGCCAGAGGTATGGGAGGGTGAGAAGATACACCAGAGACAGAGTGGGGAGCAGAACAGGCAGACAGACCGAAAGCACTGTTGAGGGGAGCAGCGGGCACAACAGGAGAGGTCTGCTGCGCCATGTGGGAATCTCCCTGGCTGGCCATGAATTGAACCCACGCTGCAGAGCCTGCGGACAGCTTCACAGCGCTGTGCTCAACCCGCTGCACCACCAGGGAGGCCCTTCTCTGATATCTGGATAAAGTTGTCTTCAGACCCCTCATGACTTCACTGGGTTCCTGTTTTGTCATAGATTGTGACCTTTGGATATCCCTTAATCCCTTGTTTCATTTAAAAAGATTAAATATATTTTACTCCTCCTATATGTTTTTCTCAGAGGAAAGCATCTCTGCTTGTTTGTTATCCTTGGTTCTGGTACTTGGTGCTTTGGGCTGTGAAGATACTGGTGGATGTATCACTCACCTGTTTTCTGATTTTCCAGCTCTTCGGGAGATGTTGCATAACCATTCCTTTGTGGGCTGTGTAAATCCTCAGTGGGCCTTGGCACAGCATCAGACTAAGTTATACCTTCTCAACACCACCAAACTCAGGTAAATCAGTGAGAGCCACTAAGTCCAGAGTGTATGAGCATGAAAAGCTGGGGTAATTGGAAAGGGACCCAGACTTCGAAGTCAGACAAATTGTTTCAAGTCTAAGCTCGGCTGTTTACCATTTATGTGACCTTGGGTAAGCTACTTTCCTAAACTATCTCAGATTTCTCATCTATAAATTGGGTTGTTTGTAGTTGTTATGAACAGTAGAAATGACTTAAGAAACCTAATGTTTGGTGCTCGATAAATATTGACTGCTGTGAACCAGGTGTTAAGGGCTTAGTGCTTAGAATGCTAGCATCTGCTGTGTGCAAGAGTGTACTGTGGTGGAGGCAAGAGAAAAAAGACCCGACACCTCCCTTCCCTCCAGCTTGGAAATATGACAGGGCTTACTCCAGCCACTGAATGAGTCAGTGAGTTTGATGAGCACAGGAAGGGTGACGCCAGCACTGCCATTTGCTGAGTGCATAGCCATTGACATTTCTGTTGTTTGTATCTAGGGACTTTGTGGATGAGCTCCTATGAAGTCTAGAACCTATATTAAATGTCCTTGAATCAGTATACTGCTTCCTTGGGAGGGTGCTGCTAACTTGCATACTGGAGTCATTTTTCCCATAAGACCCTTTTCCCATGAGACCCTCTGCAGGAGGGCAGCCACTATCCATTGCTTGGAGTTGGCACACAAGATAAAAGCTTCTTTGACTCCTCTAACCCAGCACCTGCCCCAGCTCATAAGCTTGGCGTTGGCACTCTTAACCTCCTTGAAATTTCAGAACCCATTCCTGCTAGGCTTGGAGACCCTTTCGCTGCAGTTCTGTGCAAGGTTCTTTGTCTTTGCTCTGAGAGTCCTTGGGCTTGTTCTGTGATCCGTCCCTTATTAATCTGCTGGGAATTCTACTACCCTTGTTTTTTTTCTTTTCAACATATCTAAGTGCATGATTTCCAAGGCTCCAAAACACAGTTGTGTTCAGGTTCTTTCATTTCAAAGATAAAGATCCAGGCCAGCTCCCAGAATTTCAACTATTAATAAATGGTTTCCCAGTGAGAAGGTAAGAAATGTACTGAGCCAACTAGATTCAGAGTGCAATGTCTGGATGCAGCCGTCTTTCCCCGCTTTACTAACACCAACCTGGGACAAGTCAGGTAGTCACTGGGTACCGCAGTTTCCCCACAGCAGGTATAGCCAATGCTTTGTCTAACTTGATAATGAGTCTTCAGACAACATCTATATGGTGCAGATGGCTGTAAGAACTATAAAGTACCATTTATTTCAATAATCTGTTTTTGTAAATTGTTCGATAGATTGTATGCTTCAGAACTGCTTTTGGAATGTTGTCGACCAGTGCATCATCCTAACCATGTTGGTGTGTGCCTGATTATTTCTTCTGATTATTTAGAAAGTCTCCGTGCCCTCCTCATACATTCTGTATCATTTTTAATAGTGAATTATAAAAAGTAATTTCAAAGGATTCTTTATAAATGGGGGAAAAGGTAAACAAAACCCCCTAAATCTTACTACAGGTGTCAAAACCCTCGTACAGCACAGGAGGGGTGGGGACAGAGCATGGACCACAGCAAGCTAGACGAAGCCTTCATGCTAAACCAGCCACAGCCCAAGCTGGAGCACAGGGACTCAGCTCTGCCGAGGAAGGGGAGGTCTTGTTAGACTGTGAACCAGGTCCCTCCACCAGGCAGAAACATGGCTTTGTCCCATCCATGCTTCAGGGGTGATTTCTCCTGTTTTGTCCCTACTCTTTGACTCTCAAGCATGGATTCAGTTTTCCCTTAAAGTCACTTCATTTTTATTTTCAGTGAAGAGCTGTTCTACCAGATACTCATTTATGATTTTGCAAATTTTGGTGTTCTGAAGTTATCGGTAAGTTTATTTTCTGCTTCTCATTTCTGAAACTTCAATGACTGGACTTTTTTGAAAATAACAGCTCTATTCTAACATCTTATTTGTAGTTTATTAAATTACTCTAAATATGCTTAGGGTAGTTTCTGTCCTGCATGATTTACATATGGAGGTGTCTTCAATTACAATAGCTTTACACAAAGCGTTAAGTTATTTGGTAGCTAACTTCAATAAGTATCTGTTAGTACTATTATTACCATAGAAGTTAATATATTTCTACTTAATAAAATTTGCAAAGGAAAAAAAATTTGAAAAGAAAATAAACATTCTTTCAAGTCTCATGACCCAAAAACAATCCAAGCTCACAATTTTAGTACACTTTTAGTACCTTGTCATTGCTGAATTTAAAATGAGTTGAAGTTTTACTACTTATCTATGTCACTTGCTAGTTTTTTACATTCGACATGCCCTACAAAAGTCTTCTAGGATTTTTATTGGGACTGTGTTGAACCTATAGATCATTGGGCCGGGGGTGAGGGGAGATGATCTTATTCCTTAATATTTCATACTTTTTGTTGATAACTGCAAATGGCACTTTGAAAATATTTCCGATAGTTGCTAGAATATAGAACTACAGGTGTTTTTATACATTGATCTTCTATCTTGCAACCTTGCTAAACTGACTTTTAAGTTCTAGTAGCTTTTTTTGAGATTTCTTCAGGTTTTCTACATGGATAATCATGGCATATGTGAAGTCAGTTTTATCTGTGCCTGTCCAAGCTGGATGCCTTTTATTTTTTTCTCTTGCCTGATTGCACTGGCTGGAACATTAGTACAATGTGGTGAGACTATAAATCCTTTTGATCCTGATCTTAGGGGGAAAGCATTGTTTTTCATACCAAGGGTGCTTTCTGCTATAGGTAGGTTTTTTGTAGACTTTCCTTCTTTTCCTTGTTTGCTTAGAGTTTTTATTCAGAAATGGATGTTGATTTTTTCCAAATGCTTTTTCTGCATCTAAGATAATTATATGGCTTTTGTTTTCATTTGTTAATATAGTGAATTACGTTGATTTTTATGTTAAAACACTTGTATTGCTGGGATAAACCTGCTTATATGATGTATTGTCCTTTTTCTGTATTAATAGAATTAGTTGGTTGAAGGTTTGCTTACAATTCTTACCTCTGTGCTCATGAATGATAGTGGCTTATAATTTTCTTTTAGTGGCTTAGGCATCAGTGTAATGCTGGCCTTATAAAATGAGTTGCCCTTATTTTCCATCTTTAGAAGAGCTTGTGTAGAGTTGGTATTCATTCCTTAAATATTTGGTGGAGTTCACGATTGAAGCCATCTGGGCTAGAGATTTCCTCAGGGGAAGGTTAACTACAAGTTCAGTTCTTTTGATAAAGAACTGTTCCTAGCTTTATGTTTTTCATAGATAAAGAACTACATTTTTCTTCTTGAGTGAGCTTTGTTATTTTGTTTCATTCAAGAATGGTATCTAGGGCCTCCCAGGTGGCGCAGCGGTTGAGCGCTGGGTTGCGATGCTGCCTGCGGCCTCTGCGGCGCCAGTTCCATCCCCAGCTGCTCCCCGGCCACCAGAGGAGGGTCCCACATGGCGCGCAGACCTCTCCTGCCGCCCGCTGCTCCCCTCAGCAGTGTACTTCGGTCCTTCTGCCTGCTCTGCTCCCCACTCTGGCTCTGGTGAATTCTTTCACCCTCCCGCGCTTCTGACTGTACCCAGTGCATGTATAAACAAACAAACAAATAAATAAATAAAACATGTCTCTAAAAAATATATATATACTTAAAAAAAAAAAAGAATGGTATCTATTTAGGTTTTTGAATTTGTTGCCATAAAGTTGTTTCTAATACTTTTTATTCCTTTAATGTCTGTAGATCTGTAATTATGTAATGCTCTCATTCCTAATATTCACAACTTACGTCATCTCTCTTGAACTTGATCAGTCTGGCTAAAAGTTTATTAATTTTATTAATCTCGAAGAATTATCTTTTGGTTTCATTGATTTTTCTGTTTTCTATTCACTGATAACTGCTTTATATTTCCTTCTATTTATTTTAGGTTTAATTTTCTTTTCTGTTTAATATTTCTATGGCAGAAGCCAAGGTATTGATTTAAGGTCTTCTTTTCTAATATAGATGTTAAGTGCTATAAATTTCCCCTGAGGGTTGCTTTAGCAAGTTCCCACAAATTTTCTTAGGTTTTGGGCCTCCCCGGTGGCGCAGCGGTTGAGCGCTGGGTTGCAAAGCTGCCTGCAGCCTCTGCAGAGCCAGTTCGATCCCCGGCTGATCCCCGGCTGCTCCCCGGCCTCCAGAGGAGGGTCCCACATCGCGCGCAGACCTTTTCTGCCGCCTGCTGCTCCCCTCAGCAGTGTGCTTGTCAGTCTGCCTGTTCTGCTCCCCGCTCTGGCTCTGGTGAATTCTCTCACCCTCCCTCGCTTCTGACTGTACCCAGTGCTTGTATAAATAAATAAAAATAAAAAATCTTTTAAAAAAAATTTTTTTTCTTAGGTTTTTTCCTATTTTCATTCAGTTCAAATACTTTGTTTTTTTGATTTCTTCTTTGACTCACAGGTTATTTGTAAGTATGTTATCTACTTTACAATCACTTGGAAATTTTTCAGAGATCTGCTGATTTCTAGTTTAATTCCATTTTGGTCAAAGAACATACTTAAAATTGTTTTACACTTACTGAGACTTGTTTTGTGATGCACAACAAAGTCTATGATGGTAAATGTTCCATATGCTATTGAAAAGAATGTATAGTCTGGTCTTATTGAATAGAATGTTCTATAAATGGCAAGTATATTATGGTCAGATTTCTGCATCCTAATTTTCTGTCTACTGATTCTATCAATTAGTGAGAAAGGGATACTGAAACATTTAAAAAATAATTAATTTATGGGCTGCGAAGCTGCCTGCAGCCTAATAAAAAAAAATAAATAAATAAAAAATAATTAATTTCTCTTAGCAATTGTTTTATCCCTCTTATATTTTAAAGTTCTGTTATTGAGTGCATAACTTAGAATTATTAGGTCTTTTTGACTAATTGACTCCTATTATGAAAAAATAATAGTGGTATACAACATGTGAAAAAATAAGATGAATGGCAACATTAACATCAGAAAGAGAGAAATGGAAAATTAGGTATCTTAGTTTTAACAAAAGGATTTCCTTCTCATCAGATGATTTACTTGAAATAGAATTCAATTTAACCTGTTCTCCCTCTCCCTTTCTTTAGTTATCGATGAGGCAGTAAAAAGAAAAGATCTGCTTACTGATTTTTTAGAAATATAATCGAGGTAATTATGTTAAGTTAGTCAGAAAGTGAAATATAGATACTGGATGGTTTCACTCATCTGTGGAATATAAATAACAAAAAAACAGCAGGAATAAACCTTGACCTCAGTGAAAGAATATAATGGTTACCAGAAAGAGTGGGGGAAGGGGGCAGGGTGGGTACTGGCACAGGTGGCACGCAAGTGGAACACATGCACATATGAAGAGCAAAAATGTGACCCCGAAATTAAAATAGAAATTGAAAAAAAAAAATGTAAGTGGGCTCCTTTAAAGCTACAGAGAAAACAAGCGCCTACATGTGGCCTCACCCTTCCCACCTGTTCGTCAGGCTCTGTCACATCTTCTTTGTTGAAACAGCCATTGGTGCAAATGAGGATGAGGTTTTGTTGTGGAGTGGCAGGTGTCTGTCCTTCTAGGGGGAGACAGGGAGTATTAAGATTTGTGTTTCTCGCCTGCTGTCATGATCATGTTTTGTAAGAATTCAGGCCTCATTTGCACGCCCTGTTAACACTTGTCCTTTAATGTTCTTGCTCATTCCTAGGAGCCTGCACCACTCTTTGACCTTGCCATGCTCGCCTTAGATAGTCCTGAGAGTGGCTGGACAGAGGAAGATGGTCCCAAAGAAGGACTTGCTGAATACATTGTTGAGTTTCTGAAGAAAAAGGCTGAGATGCTTGCAGACTACTTCTCTTTAGAAATCGATGGGGTATGTGACAGCCATTTTTATGCCTCTGTTCTCTTCAAATATGAGCAGATTCCATAGTTGTTCTAAGAGCAAGATTCTGTCCCCCACTCAGAAGCAGCATGTGACACAGAGGAAATGTGTTCCCTCCCTTTTGCACTGCTAGGTCATACAACCTGTTCAGGCCCACCCCGGGGGGGTGGACCCAGACACAAGGGAGAATTGAGTCCATAGTCCCTGTAGGCCACGCTGAATGGGATTATGACACTCTCCTTATTGCTGCTTCTTACCTCTTGACCTTTGGGGCTTTCCATCTTGGTGTGTGCTTTGGCTGGTGAGCAGATCCAAAGAAAAGGTTGTTCTGCTCAGGACAAACAAGTCTTTAAGTCCTTAGTGTTCCTGTCCCCAGGGCCCAACCCAGCCAGGCACTACCCCCAGATGTGAAGGAAGCACTGGGAGATGAAATTTGTTTTAACTATAACCACATTATTTCTTGTCCCCTTGTCCTGCCTTTTCTTCCCCAAGCAGGAAGGGAACCTGATTGGTTTACCCCTTCTGATTGACAACTATGTGCCTCCTTTGGAGGGTTTACCTATCTTCATTCTTCGACTAGCCACGGAGGTAAGTGAGCATGCCCACACTAGCCTTTTGATAAGCGTATGTTGGGAGGGAGATGGCCTTCATCTGGAATGAGAAAGATGAAAAAGTTAAAATAGCTGAAGCCACCCTCTCTCCCCCACATACTCCTCAGCAATATTCAGCAAATTTAAGTCATCTATGATTTCCATTTAGAAATGAAATCTGCTTAAATCACTTATTTTATGTTAATTTATCCAAATTCTTTCTTTGGATCAGGTGAATTGGGATGAAGAAAAGGAATGTTTTGAAAGCCTCAGTAAAGAATGTGCTATGTTTTACTCCATTCGGAAGCAGTATATATCTGAAGAGTCGACCCTCACAAGCCAGCAGGTACTGTGGTACACATGCTGGCACCCCAGAATTGGAATGGGCCCACACGCAATACAGTGTTTAAGAAATGAAACATGTCATCCCTCAGTTCCTAGAGCTACACTGCACATAAGGCTTAAACACAACAGTCAATTACATTTGACTGTTATACATTACATTTTATTATTCATTACATTTATTTCCTTCTGCTGGTCTGGAAGCTACCTCCAGGGTGCTCTTACTATGATATGTAAAAACATAAGCCATCCCAGTGAAGGATGGGCGGTTGAGTGAGATTGTCCAGGGCTAGTGCATCTCACCCTCTCATTGTTGCCCCTTAAGTGTGGAGCCAGTCTTCAGACTCTGGGCTAGTCTCCTCCATCTCTCTTAGCTTTTGCTTACTCCATACAGCTGATCACTGCTTTGCTAGGAAAACAAAGCTGTTCTGAGGTCAGAGTCCCAGCTCCTCTTCTGGAAGGTCAGCTTGACACAGAAAGGGCCTGGGTTCCATGTCACCTTTCCCAAGCAAATGACAGTGATTTTCATCAACTATTTTGGGTGGGGATGGCAATTGAAATAGTGTAATAATCAACCAGTAGCCATTTCTAACCATCTCAGTGACTGCTTACAGTCATCCACTGAGGGAGAGTGATATGCCCCAGTTTTATAGATGAGGAAAATAAGGGACAGCTCGCCTTGTCAAGGGTTCCTCAGACGCTGGAGGAGGTGGAACAGACATTTGGCTCCTATTGGCCAAAGTCCCTAGGAAACACTTAATTCCAGTGGAGCAGGAAGATAGCACACTTACCAAACTGCTCAGAGTACAGATGGTCCCGACTTGGGATGGCTGAACTTCCAATTTCAATTTTTCAACTTTATGAGGTAGGAAAGTGCTAAGCATTCAGTAGAAACCATGGCTATTTCATAAGTGTTAGAAAGCATAGCCCACAATGTACTTTTCAAGCCCAGTGCACATCAGCCAGAAACCCAGTGGATATTGGGCACAAAGGGAGAGGCTTATGACATTTACCACATCTTTTCCAGAGTGAAATGCCTGGCTCCACTCCAAAGCCCTGGAAGTGGACTGTGGAACATGTTGTCTATAAAGCCCTCCGCTCACACCTTTTGCCTCCTAATCATTTCACAGAAGATGGAAATATCCTGCAGCTTGCTAACCTGCCTGACCTATACAAAGTTTTTGAGAGGTGTTAAGTATGGTCTCCTGTGGACTCGGGTGTTTTTTGTTTTCCTTTACATCCTAATGTTGGTTTTAAACACTTATATTTGCCTTCTAATTAGTTAACTCTTCTTTGTGCATGGGGGATTGATATGAATAAATTGTCAGATGTGCCCTAATGTGATTTCTTCTTAAATTTCACTACATTTAAAGTCTACTTCTTAATCAATTTTTACATAGTAAATATGTGATGGTGCTGAAGAACCCCAAAAGTAGTTTGAAAGCCATCTGGACATCTAATAATTCTAAAAAGGCCTTCCTTGAAGATTTAATAGATCAAGCTCTGATTTGATTCTTTATTGTGATAAATTTCTAATACCAGGTAGTACATGTTATGTTGGTTCAAGTGCCTCTTAAAAGAGATCCTGAACATGTAAGAGACTCTGATGACACTGACTATGGAGACAGCCTAATAGTACCTTCAATAACTAATGGAAAAAACTTGAGAAAAGGAACAGTCCTTTATCCAGTCTATAAGTGGCACACTTTGTTAATGGCTGTGAGTATGAATACTATCTGCTTAAGATAAAGAAAGCTCTATGTATTCCTGTTTGAAGGATGATGTAAAAGTATGTAAACTATGCCATTAAAATGAGCTACCTTGGTATTACCCTGCAAAAACACATGTGCAGTCAGCACAGGAAGAATGCTTGTAGTTTTGAGGTAAAATCTAGATTATAATACTCTGAAGAAAAGCCTGTGGACAAGAATAGAAAACTACTGAAAAGAGGTAGAACCATTCTACTTGAAAAAGACAGGACAGCAGGATGGAAGACATATTTGACATGTACCTCAAGAGAGGCAAAAATTAGGTTCTAAAAAGTAGACCAGGGCATCTCAGAGTGAGATTCCACATGTCCAGGAGGAGCACAGGCTAAGTGACCAAGAGTGGAGAGAGGAAGAGGGGTTTCTGAGGCCCCCTGAGCTGGCCACCCTGTGTTCAGATGTGGGATTCTAGGATGCATCTGCACTTCAGAACAGCTCCCTCCCCAACCCCACACAACTGCTGTTACTTCTAGGGAAAAATTTTTTAGGAAATCATCTCAATTCAGGCAATTGGGGTCCATATTTTAAAAACAAAGGTCTAATTACTCTAAAGGGAATAAATATTAAAGATTTTATTCACATTTGAGTTAACTTTTATTATCTAGTTTCAAGTCTAATTTTACTATATGGCCTTAATTCATTAGACTTTTGCCAGTATTTTTTCTGTGTAAACACACTGACGATACAACAACAGTAAAAACACCTTAATTCTGAGAACAAAGAACCACAAATTCTGCAAAGTGACTATACTCAATAAAAATTGACCTGGGTACCTTTAAAGAAGAGACTAAACTTTCTAATAGAAAAAGTTCTTATTCCAGATTATTTTTTTCTTGAGGGAAAAGAGGAGGGGCAAGATAGAAGGGGCACGATTGCCAGGATTTATTTTAAGTCTCCTCTTACAAAATGAATGTGTCAGCAGCCAGTTGTGCTCAGCAAAAGGGTGTGTTTAATAGACTCTTCAGGCAGACTTCCCACCTGCCTGCCCAGCCCCTCCCTTCCCCACTGGGCTTGTCTGAGGTTTCATTCCACAAATAAGCAGCAGATGAAATACTTTACAAGATACAGCACAGTTGATGTTGAAGACTAAGGACCCTACTCTTACTTTAAGAGTATTAGACCTTGGACTTCCCTGCCCCATGCAATAAAGCAAGTTTTATATACACTCCCATTACCTTTTTCTAATGTTTTCTTATATAAATTTAAATATTTTACAAAAAAAGGCTTTTCCCCCCAAAGATATAAATTTGAGTGAAATATATATTCCCCTTCTGTGAACTTGTTTCTTCACTAAAATATAAATGCTATCTGATATCACGGGTAAATGTCTTTTGACCACTGGACATCACTGAAGTTTGAACTTCCCTGTGGAGAAGGCACTTGTGTTTTCTGAGGTCTCCAGCAAGTATCTCAGTGAACACTCACAGAATCACTGTTCTCCAGAACCTGTGCCGAAGCTTCCGAATGCCCAGGCACAGGCAGCTGGGAGAAAATGTTGAGTAAGCTTGATTCTAAAATTATGGACAAAATAAAAACAGCATGGACCAGCTCTGGTCCTAGAATCAAACTACAAACAAAATCCATAGTGTTCATTGAAGAAGATTCAAACCTGTTTCATTCTCTCATAAATTAGAAAATACAAAGGTGACTACTTTAATGACAAAGCTCAAACAGTACTGAAAGGGGTTCGTGTCAATGGACAAAATGTCAGTCCCTCTGGGCGGGGCCCTGGAGCAGCACCCAGGCAGAAGAGGCAGAAGGATGGCCTCCCTACTGCTGGGCCAGAAGTGCTGTCCTGTTGGCCTTCATCTTCTCCAATCGCTTGGCCAAGTGGCTGTTGGTCATTTCCATCTCTTCGATCTTGTCCAGTGCTGTTCGTAACTGGAGACAAGAAGACCTCAGTCACTTCTCATGCTCAGAAACAAAGCCCAATGCTACTTCATTTGAACTTTCTGTGAAGTGGAAGGCCTGCTAATTGCAATGGCCTGAAACAGAATCCAGCAGCCTAGCTGCTTTTCAGGCAGTTAGAGGGGTTAAACAGTGCTGCTGAGGTTAATCACAGACAGGATATACAGAAGTTGGAGAAACAGACCTGATATAAAAACAAAAAGTAAAACTAGCCTTTTTTTTTTTTTAAATTAACTAGCCAAAACATCAAAGTAAATGGCAGTCACTGTGCAGGTCAAAAACCAACACAGAAGAATAAGTAACTCTACTTATTGAACCCAGGATTAAATTCCTATGCAGCAAATTATTTATTTCCAAGGATTTTTTTCTTTTGAGGAATATATTCAAGGAACATATTAAACATACCTCTCGTTGTAGCTTCCTTTTCTCTGCTTTCAGTTCATCTTCAACTTTCTCAGCATTCTCAGCAGCAGTTTTATATCTCAGCACCTGTCCCTCTAGCCGGCTATTCTGTAAATTTGAGAACACAGGCCTCTGGTTTGGGGCACTGGGAGCCACCAATTTTTTGTAGCCAAGATGGAAGTACAATGTCATGACAAATTCCAAGTAATCTAACACAAGTCTCCTCAGGGTGAGTCATAGGTCCTGCTATTTATAAATCAAGAATTGTCCCCAGAGGGGATTACAGCTGTAAAGTCAACAGCGGGCCAATTTCCCATGTTAAGTTTTACGATGACCAGAGTGTTTAAGTGCCAAAGTAACATCTCAGGAAGAGACTAACCGAATGGGAAAGTTTTAGACTTTGAAATGTGTAACTGATATTTTTACAAACTGTGATCTTGAGTTCACTTGAAATATCTATAAAAGACAGGATTATAGCTATGATTTTCCACATTTTTACAGAAAACAGAAAGCTGAACTGCTCTGCCAGGCGTTCTTTGCTGGCTTTTTCCCTTTAATATAGACCTTTTATAGCAACTCAACCGCCAAGCCAGTGCCACAAGGCCTGTGTGTTCATGGGCTTTGCCACTTAGTTGGAGTGAGCAGATGTGTTTTAAGGGACTTTAAGTAACTTGGTACCATAAAGAAGAATTACTTACACTTTGCTCCAAGGTGGTTATATCCTGTTCTGCTTTTGAAAGCTTAAACTTATATTCACTAATTTGTCTATTGGCATCTCCTAGAACAGAAGAGAATAATGAATCACTTCTCAGAAGTGAAGGTGACCCATCTCCTGCAGCACAGGAAAGGGCTATGCTATCTCACACCAAATGCACACACAGCAACCATGGCCTCAATGGCAGCCCGGTTCTGGAGTAAGTATGCTCTAGCACATGTGTTGCAACAGCATCCCTTCAGTCAGGAGTTAGAAGAACTTACTCTTCACCCCAAGATTTGTGTGGACAAGAGTTTTGAGCAAGGAGCCCTGTCAGTGCAGCAGGGAGCCCCACCAACTATACCCGTAGCCCTAGGGCCCAGGAGCTTGTGTGCTCGGACTATGCCCTCTGGTTCCCTGACCCCCAGCACTCCAAACCTTCTCAGCTCTCAGGTTTCCTTCTGTTCACCCATACTTAAGTGCTTCTTGTCCCCTACCTCTGGTTCAAGTCCTAACCAACTTAAAAGGTCACCATCAATTTTCACTTCTTTTAGAACTAGTTAACTGTAACTAGCCCTTCCTTTGTTGCATTTTATTTGTACTGTTTAGTGACATTTTTCATAATCTTATGTATGTAAGAGAGGCCCTGTCTTCACCTTCCTTCTTGAATCTATCTTGAAACTCTCCTGCTATAGCAAAATACTCTCCATATATTATATGCTTAATATTTGCTGAAATAAATGTTTTTCAATAATACTTGTGATAATGTGTTACAGGTAGAACTATAAATCATTAGATGTAAATCTGACCTAAGAAGCAAATTATTAAAAATGAGAAGTTTGGAAATGACAGGAGCAAAAATTTCCTCACCAATCCAAATTTAACAAAAGTCATCCTGAAATTATAGAGTAGGAATCATAAGGCTTATAGGAGATAAATTTAACCTACCTAATTTAATAACTTTTCTATATTTCTACATAACTAAGGTTACATTTATCTATATCATCTTCAATACAAGAGGTTTTTTACTTGGATAGGTACTATCACCCTAAAATAATAGGGTTGTAAAATTGTCTTCTCAAAAGTCACCTATGGTAGTGACAAAAAAATTCCTATTCCTGGGCTCTAAAACCGAAACTTCAGAATCATGCATTAATTCTTAAGCCCAGTAATTTATTAACAAAATGTGATGCTTCCTTCTCACTCTCCAAATCACTCATTCCTTCCTGTTTTCAAAAGTGTAAGTCCCTGATCTCAGCCATTTCAGCATGTTTTGAAATACCATTTCAAAACACCATGCTTAGCAGCCAGATCACTGGCCAGAGCCAAAAGTCACTAGGGTTCCTTTCCTGGCCTTCTGGGGTGGGGAGCTGCCTGCTTTTGCCTTTGCCCCCAGCCTGGCTCAGCTCATCTTACTCTACAGTTTCACCCTAAGAACATTTTCCTACCTTCTACAGAGCCAGCTCTTTAACACCTGCCTGCTCTAGGAAGTATTAACACAAAAAGGCATGTCCATTTCCACTCCCTATGATTCCTTTTGAATTTGCTCCTTCAGGCCAATCTCTTTGAAATCTATCACTTGCCCTCTAAGACTTGCAGCCACTCTACTGCTTCAGCTCACCATCATAGCCTCCTGAGTAGTCAGCCCGCTTCCTCATGCCCGTCTTCATCTACCCTCTATGCCATAACAGTATTTCTAGAACAAAACATGTACCAGGTAGTGTCACAAGGGTCCTACCTTACATCCAATAGAGGAAGTGATGCTAACCTCAAAGTATTAATAAGTTAATATAAAGTTTTAATCTAAGAAGTTATTTCTATTTAGTCTAGTTTAATATTTAGGTGAAAAGGTCACAGAATAACAATATTTTTAAATAAGTTATCAGAAAAGCCATTATTCAAATTGAAAAAGTTTCTCCTGTCTGTAAATTCTTAACATCTATACACAAATGGCAGCTGATATTTCTCTACTATGGGAAATTTTCCTACAACCATGAATATAGTAGGATTTTAAAATACCATCGAGTCAAAAGTAGAAAGGGTGAGAAATTAGAATAATTTAAGTAAACTGAATAGGCTTCCTTTGTGGCCTTATTTTAAATATCATCTAATAAAGATCAGTTTGGATTAACAAGAATACTGGGAAATACTGAACTTAATCAACATTAGTGTATGAGTTAACTAGATCCCTGCAGTTAGCCAAATAAATTCCTAGAATGGAGCCACATACAGATTGAAACTGGCCTGTCCCCAGCACCTACTCTGCATTTCGATGAACTGCAAGTCTGAGCCGTTCTGCAGCCCTGCCAGGTCCCCCACTGTGCCATCACTCCTGGAGCCCTTCTGCCGTTCTTCCTCTAACTGCAGCTTCAGTTTTCTGACCTGAAGTAGAAATAAAGGCTCATCAGCAAGACCAAGTCTCTCAAATAGAGCAGATGCTTGGCCCAACAATCACACCAAAGGATAGGGCCGATCTTCATCAGTCACAGACCATTCATTCAAAAACTATTTCCTTAAATGCTGACGTGCAGCTGACAATGACTTCCCCATAGTAGGGCTGATGTGGTAATGTCAACGATGAGTCCAGACATATGCATATGCACCTGTCTGGAAGAATACTGTGTGACAAGATATAAAATGAATCTTGTTCAGATGTAACAACCTTATAATGTAAGGTCCAGGTATCTTCATAATTGGTGTCAGCTCTACAACAGAACATAAAAACAGCTACAAAAACCCATTAATGTATGACTTGACAGCTATGAGGAACAAAAGCAGGGAAGTGTAGGCATGGCTAATATTTTATCAAAGTCAGTCATTAAGCAGCTATACCCTATTTGGGCTAAAGAATACAAACTAACTGAATCATTAAGATGTATTTAACTAAAGAGAGTTTTAGGTAATAAATTTTTAATTTATGTACTTGAAAAGATCCTTATAATGAAAGCAAATAAAATGTTAAGTATAATACATAAAATTTCCAAAAATCTAAAACCAAAAACTAATCGAGTGTCTGCTATGGAGGACACTCTCCTCAAGGTGCTGGAGATAAGCGGTGAACAAAATCAAAAGGAGAAAATTCCAAGACAAGATGTCCCAATGAAAATATTTCTGTCTTTTCCTTTGTGTAAGTTTTTAGGAAAGCCTATCTTTTCAGTATTTTTGCTGCTTTTATTAAAAATGGAAAATTCCAGGGCCTCCCTGGTGGCGCAGGCGGTTGCGCGCCACACTGTGAAGCTGTCCGCAGCCTCCGCAGCATGGGTTCGATTCCGGCTGGTCGGCGAGAATCCCACATGGCGCAGCAGACCTCTCCTGTCTTGCCTGCTGTTCCCCTCAGCAATGTCTGTTCCCCTCAGCAATGTCTGCCTGTTCTGTTTGCTGCTCTGTCTCTGGTGAAACCTCTCACTCTCCCGCACCTCTGACCTGTACCTCGGTTCTTGTACAAATAAATAAATCTTTAACCAAAAACAAACAAACAAACAAAAGATACAGAAAAACCTGCTTTTTTTAAAAAAAAAAAGGACAATTCCATAAACATTTATATGTTTTTTGTTTAGTTTTAGAGTTAAGTTAAATATTCTTATTTAGAAACCATTCTGCAAATGGAAATATACCTTTAAGTTTGGCAAGTTAATCTTATTAATTTACCCAAAATAAAGGATGTTCATAACATCTAATTCAGAATAGCTCCAAACTGAAAACAATCCAAATGTCCGTTAATGGGAGAGATAAAGAAACTGTGCTTCATCTATGCAATGGAATAACTACTCAGCAAAAAGGGGGAAGATACTACTGAAACATACAACAACACGGTTGATCTCAAAATAGCAGCATGAAAGATATCAGAAAAAACAAGAATACATAAAAGTCCAGAAAGTGCAAACTCATTTATAGTGACAGAAAGCAGATCAGTAGTTGCCTGGAAGGAAGGAGGTGCAAGAAGGAAAGTTTATAAATTTGGGGAATTATGGATATTTTCCCCATCTTGATTGTGGTGATAATTTCACAGGTGTTGCTATGGACTGAATTGTGTCCTCCCCCAAATATGACCTTCTTTGGACACAATCTTTGCAGATGTGATTAGTTAAACTGAGATGAGGTCAGATAAACAGGATGGGCCCTTAATCTAATATGACTGATGCCCCTAAAAAAGGAATGCCAGATGAAGAGACAGATACATCCAGAGGCAAGATGATGTGAACACACAGAGAGTACTATATACAAGTCAAGGAACAGCAAAGATTGCCAGCAAACGCCCAGAAGCTAGAAGAGGAGCATGGAAGTACAGAAGCATAGATTTCCCTGCATAGGCCTCGGAAGGAACCAACACTGCTGACACGTGGATCTCAACTTCTACCCTCCAGAGCGATGACACACTACATTTCTGTTTCTCGAAGTCACCCAGCCTGTGGTTCTTTGCTACAGCAGGCCTAGGAAATGAAAGCAGTTATATATATTTGTACACTTCTAAGTATATGTGGTTTATTCTCTACCTAACAAAGCTAGTGGGGGTAGGAGACTAGTATGCAAAATTTTTCAAATAAAATAAAATTAAAAGGGACTTTGGGTTGGGGGTACAAAAACAAGGTCCAGCTGAAGACAGGGGTCCTACAAATGGAAACAAGGACATCAGGTGAACACAGATACGCAGATATGTACTGAACACTGAGGTCTCTAGGCCACCCTCAGTTACCAGATGCAAACAGCTAGGCCTGTACCCTTGTAGAGACTGGAGGATATCGCCCTTTAGTAATCTCTCATTAGCCTAAGACAAAAGAATAAAAAATACCACATTGAAGGTTCCCAACAAAACATCTAGCCACATCAGTCTTTATAAAAACTTGGACAAGCCTCACTCATATCCTCAGAGCTGCCCTAGGAGTTTTTAGTACCCTACTCATACACTGAAGACCAAACACATATAAAAGAGTATCCAGTAGGAAATAAACTATGCAGACAGCAGAAAAGAAACCAACAAGCCTATCAATACCCTCTAAGTGAAAATATCTACATCTTTGAAATGACCACAGGAAAAAAAAAATCCAGCAAGTAAGACGTTAAGAAATTCTTTTAGAAAGCAGAGCAAAGTGACGGAAAACAGGAGAGAAACATTAAGTTACAGCATCAGTCCCAATGCCCCCCTCCACCAGAAATCAACGAGCTGTGTTTCCTCAAGTGCCTGTTAACTCTCATCATCAGAGATCCAGAAAGCATCACTCAGAGCCAGCCTCCTTCATTTGATAACTGCAATTCCAGCATAATTCAGTTATAAGTATCTTCTCTTTAACTGCAATTCCTGATCTTTCTAGTTCATCTCTTTGGGGGATATCCCCACTGACACCTCTTATACACTGTTCCTATCTTCTTTCCTCTGTGTCTTGATGACTTTCTGGATATCCTTTCAAACTTCCCTACCCCCATCTTTAATATCTAGGTCCATCACTGTAATCATTCCCATATAAACACTCACCTCTTCTGCCTATTATATTCACCTCATAAGACCTGACTCTCCACTCACTTCCTGTATGCACCTATGCAGCTAAATGTGGCTAAAGAAACCACATAACAATGCATTCACACAAGTCTCTAACAAATCCTGTAATTCCCTGATTGCTTACATTTACTGTTTATTGTCTGGTCTACCTCACTACAATGTAAGGTCCATGAAAGAATGAATTTTTGTTTGTTAACTGATCTGTTCACTTAAGTATCCCAAATGCCTAGAATAGTGTCTTTCATATAGTAGAAACTCATTTTTTATTTTTTTTTATTTTTTTTTTTTAATATTAAATTTTATTTTTATATTCCCCCATACAATTGCAAACGCCCCATTCTGACCCCAATCCTTCCCCTCCGCCCCCCACCCCCCAACAAGTGTCTCTGGTTCATAGTTTTTTGTTGATTTTGATTTTCACTTTCTTATATTCATTTTCCTGGTCCCTTATTTAAGTTTTCTAGATTCCTGCTATGAGTGAGACCATCCGGTATTTTTCTTTTTCTTTTTGGCTTAAAAATATGGAACGCTTCACGAATTTGCGTGTCATCCTTGCGCAGGGGCCATGCTAATCTTCTCTGTATCGTTCCAATTTTAGTATATGTGCTGCCGAAGCGAGCACGAAACTCATTTTTTATAATTCCTATTCAATATCTGAATGACTGAATAGACAGTCCATAAAGAGGTAACACAGAATATGGGAAGGGAGAAAATCAGTAACAAAATCATTCTAGAAATTTTCCCAGAACTAAGGGATACAAATTCCTAGTATTCACAGGGGCCCATGCCATAAAAACTCCAAATCATATAACAGAACACTAGAGAGAAAGAGAGTATGATACAAACTTCCAGACAGCGGAGGGGGAAAGAGTCACATACAAAAGATCAGAAAAAGTCTTTTGAAATTTTCAACAGCCATACTGCAAGCCAAATGACAAGCAGTTTATTTCATAAAAGAAAAAAGAGAGCGAAAAGATGAAGGAGAATGATCACAACCCAGAATTCTATACCCAGTCAAACTATTAATCAAGTAAGACGGTAAAATGAAGAGCCTGCAAGTTTAAGAAAAAAAGCCCACATGCCCTTTTTTCAGAAAGTTACCAAAATAAGATACTGAATAAAGAAGATGACAGACATATGACAGTTCACAAAAGGAATTCAACCCAAATCATAGGCAGAGGAAACCCTATATGATAATGAGGGGAGTCATGTTTTTGTATTAAGGGATCAAGCCATTAAATCAGAATGGGGTGAGTCAGTTGCTCCAAGAATCAACAAGATGGAACTAAGAGAATACTTAATGCATCTGAGGACACTAATGTTGCAGGGTCTGCAGCTAAATTAGTGATAAATATGCAGAAAACCAAGCAACTGAAAAGAAAAACCACAATATTAACTTCAGGGGAAATAGAAAGTTGTAAAGAAGATGAAAGGCAACCCTAGAAGGATATATGACTCCACTGAGCAGTGTTTACAGAGTCCTAGTAACATAAACAGACTGGAATTATGCTCTTCCTTTACTTGGAGGATGGGAAGTGCATGTGTGTGTGTGATAGGGACAGAGTATAAAAGAGAGTTAAGTTCTTTTCCATTAAGGGATGTCAAAAAAGAATACTTAAAATAGAACAATCCATAAGCACGTCATATAGAGAGATACAAGCACAGACCAAAGAATCGGCTAAAAGAACCAAAAGTGGTCAGGGGTAATGGCAGAGGAGGCAGGGCAGGGAATTTCTGTCTTCATAGCAAGCTATGTAGAACTATTGGACTCCTTAAACTATATGTCCCATAATTATTTAAAAGAATAGGCAAAATATGAATTGTCTTTTTATACTTCAAATCTTGAGTACTGATGTTTGAAGTAAACATTTCCTTCTAGTGTACATTTTAATTTGCCAAAATTTTACAGTGATTTAGTCAGTTACAATTACCTTCCAATGAGAAGAATGCCTTTACCTGTGATAGCAGCTCTTCCTTTTCTCCAGCAAGTTTTCGTAGCCTCACATCTAAAACAAAAGAACAAAGTTGCAAACTAAATCTGTAATGATGTGGTATACGAGCAATTAAAAATAAGTCTTCAAATTCATAAACAGCAAACATTATCAGATAAACAACGTACAGATCCGAATATCAAAATAAATGAAGACTTTAATGGTGTTAAGGAAAAGTACTGAATTATTCAATTCCTATTTCCACACAACTGATATTTATCAGCCGCTAAATGTACTATTTGCTCTCCAGAGCAGTGATTTTCCATTTCAAGACAAACTGAAGTACAAAGATCATTTCCTTGTTTCAAAATTTGCAGACTTTCAACAGTAAAGACAATTCAAATACCAAGAGTGTTCCTCCAAATAAGGAGAAAATGAAATATGGGAGAGAAGACGGGTTAAGAGTGGGACTGGGAGGGGAAACTGGAGCAAAGAAAATGGAGGAACGTGTGCTGGAAGAAGGGAAGGCTCATAAGAGCTAGTGGGGAGAAAGAGCAGTCAAGGGCTAATTTGAACCTTGGTAGCAAGGATCAGTAATGCTCACTCCTGGCCTGTGTTAAGGGCTGCAGCGTCGCCAGTACCTGTTTAAATAGGCCCCTTAGACCAAGGAGATGCCTGTAGATGCATAAAAGCAGCAGCTGACACCTCCCCAGTATCAAAGAGGGTCACGGTCCAATGTTAAGTTCAGGTTTCTTCAGCACCTTCCACACAGGCAGAGAAAAGCACAGCTAGCCCCAGCTGCACACTCAGACAGTTCTCCAAAGCAGTTCTTCACTCACACAGCTAGCCCCAGCCACTCTACCCAAGTGCTCTGCCACGACATTTAGCAAACATGCTTACTATCTTTTAAAAAGTTTTTTAGCTTCCCCATTCTTACAGTATATCCCACCTTTCTAGGAAACCCAATAATATATGAAAACAAGATGAAAAAGAAAAAAGTCATTTTTTAATTAAAAAACTGATAATACAGTATTTATCTGTGCCTGCTTTTATTCCTCTAGAGCAGGATTCTTAGTGGGGGAAATGGATGGGCATCTGTGTGGTTTCTGAGAGAAATGTCATTAGATCCTCAAAGATTAAATTTAAGAGGCTTAGGCTTTAAGAGGCTCAGAAGCCCTATTGTGGAAATAACATTACTTTTATATCTCTGTTCTTGGTCGTTTGTTTCTTGCCTTAAGAAATGTGGCGGCGGGCCTCCCTGGTGATGCAAGGGGTAGAGCACAGCACTATGAAGCTATCCTCAGCCTCTGCAGCATGAGTTTGATCCCCAGCCGGCCTGGGAGCTAGCCACATGGCGCAGCAGACCTCTTCTGACTCACCCGCTGCTCCCCTCAGCAGTGTATTTCATCAGTCTGCCTGTTCTGTTCCCCACTCTGTCTCTGGTGAATCCTCTCACCCCCCACACCTCTGCCTGTGCCCCAGTTCTAGCATGCATAAATAAATAAATCTTAAAAAAAAAAAAAAAAAAAAAAAATGTAGCAGCAAAGAACTACGAAGCTCTGGGCCTCCCTGGTGGAGCAGGCGGTTGAGCATCACACTGTGAAGCTGGCTGCAGCCTCTGCAGTGCAGGTTCGAACCCCACTCTGTCTCTGGTAAATCTTCTCACCCTCCCATGCATCTGGCCTGTACCCCAGTTCTTGTAAAAATAAATCTTTAAAAAAAAAAAAAAGAAAAGAAAAGAAAAGAACTATGAAGCTCTGGCATAAGTAGCAGAGCACAAAAGCAGATGCTCCAGAAAGAAAAACTTAAAACATACTTGGGAAGTCTCCTACCAAGCCCACTGGTTCCCTGGGACAGGTGCTACATGATCCCTTCGCAGGTAGTTTTTATTTAAGTGAAAAAGCAATGTGTATAACACAGAATGCTTCCATCCAAGGACCTTATAGTTTTTGTTTTTCTGCCTTACAATGACCCCAGAGGCTGGTTTCCCAAGTTCAAGGATGTCTGAAGACAATATGCCCAGATTTCTTCCTGTTAAGGATACAGATAAAGCTCAGACAGCCCTTGGGTTGTTTTTGTTTTTCAAGACGGGATGGGATATGAAGCTGGAAGTGCATTAAGACAACATTTATCTAGCGTCTTACCTAGCGGTCCTTCTCCTGCTGATTCCAAAACCTGAGCAGCTTCCTGGGACACGACAGTGATGGCTCCAACTACAGGCTCATGATTGACGTCACCATTGGGAGTGCCATCAGGGATTATAACTAAGCCATGTTTCTGTGAGGAAGAAAAAGACCCATCACAAAAGACATCCCACACAGAAGCTGTATGTACTGTGAATTGACTCAACAATATGTTTACCACAGGTAAAACTGGTTAAAACCAGCTACATGGACTATAGCTTCATAGGAGAAATGACAAACCTACGAAATCTGGATTGAAGAATGAACACTGTGGTCTGCACTCAGACTACAAAGATGACAGGACAAAAGGAAGGAAGAGCAAAGCAGTGAGAGTTGTGAGCTCCAGGCTGCTGCTGACATACCTCTCCTGTCTTCACCGTCTCCTTCAGGTCAGCTAGCTCCTCTCGGAGTGAATCTCGCTCACTCCTAAGGCAGGCAATGTATTCTTTCTGTTTCTCTAGGGCCTGGTTTTAGACAGGGTAGGAAGGGAAAGAATGGCATAGAAAAAAGAGCAAGTGAAAGGTAGCAGAGAAGAACCTAATTCAAATAAACAAAGATAAAGGCAAGGAAGCATTAAAAGCTTGGAAACAAGCCATCAGATATGGGAAGAAATACAAAGTTATTTGGCTATTTATCTCTAAAGAGAGTTTTAACAGAAGCTGGTTAACTGTGCATAAATTTGGCAAATCATGCTTAACACATCAGGCAGGAAAACAAATCTTTCTTTTCCAGTCAATGAAAACAACAGGAAAAAGGAAGACGAAGACAGCTGTAATATTAAAATAAAGTTTTTCTTACTGACCTATAATTTCATTTGGTGAACCCCAAAACACATTTCAAATTTAGTTAAAATAGTTTATTCAATAATATGCTTGATGTTTTTAATAAAGAATGGTTCTGGAAAAAAAATAACCAATATACATAAGGTATTTTCATTAAATATTGGCTGTGGTGATTGTTCTCCAAATAGTATGGCTAAACATCCCTCAAATACCACTAAAAATAGCATATCTCCAAAAGGATCCTTAAATATCTTTTGTTAATTTAATTAAGTACAATTAAGAGTAGTTTGTTTTTCTGATATTCTTTTCAGATGTAAAGACAAAAATAAACACTGACTAAATACCATGGAGGTTGCCAAATGCGGGTTTCAAAATCAGGCTTTTGAGTCCTGGCACATACTTAACTTACCTAGGCCTCAGTTTCCTCATCTGAAAAGCATAAGTGATCATAGAAGCATCTAATGGGCATATAGTTTGAAATGTAAAATAGTGCAGTGCATAAGATGCCAGGAAAGGCTCAGGAAAAGCCAGCGAACATTTCCATTAGTATTTTCCCTGTCATTGCCTGAATCTCACAAATGTCAGAGCTAAGGAGGACAGTGCAGAAACAGGAACACACTTGGGTCATCAGTGTGTAATTGTTCTAGGTAATAAAATAACCCAGACTTCAAAACACATCCAAATTAAGCAGTTTCTGCAGGAACCTGACAGCTGGACTACTTTCACTACACGGAAGTTCATATACTTAATATTTTCTGCCAGCATTCCCACTAATCCAAGAAGTTTAAATAAAACAGGTAACTTTCCTCTCAGTTCACTGAGTGGGAACTTTTTAGTTACTGATTGCTGAATAGCTGGGCCACATTTTAAATGCTTATAGTTCTATTCTGCAAGCAAACTGAAAATAAGTAAATAAGGGGTGATACAACTACCGTCTGTGTGTAGCACTAGCTATATCACAGGCGCTGCTATACATACACTAATTTCTCCCTTAGCAATTGTTACATTTTTACATAAAATATCTCCCTTATATGCCCTGTATTATCTTACCCCTATTTCACAGAGCAGAAAACTGAGGCATAGAGAGGTTATATTTTTTTTGTCCAAAGTCACGGTAAATGACAAAGACAGAAAATGAATCCAGTTCTTTTTTTCAAAAGATACTTGCATACTCTTTCTACATCATAGCCCCATCCAGGCCACAATTAAGTTCCTTTATGTCATCCTAGATACTGCTAGAAAAGTAGTCCTTAGGGCAAGTCCTAATTTACCTAAACTGCAACATCAACATCAATTTTCTTTCAACAGTTTACATTCGCACTATGTGATGTGTCTAAAGTCTGCTTGTAAATTAATAATTTGAATTTCTAGCTTCATACACATTTACTCTAACACTTCCGCCCGATATTGACACTCCATTACACCAGTGATAATGTAACATTAGGACAAGAAAGCACAAGCAACACTTTGCCATCTGTTGACAATCACTTTAATATCTGCTGGGTCAGATATTTTGGTTACTGTTATCTGCACGCACAGTTACGCCATGCATCGACACACAAAACTGTGTCAGTGATTACCTTCACAACATGCTCTATGTAAACACTACCACTCAATATAAAAGACTACTTAGGAAAAGACCAATTTGAAACTAGGAATTCTAGCAAATGGAAGGACAAGCCATTTTTTCCTCATCCACATCTTATAACAGTGGATTTTATTTTTACATTTGGACCTTTTAATTTCAACTTCCCATAATTATGAAAGGGAAAATAAAGTATATGCTGTAAATTCTTCCAATTTACCACAAAGTTTGAAGACTACTGAAATACCTTCTAATTCAACAAAATGAATTCACACTGGATCTAAAATTCTCTGTATCACCCAATTAACTAACCACTAACTACCCTTATGTCTACATTCAATAATAGCTCCACAGTATTTCTTTTTTTTGGAGGGGGGTGAGGATAACAAGTACATGCTCAGAGAGATCTAAATAATTCTTTACCCCTAAACTACTCTCAAATTATAATGTCAAGACCTAAAAGATAGTATGTGCAGGGCCTCCCCAGTGGCGCAGCATTTGAGCGCTGGGCTGTGAAGCTGCCCGCAGCCTCTGCAGCGCCGGTTCAATCCCTGGCCACCAGTGAGGGTCCCACATGGCGTGCAGACTTCTTCTGCCGTGCCCGCTGCTCCCCTCAGCAGTGTTATTTTGTCAGTCTGCCTGTTCTGCTCCCCACTCTGGCTCTGGTGAATTCTCTCATCCTCCCGTGCTTCTGACTGTACCCAGTGCTTGTATAAATAAATAAATAAATCTTTAAAAAAAAAAAAAGAGGGTATGTGCAGCTGGCTGAACTTTTGGGGAATAGGTTAATTCTTTGTATAATTGCACAGGGGCATAAATATTTTTAGTCAGAATGGAAGTGAGTCTCAAGCTGGGTTATACAGATGTACAAGTCCTTCACATATACCTATTCTGTACCTGGTTCCTTGGTGCTTGGAACTGCACTGGGGCTAGAGGCATGGCCACTAGGCTCAAGAAGGAAAAATTAAAAATGTTGAACTTTAACATGAAAATAATGACCATGCTCCTTCGTGAGGTCATCAAATTTAAATCTTGAAAAGGAAGTTAGGGAAGAGTGATGTATTAGGTAGTCACTGATCATGTTGAAAATGTTTTTTGTTTTTTATTTTAAATCAAGGGAGGACCACTTCACACACTTTAAGGTGGCTGCTTCCTCCTCCCCACCCCCTCAAAAAAAACAAAACAAAACAGAAAAGAAGTGTTGGTAAAGATGTGGAGAAATTGGAATGTATGTGCAGTGCTGGTGGAACTATAAAATGGTACAGCTGTGGGCCTCCCCGGTGGCTCAGCGGTTGAGCGCTGGGTTGCGAAGCTGCCCGCGGCCTCTGCAGCGCCGGTTCGATCCCCGGCTGCTCCCCGGCCACCGGAGGAGGGTCCCACATGGCGCGCAGACCTCTCCTGCCGCCCGCTGCTCCCCTCAGCAGTGTACTTCGGTCCTTCTGCCTGCTCTGCTCCCCGCTCTGGCTTTGGTGAATTCTCTCACCCTCCCGCTTCTGACTGTACCCAGTGCATGTATAAACAAAACAAACAAACAAATAAATAAAGCATGCCTCTATTAAAAAAAAAAAAAATTTAAAAAAAATAAATAAAATAAAATGGTACAGCTGCTATTGAAGATAGTATGGCTATTCCTCAAAAACTTGAAAACAGAATTAACCATATAATCAGCAATTATACTTCCAGGTATATACCCAGAAGAAATGAAAGCAGGGATTCATAGAGATATTTATATTTGCACAATCATGTTCATAGCAGCATTAGTCACAAAAGTCAAAGGTGGAAGCAATTCAACTGGACACCAACAGATGAACAGACAGCCAAAATGTGGTCCATGTACACAAGGAACATTATTCAGTCATTAAAAAAAAAGGTCATTTTGATACATGTTAAGTGCCTGAAGCTTGAGAATATGGGCTAAGTGAAATATGCCAGTCAAAAAAGATAAATACTGTATGATTCTACTTACATGAAATAACTAATATAGAGGGATAAATGTAGAATGATGTTTGTCAGGGGTGAGGGGAGGAGGAACTCGGAAGTTGTTGGCATAGAGTATTGGTTATGCCAGATGAAGAGTTCTGTGCATGGATGATGGTGTCGTTAGTATAAAAATGTGAATGTACTTAATACCACCACATTTTACACTTAAAATGGCTAGAATGGTAAATTATGGTGAGGTAGAAAACACAGTTCCAAAGGGTCATATACTATGTGATTCTATTTATATAACCTTCTTACAGCAGCAAAATTAGAGAAATGAAAAACAGATCAATGGTTTCCAGAGCTTGGCACAGAGAAAGGGAAGCAGTAGACAGAGCTTCCAAAAGGACAATATTCTGGCAGTGATATGGTACTATAGTTTATAAGATGTTACATTTGGGGAAAACTGGTTAAAAGGCACAGAGGATATCTTTAAATTATTTCTTATAATTGCATATAATTCTACAGTTGCCTCAAAAATTTTTAATTTTTTAAAAAAGTCAAGGAAACACATATCACATAGAAAGAAGATGTTCACTAACTCAATAATACCATGAAAGTTAAAAATTCAAATAATTTATACCTTAACCACCAGCACCTGTTTTTTGTAGAAAACAAATTTTGTTTTATTTTGAATATCTATTTTATTAAACTGAGAGGTTTGGATTTTCTGCAGTGGGTCCAAAATAATGTTTAAAATGCTAACATAATTATACAAATTGAAGACTTGGACCTGCAGATTTAAGCTAAAGAAAATTATATAATCTAAGGTCTCAAAAGAAGCCCATTCTAGATAACCAGTTCTCACTAACAAGTTATCTACTTTATATCATATATTTTTTTCACATCTCATGTTATGTCACCCAAGTAAAGCTTCAAATAAAATCATAAATTTACACTCACAATTTCAAACTCCTAATAAAGTTGTTCATTTTGATCCCAGTAGAATTTTAGAAACAATATTTAAGTATAAGAAACTCTAAAAGGCAGTTTTATTTCTTTTAATCTTTGGTCTACCAAACTCTGAGGAAGTAATTTTCTTTTACATGTGTTTACTAATGAGAGGATAGGGTCCTTGGAAGTGTGAGAAGAACTGGACACTAAAACACCTGCAACAAAGGAGGGATGACCCAGAGGGTTCCATATCCAGACATATCTATAACAGGTGTTCTCAGGAATTTTTGCCAACTTTTCCCTACCCCCTCTAACCTTACACAGAACAAGATTTTCTCACTATATCCTTGGCCAAGGATTGCCATCTCACTGTTTCTCCAGCATAGCCATTCCCTGATAAGCCTACAGCCAAAGAGCCTATGCTGTGAGATGGGGCTGCTAGTCAAAGGCCACACAGGGTTAACCCATCGGCATTTTTTTAGCCTCCAGGGTACCTGGAATCTACCTGAAGGCTTAGCAAAAAAAGCACTGAAGACATTTTCTTTACCATGGCCTCTGCATTAGGGAGTTATGAGGTTATAATTAGAGATGACGTAAGAGTTTGGCAGCTATGTAAATCTTACATTCCTATCCACTTCTGTAATTAAACTGATTTTAATCGCTTCCTATTTTATTCACCAAGGATTTATGGGATGCTAATAACTTTTCTCTCCACCCCCACTCCTTAACCTCTTGTTTCTTATCCAAATTCTGGTAAGGTAAGGATATCAAATTACCCACAGAGTTTAAATTAAATGCCTGTGGCTGCTTCTGGGTAAGAATCCTAGAGGAATAAAGAGCAACTTCCTTGGAAAGTTACTACTTGTAAGTTTCACAAGCCCAGAGTGAACTGGAAAGAAGGGTTCTTTCCCAGCTTAAGATCAGGTTTTTACATAGAAGTTTTGTTCTGTCTTCTGCTTATTTGTATTTTACATTGCACAAATGCTCAAAAAGAATCAAAAGAACAGATTCCTAGGAATCTCTAAGTTAAATTCTATTGGTCTATTCCTCGCCAATGAGCTTTGCACCAACACCCAATTTTATCTCATACCCTAATGTTTTTATCTTTCCAAAGAATTGTCTCCTGGAGGTCAAACACCTCTTTTGTCATGGTGTCTATGTTCTGCTGCATGCGCTGATTCTCCTGCAGAGGAAGAGGGGGAAGACAAGTAACAAAGGAGCAAAAGAGAAAAGGGAGAATTCAAAGGGAGGAAAATGGAATTAAAATAAAATGGATAAAGCAACTTAACAAAAGGGGAAAGTTTGTGCTGAACAGGAAAAGCAAGAGTTGCTTGCTAAAAGGAAAAAACGACGTCCAGAGCCTTGGCGCCGGGACTCTCACTGGCTGGCCGCTACAACAGTGAGCAAGGGACTGGGAACAACTGTTCTAGCCACAGTTATGTGGCAGCAAGCCAGCTGGGGTTTCTGTGTGCACACTGCTCCATATGAGTATTCTTCCTTTGATAACTTTTTTCCAAACATGGAACAACTTACATTTCTAGAGAGGAAATTTAGATTTGCTATGAATAAATGATCCATATCATAGAGAACAAGTAGTAGTTTTGAGCTTTATTTTTATTTTTTAAAACAGAACTAAAAAAAATACTACCGGGTCATATCTCAGATTAACCACTTTCAATTTCTGTAATCTAAATCTATAAAAGCAAGGATATAACAACTTATAAAACTAGAAAACTTAGAAAAACTTAGAAAACTAGAAAAACTAGAATTTAGCATTTAGCAATTCTTAAACAACTGTCTGATTAGGAAATGATGACCAACTTATATCCTCTTATACTCAGCAGCTTGACTTTTATACATTATTGAAAGATTATTACTTACCTCTTACTTTCCCTGCTCATATATTTCTTATTTACCCTACCATATGAATCTCAGTTCCAAAGATCAAAAAGCATTATTTTGTCATGTTCTTTTTTTTTAGTTATGCATAACTTGGGTATCAACCTCTAAAAGATACTAATTCTAAATATAAAAATGGTCCCTAAAACTACATTTTTAAAAAGTTTTATACCTAACACCTGTGCTTTTAAAGAAACTTAAGTGACAAAGTAGAGAAATCAAGCATTACAATTCCTCTTAAATACAATCACTAATTAAAAACTATGATACTTAAAACAATTCTAACTGAAGCTATTGAATTTAAGAACCAGTTCCTAAAAACAACTGTATTATTCTTTTGAAATCATGAAAGGGAGAAAAAATACATCAGTGAGAAAAAGAAAGTAAGACATGGTTGGCTAACTGACATACAAAAAGGGAGAAGAACCCACATGTGCTAAAATACCAGCAGGATACAAAATTTGGACAATGTTCTTCTTGCCATATGGAAATGCATATAATTGGGAAACCTAAGAGAACCATGTAATCTGAAATATGCAAAGTTTTCCTTATCTGCATTTAGAATTCACAAGTTCTTCCTGCTTTCAACAGGCTGTGTTCAATTCAATTCTTCTTAAGAATAATGATAAGTAACACAAATCCGTACCTAAAAGTTATTACTTTCCCTCTACTGAATGATTTTTAAGTAAATTTACAGGGAAAGATAGTAAATGAGGCGGGGTTGTGGGGGAGAGGAGTAGAGAGAAAAAGAGAGAGGGTAAAAGAGAGGTGGGATCTGAGCAACCAGGAATTTGGATGAGCCAGGTATGGCCATGGCCAGACTCTGGAACCTCAGCATTGGCCAACCTTTGCCTATTGTACATAAAATGTTTAGGCAACTTCTTCTTTTTATTTAGGCACCTCAGAAATATATCTACCTGAGTGAAGACTGAAATTCAATTCCCAAAAGACAGCATTCACTATGATGCAAAGTATAATGTTACTCTATAATTTTTTCCTTTGACTAAATGTGTTTTGGAATGAAAGGCATTTACAGAAACTTCTGCTATGAAAAGGGGGAGTGTTTATAAGGTTCACAGTGTTAATTTTTTAAACCTTCCTTTATGTTTCCTTTTTGCAAAATTTTAGGGTAGAGCCAAATGTGAAGAGACTTACTGTGGCTTTAACTCCTTTCCCTTCTCAACATACACCCCCTTCTTCCCACTCAATGCATTTCTTTTCCCAAATAAGGCATTCTCATAGTTCACATACGTACCTCAATAAGCTCATCTCTTTGTCGAAGGCCTTCTTTAAGTTCATTCATCTTATGCTGCAGCACACTACACATATGTTTCTGCCTTTCTAACTCCTATTATTAAACAAATTATTAAAATCAGTCAACATATAATATGGTACACAACAAATTTGAATGCACTTAACACAAAAATATAGAGGTTAAAAAGCATGACCCTCTCTCCGAAAAATAACTGAACTACCAAATCATAGTAACTTAGGAAAATTCTGTGTTCTATGAAAAAGTTCAGAAAATTTTAAATTTTCATCACACAGGATTATGTACCTAGAAAACCCAAACTTAGCAATGGCAAAACTTCTATGTTCTATAAGCATGATATAGGGCCTCCTCTGGAGGCACAGCAGTTGAGTGCTGGGCTGCGAAGCTGCCTGCAGCCTCTGCAGTGCCGGTTCGATCCCTGGCCACTGGGGAGGGTCCCACATGGCTCGACAGACCTCTCCTGCCGCACCCACTGCTCCCCTCAGCAGTGTATTTCGTCAGTCTGCCTGTTCTGTTCCCCGCTCTGGCTCTGGTGAATTCTCTCACCCTCCTGCGCTTCTGACTGTACCCAGTACTTGCATAAATAAATAAATAAATAAATCTTTAAAGAAAAAAAAAAAATATCTCAAATCAGAGGGAAAGAAAAATTTATAATTAGTGATGCTGAAATAACTGCATATCCACACGGGAAAAAGACTATTGGAACCATATCTTACATCATTCACCAGAACAAAGCCCAATGGTCAAAGGTATACAGAAAGGATAAGGAGAAAAGGAGAGAGAGGGAGTATGGAGATTAAGGAGGAGGAAAGGGACAAGGAGAGGGAAGAGTAGGAAGGAGGGAGGGAGGGAAGGAGGAAATAGGAATAAAGAAAGAGATAGAAGATTAACTTCTTTGTATTGATTTGACTTCAGATCTATGTAAACATTTTGTGTAATTGTAAAACAAAACTAAATTTAAAAAGCAATTCCCGATGGTCGTAACCAAGTGTCCACCAACATGTACATAAACAATATAATGAAATGTGTATGTGACAGATATATACAGTAAACGTTATTCAGGAAGGAAATCCTGCCACATGTTACAACATGGATGAAACTTGGTAAGTGACTGGCTAAGTGAAATAAACCATTTACAGGAAAACAAATACCATGTATATGATTCCACCTAATCAAATTCATAGAGTCATAAGGTAGAATGAGAGTTGCCAGGAAGTGGAGAGAACATGAAATGGGATTGCTTTAATGGGGACACTGTTTCAGTTTTGCAAGATGTAAAGTTCTGGAGATCTGTTGTACAACAGTGTGAATATATTTGACATTATTGAAACTGCACCATTAAAATGGCTAAGGTGATAAGTTTTATGTGTTTTTAACCATTCATTAAGGTAAAAATAATTTTAAAATAAAAACTTAAAAGTAATTCTTAAGTATTTAAAATAAAACGTAGTGAATTTAACTATCCATTTAGTAGCAAAGGTACAAAGAGAGAAACTATTTTCAGTAACTTGAAAAAACAATAGTTGCACTATATATAAACTAGTGGCAAAATAACCACTGAACAAAACAAAACAAAAAGCTTTGAACTATTTCGTAGTTATATAGCATGTGGTAACACTGGTATTGCTATTCTGGGTAATGTGGGATAAAGCAATGAGAAGAGCATATAACATAATTACTATCATCCCCAGTGACTTTGAGAATTGGGTGTGGTAGTGAAGGAAAAAGTAGATATACACATGTAAAACAGAAGAGGCTAAGTAAAAACTCTAGAGTCCTGGATATGAACTGGAACCATCAGCATAAAATTATAATATACTTTCTTAAAAAAAAAATACCCACATACACATATCCTACATAATTCACTAAGAAAAAGTCTATTGCCAGTGACCAATTTGGTGGGAAGAGCACCCCTGGAACCCTCATGTCTCCACTGAAAAAGAACCAGGACTCACTGTACAAATGGCTGATTTCAGCTGTGGAGCAAGAAACGAAGAGGTGAGCCTGGAAACACCTTGTGCTGGGCAGCAAAAAAGGCACCTGAAACAATCAGGCGCCAGCCAAAATTACTTCAGCATTAACCTGAAGAGTTTCATATCTTATTCAGTAAGAACAAAAGCAACAATGATCAGAAAAGCTTGAATTCTAGACTTCATAATGATATTTTGTTTTGAATTGTTTTTTGTTTTTTTTTAATTTTAACTTTTTTAATTTTTTAAAATTTAAAAAAATATCTCTCATTTTTTAAAATTTATTTTTTTATATATTTGTTCTGAGCACAAGGGACTATGGTGATGGTTCACTGGTGCTATAGTTGTGGGAGCACTATGGGGACTACATGTGAAGACAGAACATAATATTTTAAAAACAAATAATTGATCACTATAAGAGGATGCTAAATAACCAAGTCCTTCTTTAAAAACTTTTAAATAAAGGAAAATAATAAGCCTTTTGCTCAACTTTCCTATGTAAATTATCCCATTAAAATAATGAGATGAATTTCTCATTAGAGATAGACTTATGCTAATAAATAAAACATAAAAGTGAAAAGAGAACTCACAGAATAGAAAATTTTTGTAAGTCATGTTTGTTATAAAAGATTTATATCTAAGATGCATAGAGTATTACAAGTCAATAGCAAAAAGATAGTTCAATTTTTAAAACAGGCAAAGAATCTGAAAAGATATTTTTCCAAGTAAGATATACAAATAGTTATTAAGCATATGAAATATTTTTAAAACATTGGTTATCAGAAAATGCAAATGTAAACTACACCTCTCTGGTGAATCACACCCTCCTGTCCCACCTCTGGCCTAGACTCCAGTTCTTATATGCATAAATAAAATAAATCTTTAGGAAAAATGGGCCATCTCACTGAAGATCTTTGGAGCTTTGTGGAGTTCCAATCAGTTATAACAGGAAGAAATCAGTAACTCACTGTAATTATCTCATTATGAGATAGAAAATAAAAGTTTAATTGTGCTCTATTTTCAGAAACTAGGGGTCATAAATTTTTCCTTCAGAAAATAAATTTCTTTTAAGTTAAAAAAGAAAAATATCTTACGTTTTGTCAAACAGGCCAGAGGGGTGTCTGTGTGTGTGTGTGTGTGTGTGTGTGTGTGTGTGTGTGTTGGGGTGGGGGCAGGTTAGGAGGATTCACCAGACAGAGTGGGGAGCAGAATAGGCAGATTGACTGAGATACACTGCTGCAGGGAGCAGCAGGTGAGACATGAGAGGTCTGCTGCGCCATGTGGGTCAGTTACCCGGCCAGGGATTGAGCTCATGCTGTAGATAGCTTCATAGTGCTGAGACTTAACCCCTGGCGCCACCAGGGAGGCCCAACCCCATAACTTTTATATAGCAGGGTTTTATTTGCTGACCCAAGAGAAAGGTGTGACACAGGTGAGCAATTACCTTTGATTTTTCTTCATTTTCTCTATAAAATTCTGCCATCTGTTCTTCCTGTTCTTCAATAACATCCTTGAGGGTATCTACTTGGTAGATCAAATTGTTCTTCTCGTTGTCTAATTGTGCATTGGAAACCATGGCTTTCTTGTATTTTTCTTCCACTTCTGACAAAGACTCCTAAATGAAAGTCAAAGTCATCTAAATATGTTCACTGCTTATATGCAATATAACAGGAAATTAAAGCACTGGCACAAACACACAAAGATGCATTTTTGCAAAATATAAGCAGTTTAGGAAATTCTTTGTTTAGTAACATGCACATAAAACAGGAAGACAGTAATAAGCCAATAATGCATTTATAAAAATTATATATATTCTCTGCTACCCAATAAAACAAGATTAAGTAGCAATGTTGCCTCTGAGCGATAAAGAGGTATACAAACAACATAGGGAGTCATCACTGTTTTCAGAAATGTTACTTTAGTAGTTTTTAACAAGAGCTGTTTGGTGTTCAGAATGCAGTCATTCAACAGAATATGGCCTCTTTATATAAGTAAACTGATACTCAGTGATTTTGCCACTTCCTATAAGTTTATTTTTAGACTTTCTTGCTCTGCATAATAATGGTAACATAAATTTGTAAATGTTTTTTCTAGTAACTACACAAATTTCAGTCATTTTAAATAAATAAAAAAATAATTAAATGATTACCTGAAAAAGAACATAAAATGCTTGAAATTTTATATATTTCAAAGTTCTCTGCCTAAAAGTAGCTTATAAGTATGCTTTTTAATAACTGTATCTAGTTTGATAGATCACTACTACCTGGTGACTGTTTCTAAGCTAAAAAAGAAAAATGTGTTTTTCTGATGGAATCACTTATGGAAATAAATTTTAAAAATACTAACACAATGTTTATCAGAGATCAATGAAACAGAACTGAGAGTTCAGAACCTTATAGTCATGCGCAATTGATTTTTGACAAGGGTGCCCAGAAAGCTTAATGGGAAAGAATCATTTTTCAAAAAGTGGTATTGGGGCAAATGAATATCCATATGCAAACAAAAACAAAAGAGTAAATCTTCATGACCTTGAATTAGGCAATAATTTCTTAGATCTGACACCAAAAACACTCTCAATGAAAGTAAAAATAGATTTCGTTAAAACTAAAAATTTTGAGCTACAAAAAAAAGCCATTCAAAAAGTAAAAAGAGAACCCACAGGAGGGAGGAAGTATTTGTAAATCTTTTATCTAATAAGAGACTTGTATCCAGAATATCTAAAGAACTTGTACAACTGAAAAATAAAAATTTAAGTTAATTTAAAAATGGGCAAGGATTTGAAAACATATTTTTTCAAAGAGTATATATAAGTGGCCAGTAAGCACACAAAAACATACTCAACATCATTAGTAATTAGGGAAATGAACATCAAAAAGACAATGAGATACCATTTCAGATCCACTAGGATGGCTATAATATGATTAAAAAAAAAAAGAAGAAGAACCAAAAACAATATAACAGGTATTGGTGAGGATATGGAAGAACTAGATGCCTCCTACATTGCTGGTGGGAAAGTAAAATAGTGCAACTGCTTTGGAAAAGTTTGGCAGCTCCTCAAAATGCTAAACACAGAATTACCATATGTCCCAGCAATTCCATTTCTAGGTATCTATCTACCCAAGAGAAACGGAAAGATAAGTCTATACAAAAACATGTATACAAATGTCTATGACAGCATTATTTTAATAGGCAAAAACTAGAAACCCATATATCGACCAAGCAATGAATGCATAAAATGTGATAAAACTATACATTAGAATATTACTTCACCATTAAAAAAATTACATATATACACACACATATATTAATATGTTATAAAATAGATGAATCTTGGAAACATGCTAAATGAAAAGTCAATCAAAAAAGGCAAAAACATTGCATATGATTCCATTGCATATGATTCTGAACATATGAAATATCCAGAATAGGCAAATCCATAAAGAAAGTAGACTGGAGATTACCTAGGGCTGAGTGGGAGAGAGGAGTCAGGAATGAATTAGTATGTGATATCTTTTTAGGGTAATGAAGATGTTTTAAACTTGGGTCATGGTGATGGCTGTACAACTTTGTGACTATGCTAAAAAAACCAGTGAATTGTATACTTTAAATGGGTAAATATTATGGTATGTGAATAGTATCTCAACATATATACACACATACACTTAATGCTTCATAAACCTGAAGCATGCTAACAGGCAACATTTATACTAGTATTGGTAATAAATATAATCAAAATAAAGAATATAAGCAAACTCAATTAGTAGTATCTTAATATAAAACAACAGAGTTTAAATGATTCTGATCCATTTCAGAAGCTAACAGCAAAGAACAAGTTCTCCTCACAACTCAGTCCCAGATAAAATGGGTCATAACTGCTTAAATGCCATAATCTAAGAGACTCAATCTGTAGAAACAAGGATAGAAATATCTAACACAACAAATTTAACATAAAATTTGTGAAATGTGGTCTTTGTTAAATAATAGGCCACAGATAACTTTTAAATTTAAGTATTAAGATAGTTTAAATTATTTTACTCTAACTACATGTTTTCTATATGACTGGAAACCTGGACTTTGCTTTAGTGTCTGAAGAGGAGATTTTATTGTTGTAAAAATAATATAAGAATTATTTTATTAATTCACTTGTGAAGAATAATCAGTTCTCAGAATTCTGTGAAATTTTAGTTAGCTATGTATTTCATCTTTTAAAAAATGTATTTAAACTATTATTTATTTCTTACGTATTTTAAATTTGTTAAACAAATATGACCAAAAATGATGGAGGAAATTTTATTATTTAAAAAATTTACTTACCACCATAAAAAAAAAAAAGGATTTGGATATGTCATATCACAATGTTTGGATTATCAATCAGATCATTTTTCTTGTACTTAAGAGTCATTTCAAGGATAGTTAATAGCTATCTGCGGTCTGAAAACAAGTTCAGTTATGCTGACCATGAACTAAGAAAATGGGTTTTATCTATTCAATTTAATTTGTTCTTTCATATTCTTTAAAGAATACAATAGTAGATATAAAAGGTAAGAGAAAAAAATACTTAGAAGCAAATAAGCAGGGCCTCCCGGATGGCGCAAGGCGTTGAGTGCAGTGCTGTGAAGCAGTCCGCAGCCTCTGCAATGCGAGTTCAATCCCCGGCCAGGGAGCTACCCACATGGCACAGCAGACCTCTCCTGACTCGCCCACTGCTCCCCTTAGCAGTGTAGTTTGGACTATCTGCCTATTTTGTTCCCTGCTCTGTCTCTGGTGAATCCTCTCACCTCCCACACCTCTGGCCTGTACTCCAGTTCTTGTATGCATAAATAAATAAATCTTAAAAAAAAAGAAAAGCAAATAAGCAAGTCTCTGAGTCACACTTGTTTTCCGAATACATTGTTACATGAGACTTTAATGAGTAAATTTATTTAATGTACAAGATTTAGTCCCTTGAGTGTAGGTAAAAGTCAAATCTCTTAAACTTTAAAAGGAGTATTAAATCCTGAAGATCAGAGCAATAACACTAAATGAGCACATCAGCATACTATACTGAGTCTATAATTCTCCTGATATTACAGACAACCTCATGTTGCCTATCAGCAGCTTCCAGGCTTCCCTCATGGACACTTTCCATAGGCTTCCCTCATGGACACTGCCCATGCTTCTTGGTACTGAGCCTTAATTTTAAGTTCTGTGTGGACCATAAACCCCTGAATGAAGGTTTTGGCTGGTAACTAGGCTGCTTCAAGTCATGCCAGTGAAGCTGATGAAAGTCTTGTCCATTCAGTCCAAAGGCCCTTTGGGGTCTATCCTAAGTCACCTTTCTAAATGCCTTGCTTATACTTTTCTAGAGGACTGGTGTATAGTTTTGTTTCAAATAGGGACAGGCATGTGTTACGAGGAGCTTTTAGTATCCTCATATTAGGCTTCATAATAAATATCATATGTAATAATATTATGAATGCATTGTAAATATAATAAATATTATTATATACTAGGTTTCATAATAAAACATACATTTCACAATAATAATAAAACATGTAAAAGAGAGCAAGATAATCTGGTGCTACTACAACCAAAATGCTTGGTTTATATGTACACTTATATTGAAACCTGGTAACCATTCTTACTAGGAAAAGATAAGACTCATTTAAATGTACCTCCAAATTCTTTAAGGCATTAAATCTATGTAACCCTTCTGACCTATAGGTAAAAAATATCTAAACAAAAGAAAACACAGGTTTTATGCTGAGTGCTCTCATAAATATTATAAGTGCTCTCATAAATAGTTCTTCTTTCTGCCTTTAATGTAGGCTGAATTTGGTGATAGAAATAGACAATACTTTAATTTCTACTTAGAGGAATAGTATGGCCTAATTTTCATTAAAAAAAAACTCTTCGAATTACTTTTAGGTGTTTGCTCAATTTAATTTTGTTTGTCTAAAACACAAGGGCCATGCAAGTATTTATTTTACAAGGTTCAAAAACTGTAAGGTATAATATCTTTTTTTGAATATTCTCAAAACTATACTAAAGATTTAAACATAAGCAGAGAAGAGATTGAAAGTTTGCCTTTCCTATGCATTGCAGGTTAAGCACATGCTTGAAAGACAAACATTGTTAGTAAAGCTATGTGCAGTGGGGTTAATATAACTTGTGAAACCACCATTACCAACACTTCTGCATACAGACAGCATGCTTGGACTGCAGAATGAGCCCTGATACCTTTAGTTCTTTAAGTCCCTGCATGTATCTCCCTTCTACATCCTGTATCTGGTCCTTAAGGTCATAGATATCCTGCAGGACATAGGAATGAACCATTGCATAAAACCATGTACAAACAGATATTAAGTCTCAATGGATTCCGATGAAAATGTGATTTTTCTCCATTTAGTCAAAGTATACAAATGTAACTCTTACTCCAAATGACTGAAAAGGGCAAAACAGGTCAGATGACAGTGAGGCTGGATAAGATCTGTAGTAATTGATCTAAAGTGTTAAAATATTTTCTGTCATTAAATCCTACTGAACTAGATTAGCAAATGGGAATAGGGCTATACATGAGAAAAAGTTAAAACTATAACATTTTTAATACAATTTTGTTTACATTTTATAAGTAATTTAAGTAATTTTTAGCATAATACTTTACCTAGAGCTAGCAAAATCAGTAGTAAATTAATTATAAGCAGCAAATTTTACTGATATGCATAAGTTTTAAAGACTGTAATAAATGGATATAACTTGGTTACTGACCAAAATTAATTTGGAAAAAAGAAAGCAGAGGGAGGGAATATCAATATACTTCAAACACAATGTCAAATGATATAGTCTATCTTGAGGACACTATTTAAATGATGAGAAAAGCTTTTGCTCCAAGTGTTATAGTGTTATTATACTCTTTAGGGGAAAAAATAAAGGTCAATTTTTAAATGGAAAATATCGTTTCTTTTGTACCTGACTCTGCTACATAGGGTCTATTCCAGATGCCTGATGGGAAGTAACTGCCCTATGGCCCTAAATACAATTTTGCAATTACAGGTGAGATAAATTACCAAAGACTGATAAGACACATTTTAGATATTATACTCTTCTATCCCTTTGTTCCCACCTTGGTAGGCTTATCTGTATTTTACTCATTCATTTATTCAACAGACACTTATGGAGAATTTATGAAGAACTCAGGAACAGGATACAAAGGTCTCATTTTCTTCAAAGGAGCCATTCTTTCAAAGAAATACAAATAACTGGCAAGAGGTATGATGTCTCAGGCTGTAAGGCCTTCTCCCCTGGTTATTTGCCCGACTTCCTATTCTACTGTCACTGCCACTTTTCTATCCTCTCCTAATCTCCAGTCTACATTTTCAAGATACCTCTTCCACAAACCAAACTCCTGCTACCTGGCCTACAATCTTATTAATGTGATACCTACCTCTACCTCCTCCTCTACTATGTCAACGGAAATGAACCTCTAAATCGGGCAGGTCCATTCAAAGCCCCAGACATTCTTCTCACCCACTCAAGCACTTTGCTCATCAGTTATCCTTCTCCTTCCTCAACCTTCAGACTCTTTTCTCTACTGGCTCAATCCCACCTTTAAAAGAAACAAAAACCTTCTCTTAACCTCTCTCTGCTATTGACCAACCAACTCCCATCATCCAATATTTGCTTCAGAACAAATTTCTCCCAGTATCTACCATCACCATTTTGACTTGCTTATCTCATCCTCATTGTTCAACCACAGGGTTACTGTTCCTTACCTCCAGTGCTGCAAACTGTGGTCAGTCATCTTTAAAGAATGCAAATTAGACAGTATTGCTCTCCTATTTAATGTGCCACAGTTGTTAGGGTAAAACTGAATTCCTTTTAGGCTGCCACACTAGATGCTTTGTGGTCTGACCCATCGCTACTTTTCCAACCTCTTTTACTCAACACTACTTCTCACGTGTCATCTTACCCTCTGGCCCCTTTGCTGTACTGATAATCTCCAGTTCTCTCAATATTTCTCTGAGGAAGTCTTCCCTCATCAGCTTCTTTCCCTGGCTAATTTTCATTCTTTCTTTAAATCTTAGCTCAGTTTGTCTCCTCTAAAATGCTTTTTGTTACCTCTGCTCTTTCAATGTAGATGATGCTTCTCTTTAGATGATGAATCCCCTTTACAGTCCTATGCTTGCTACTACCATATATCACACCATCTACTTCTGCTGGTATCATCAATGTGTCTTCCCTATGAAAGTGTGAACTCCTAAAGTCCAAGTATGTTGTACTGCCTAAATCTCCAGGGCCACTTGCTTTATAAATGTTGACTGAATGAATACACTTTTTTATTCCTCACAAAAAGCAGGTCTGTAAATAGACATTCAAATACATTTTGAAAAGCGCCATTTTTCAAGTAAAAGGTTAATATGAATGGAAGCTCAACTGATGGGCTAAATGAGCTTTTCATTATTCGGGTATTTCTGTTTTCCTAAATATTATTATGCTTCTATTATGAAAAACCGAGACATAATGGCATCCAAGCAGATAATACCCATAATAGCACTAAAGACTAATAATTCCCAGAGTCTGGTTCTTTGTACATCCACATATTTTCCATTTAAAATATGGCCAAATATTTCTGAGATAATTACTTTCACATACATTAATTTTTTTTTTTTTGACATTTGTAAATTAGCAAAACTCATTCCAATAGCACCACATTTTCAGGAAACAGAAGAGGAAAAAAATTATCTGATCTTCCTTTCAGGTCCTGAAATAAGTCACATTCTTAAGTTGTACTGACAATTATTTTTAAGAATTCACAAGCCTTTCTTTTTACTAAGTCATGAAATGCTAAGTAGTTCCAGTAGACTAGCAAACTACAAATAAGCAAAACAAAAACTGTGGCTTACCCGCAATTCACTTAATGAGGTGTCTGCCTCTATTAAGCTGCTGGTGTCACCGCTTCCCCGTCGGGATGAATTCCCACTTAGAGGGGTTGTTGCTGAGGCAGAATTTCGAGATGAAGGCTAGAAAGAAAGAAACACAACACTGCTAAGTCTTGTTTAAAAATATTTGAAAATTTAAATATATTAGTCAAAAATTTTAAATGTGCTTATGCGACTTACACTTGTGGTTTGCACTGTATTTCCTCTGGATAAAACTAAAAACAGGGCAAGGTTGTGGAGGGAAACCTAACACAGTGTAGACAAAAAAAATCACTAAGTGCAGTCTAAGGCAATTTTAGATCATCTTTGGAGACAGGTATTTAGAGAAAGGCCTCTATATATAAATTACAACTTCATTCACATCATTCTGATATATTTTTGGAATCTAGAATTCATATAAACTAAGAAGGAAAGAGTCTCTGTGGCAGCTGTTTTCTAAGTTTATCTTTGCTCTATTGTAAACACTAGGTTGAGACATGAGATTAATATAAAAGTTTTAGAATGTTTTAATTGACATGTTAATTAGCAGTTCCCCTGTTTAATTCCTTAATCTTCCCCTTTAGAATATTCCAATATTTTGTTGATAAAGTTGGATACTATTTGTAACTCAGAGGAACAATACTTTGTGTCACTATGAATTTAGATTGTTCTAGCCACAATTAATTTATTTTTTATTATTTTTGTGGCCACAATTAATTTAAATGTGAGACTTTATAACTGGATTAATAAGTGGCACAGATCTGTGCTATCCAATATAGGAGGCACTGGCCCAAGTGTGGCTACTGAGCACTGGAAATGTCATTAGTCCTAATTGAGATTCTTTTAAGTATAAAATATATACTAGATTTCAAAGGTTTAGTACAGGAAAAAGAATGCAGTATGTCTCAATAATTTTTCATATTGAGATGATTATGCTAAATGAAATAAGTCAGACAGTTACCAATGGTCTCACCCATTTGTGAGATATAAATAACAAGAGAACAAACCAGCAAAACAAGAATCATCCTTAGTCTCATAACATACTGGTTACCAGAAGGGTTGGGAAAGAGGGAGGAGAAAGTAGGGAAGAGATGACAGGGTTGTGGCACTGGAGAGCTGGTGGAATGTGGAAAAAACGCATACACATATGGAGGTGTAAATTTGTACTCCCAGACTTATAGTTACTTACATTAGTTGGCAAATCAATAAAACATGGGAGAAAATTAACAAAAAAATAATTTTTCACATTATATTAAAATCTTTCTATTAAAATATATTATTTAAACTAATTGTACCCATTTCTTTTTAGTGTATTTAATGGGTATTTAGTAGCTATTAAAAAATTTTAACTTACATATGTGGCTCATATTTGTGGCTTGTACTGTATTTCTGCTGGACAAAGCTGGCACATCTTTTTTTGGGTACAGCATAAAATTAATTCTAATAAATCACTTTCCTAAGATGATTTTCTAAAAATACTTCTAGAAGAAAATCAGGCACTTTAACACATAGTAACTTCTGGAAAGGATTTCTTTTGTTTCATAAAAACAACATGTCTGTAAAGTGAAAAAAAGTCTCAGAATTTTTGTCACCATCATTCCTAAAGACACTTTATTGTCAGTATCAAATGACTTCTTAATAGGATCAAATTCTAGAGGAATGAAAATCAAAAGAACAGTCAAAAATTTAAAAGGTGACATTCAAGGACATAAAATACAGTGTCTTTTCTCTTCCCAGTGTTTCACATGATTCAATTACAGAGGAATGTAGGAGAGCAAGGACAGGAAGTAGATGAAGAGAGGAACAGCAAATCTACCAGTTCATGGTAGTAATGTAAAGAATGAAACAGTAGTAGAAAGTAAGCTGAACTGACACTGAGAACTTAACTCCCTTAGGAATTAATATAACTCACCCTTGTGTAATTTTCAGCATACTGTTTGTCAGATTTTTCATCCAACTAGAAAAGAAGAGAAAAATCAGGAAAGATCCTTAGTGTGTTGATTTTTTTTTGGTGGGGGATATCATTGAGTTCTCCAAGTTCGACTCATGTTTGGAACCTAGAAGTAAACATACTAAAAACTGAAATAAAAGATGTGACAGAAGACAAAATGTCAAAAATTTTATTTCTTCTCTTAAGGAAAATATGGAATAAGTAAGCTGTCCTTAATTTAAAAACTTAGAACTTTAAAGAGAAAACTTCTTTTCATGGTATTTAAAACACTTTAAAGAAAACTATACACAAACTTGGGTTTTAGTATCACAAATGTTAATACAAAGAAACTTGTACACATCACAAGGAAAGCCTGATAAACCAAAACCAAAAAATTTTGCTATCTGAGTATTATTAGGACCCAAGACACATAGCTAAGACTAATTGACATAGCAAAAAAAGTTCAGATTAGACTAAAACATGCAAAATAACATCACCAAAAAAAATTTCCCCACAACATTAAGGATCAGTTGTTTGGTTTTTTTCTTTTTAGTAATACACACACACACACACACACACACACACACTTTTAAAAAAAAAATCAAACAGCACAAAAAGGCATGTGAAGTAATAAGTCTTTGTCCCTATTATCCAATTCTCATTCTAAGGGCAACCAACACCCAAGTCTTTGAAAAATTCTAGCAATAGTATCCCAAATATATTCTGTATCTCCACCCTCCCCCCTCAACTAGTTTTCAGAGATGAAAGTATTTCATTTTTTTCCCCATGGATTTTATCATTCCCTGACCCCATGTATTTATTAATTTGTTATCTGATCTCTTGTTAATGTAAGCTCTAGGTCTGTATGTTCTTTTCTGCATTCCTAACATCAAGAATAGCACCTAGCATGTAAAAAGACTCAAAATTTATTGAAAGAATGAATAAATGAATCATACCCCATCTGTACTTACAGACTTCGCTCATTAGCTATAGAGTATCCTATTATCTGACATTCCATAAGTGAGTTATCCTATCTTCTGCTATAGGCTTAAAGATTGTTTTAGACTCTTTAGGTACCTTAAAGATCTATTTCAAAACACTGATTTTATAGTTGAAGAAAGAAATTCGGAAATGAAATTATTTTTTGAAGGTTGAACTACTGTCAGAGTTACATCCAGGTAGCAATTTGGTAAATTTCAACCCCAGTGTTCATAGTATATTATGTACCGGTATAAACTCTACCAGTTACCAGTGGGCATGGGGGAATCACACAGGGACTTAACTAAATGAAAATATACCCAAACTCTAACTCCTAAATTAACCTTACCCAACCAGTATAGAGAAGAGATATGAAAACCTTTCTCAGTTAATTATTATAGCAGAAAATATTTTATTTCTGGTTCTACTAAGACTACTTCATTCTAACTTCCTCGTATTTGAAAATTTTTCTTTTTCTTTTCATTATCCACAGTTATGTTCATTCTCTCAGTAAACACCTCTCATTAGTAGTACTATAGTAGTACTATTAGTAGTTGGTAATTTTGAAACTATCTTAGATTTTGAAATATTTTTGCTACTTCTTGCTGCAATGTTCTCAAAATAGAACTGCTTTTAGTTCACTTAATTTTTTAAAACTAACCACATATGAAATATTTTTAAACAAAATGACAGTAGTTTTTAATATTGGCAATTATTGCCATGAAAAAGGACAATCTTCCATTGCACTTACACTACTAAAATACACTACCTGATATGTGATATTCTTCACGTTACATCTTCCAACTCTTCTGCTAATGAGTTAAAGGGAAAAACAAGCAGCATTCAAAAACATTCCTCAAGGTCTATTTGAAATCCTGTCTTATGCCACCCTCTCACAAAAATGACTCCAAGCCCACCCATTTGTTAATAGACAGTCAACTTGAAATAATCTTACATTTCAGAGGCTGCATTGCAATGCTGATTCTATTGCCTTCACTATCTTCTGAGAGATCCCAATTGTGGCAACACAAACTGATCATGCACCAAACCTTAGGGATTGTTAAGGCAGCAAAAAAATGCCTAGGGCAGTCTTGCCGCAGTCCAGTTATTTTGGCTGCAGTGACTTGGCCAGAGGCTCTTCAGTTCTCATTTCTCAGACTTGTGCTATATTACGTGCTATCTTCCATTTAGACAAAAAGCTAGTTGAAACATGGTATTTTAAAAGCCCCAGTGCTGTTAGAGCCAAGACAGCTGCACTGCAATGACAAGCTAATATTCATAATGATGACCCAAAGAGCCTGCCAGACCCAAAAAGGTTTTTAAATGCCATAAAATTCAATCATGTTTAACATAATAAAGTATAGAATAGGGAAAGGTTGGTAAAAGAGTATAAACTTTTAATTATAAGATGAAATCAATTTAAAATCAACAAGGGTTGTTTTTAAAAATTCAACAAGGGTTGATTTTATAAATTGTGTATGAACATGGAAAAATGAATATGCACTAACACAAAAAATGTTTATAAGATTTAGTAAATGAAAAATCAGAGAACACAGGCTGTGTGTTTTATATGGTCCCAATTCTCTAAGATAAGCAAATTAAACAAGGAAAAGTACTAAAATCATCAAAATGCTAAAAATAAAAGTGGCTCACAAAAAGGTAGATTAAAATTAAAAAAAAATCACCCCCCAACCAAAACAAAAACAAAATCCAATAAGCAAAGTGCTTTTTTCCTACAAAGGCCCTCAGGACATATTCATTATTCTCAAATATTTTCAAGTAACAGTATGATATTGTACTCTTAAATAATTAAATAGGAAATTTTCCAATCAATAAAATTGTTTTTTGACAGTTGGAAATGGAAAATTAGCTGACAAGCTTGTAATATTTCATTAGTGTTACTGTGCAAAGAACATGGGATAGCAAATTTTATATCCCAATATGAATGAATAAAATTTACAAGTAAAATTTTCTTAAAGAAATTCAGATTATCAACTAGAACACGGCATCTTACATAGCTTCTCCATATTTCAGAGGTAACTGCCTTTTCCTTATTTATGTCTGGGACATCTGAAAATTATTTGTTCTTGACATTATGTAGAACTGTTTCTCTTTAAATCTAAACTCCTTATTTGCTGAAAATAGCACTTCAGACATTCTTTCTTAGAACATATATCTTATGAAGTCTTTGAAACTCTGTTTCTTCTTAAAAGAAAAATATTAGTCTCTGGTTAAGAGGCCATTTGAACTTTATTTCAGCTTATGACTACTACTTTGATAATTTTACATCTTACTAAAAATGGTAAAATGCAACTGAATCTTTTTTGAATGGACACAGCATTTTAGTTATGAATGCATGCTGGATACCATCATTTAAGAAAGTTGTTCAAAAATAAACTCTAGTGTTTTGCTCCAAATCACTTTTTCCCCTTAAAAGGACAGAGGGAGATTTGATGTAAGTGAGCTATACATATCTGATGCAGAGCAACTTTCAGCATGCAGCAACCAATTTGTCAACCGTATCAGTGAATCTGACACACTTGATCAGAAGATAAAGGCATCAGAATTTATTCTATTTGCTATTTAAGGGTATAAAGTTGTATTCTAATGAGGTAGATTACTGTGTACTTTGCTTAATGTAGTCACTGGATTCTAATCCTTTGTTACATTTTAATTTATGTATACTAACTTGATAATGCTATTCAAAAAGTCTGAGGGAAAAAAGGAAAGAGAACAGAAGGTCTCATTTTCCAACCACAGAAGGAGGGGTAATTTTAATTACCTCCTAAAGCAAGACTGGCTAAGGATCCCATTCAGAAATGCTTTAATTCAGACATTACAAATTAGAGGCTAATAGGAGTCAAAAGTTTTTAACAGAAAAGGTACACACAATAAACTAGATGTAATATCCATATCTATTTTTTAAAAAAAATATTTATTTATTTATTATTTATACAAGCACTGGGTAGAGTCAGAAGCGCGGGAGGGTGAGAGAATTCACCAGAGCCAGAGTGGGGAGCAGCAGGCGGCACAAGAGGTCTGCACGCCATGTGGGACCCTCCTCCAGTGGCCGGGGAGCAGCCGGGGATCCAACCGGCGCTGTAGAGGCTGCAGGCAGCTTCGCAACCCAGCGCTCAACCGCTGCGCCACTGGGGAGGCCCTCCATATCTATTTAAAAAGTAGGTTATTAAACAAATAAATAAAATGGGCAAATTTTAGGGGAAAGACTTGGAAGTCAGTCTTCTAACTTTGGGGAAGCTAGGAGACTGCTGCACAGTCAGGTTTGAGAACCAAAAATCTGAAATACTTAATGACACATATTTAGAAATATTTTCTAGGATTAAAGTTCAGAAATAGCAATTGAAATATAATCAGTGACATACTGAACATAGGTAAATTATCTCTTCATTAAAAAACTATCTAACTTTTTGTTAAGAAACACTGCATCTCATCAATTAAGTCCTTAATAAACAGGATAGACTGGTCAATGGATAGAATAACACTAATGCCAGTGACAGAGAAGAGGTGTCACAGAAAGAAAATCAGGGAGTTAAGATATCTGCTAGCTGGAGTTCCTTCATTAAGAAAAATGCCTTGAAGACCTCTCCAATGAACCATCTTTCATAAAATCAACTCATGATGAATGTGAAATCAATGGATAGGTATTTTATCAAAATGATGCCATAATCTATCTATGTTTAAAATCTATTTGGATTCTTTGCAGTGACAACAAATTAGTGACACTTTACTAAGTAGTGTCTTTTATCATTCAACCTTCAAAATCTACCTAGAAATTTAGACATTTGCCAAAACAAAATGGAAAGAAAAAATTTAAGATCAATCATGTATATATATATATATATTTTTTTAAAGATTTATTTATTTATGCATATAAGAATGGGGGGGGGTACAGGCCAGAGGTGCGGGTGGTGAGAGGATTCACCAGAGACAGGGTGGGGAACAGAACAGGCAGATTGTCTGAAGTACACTGCTGAGGGGAGCAGCGGGCAAGTCAGGAGAGGTCTGCTGCACCATGTGGGTTGCTCCCAAGCTGAGGATCGCACTCGTGCAGCAGTGGCTGCGGTTAGCGTCTTAATCCCTTGCACCACCAGGGAGGCCCCAGTTTCTAATTTTAAAGTAGTTGTTAGTCACAAGTCTGAAACAATCAACCCATGCAGTCAATACACTCACACTGGTCAAATCTGGGATGCTGACGTCATCCACCTCAGAGACAACACTCCCCCTACGATTGCAGCGACTAAAACAATCAGCAGCAGAAACCTTTCAGTAAGAAAAAATGAGATGTTTTAAATATTAAGAAAAGAGAACAGAAAAAGACCAGAACATTAGTAAAAGGGGAAATGTTTGCATAGCTGTGTATCTATGTATCCTCACATTTTGAGATGAGGAAAAACTGCTGCAAGAAATATAAAAGGATTCCCAAATGAAGTCACAGCTGCCTAAAACAACTTTTACTTACTAAACTAGTATTCTATGTTATAGAGATCACTTATTGCCTAAGGGCCAGCAAAGTCTCCCACATTTAAGACATGCATCATTCTCAACAGAAGGGTTTCTAAGATAGTTTCTTTCTCTACTAGTTTATTTTCTGTTTTCCTTACTAGGACATAAGCTCCATGAAATCAGAAATCTGGTCTTTATGGCTTATCACATTATTCCCAACACTTTAACATGGTGTCTTATATATAATAGGTATTCCATAAACATTTAGTAAATTAATGAATAAATGAATGTTTTTACCTCACTCAGCATTCTTCCTTACCTTAGCTCTGTTTTTTGCTTAAAAAGTATTAACTTTCAGGAAGGGAATTTGGGCACCCAACCACAGAGGTAAAGGAGGTTTACAGGTATGAAGTTATGCTAAGGGCATTAGTATTTTTATTCACAATAATAGAAATACAACTTAGATTTACATATACGTAATGTTTTATTGGTACCTACCCTACCAGAATTTTAGTAGCTATTTCCTATAAAGCAATTTATTTAATCCATTTATTAGGCCTCACTACAGTCATTAGCATCTCCATTGCACAAATAAAGAAAATGTCATTCACATAACTAATAGGTTATAGAATGGCTCAAGCCCAGGCATCATCATTTAAAAGCCTCTACCTTTTCCACTCCATCACTTTCCAAGGCTTTCAGATACCATGGTTTGCCCCTTCTCCTTCACTGTGAGTATTAACATTAATTGGTTTGTCAATGGAAAACTGCTTTAAAATAGAAGACTAAAATTTTTTCAAGATTTATATATTTATTTAATTGTTTATGTGTGGAAGAACTGGGGTGTAGGCCAGAGATACAGGGGATGGGAGGATTCATGAGAAACAGAGTGGGAAGCAGAACTGGCAAATCTACTGAAATACACTGCGGAGGGGAGCAGTGGGCGAGCCAGGAGAAGTCTGTTGTGCCATATTAGTCAGCTCCCTGGCCAGGGATCGAACTGAGGCCATAGCAGTGATAGTGACAGCACTGAGAGTTAACCCCTACCCATCAGGGAGGCCCCAGATGACTAAATTTTTAATGACAAAATCTCAAACACTTGGTATTCCCTTTCTCCACAAAAACTCTGGGCTTATAATCTTTCATAAAACAAGATGCAGATCAAAATGCCTCCCATTTTTCTTAAATGAATTATAGGCTCTTAGTCAATGGGGTATTTATTCTAATCTAAGACCAGATTTTTTAAATTTTGCTATCACAAAACTCTTTAAAAGTTAAGGGTCTTAACAGAGGTATAGACATTGATTAAGCTTAAATACAACAGTGAAGAAAGCAACTGATAGCAACATGATTTGCAATTAATACTTAGTTGCAATGTAGAAGCATTAATTCTAAGTGAGAAACTTCTGGTTTTGGTGAATGTGCACATAACTGCATTTGCATAAAACAACAAAAAATAAAAAATAAAAATCTTTCAAATACATAATGACTAGCATATAGAGGTGTGAAAAGACAAATTATTAATGAATGCTTACGTAGCCCACAGAAAGTATATATTCTCTTTAAGGCAAGCTAGTCATGTAAACTAAATTGGAAGAAAATGCTCAATTTGTCAAGTGCAAATGTCACTTTCCAATAGATTTAAAGGGTGTCATGAATCTGTTGCAGTTCTGAAACTTATTTTATCGGTCTGCATGCAAATCATGCTCACCACACTCTCCCTTCGCCGACGACTGGCATGACCAGAAGACGCAATGCTTGCAGTGTCACTGTCGGTAAACTACAGATATTAAAAGAAGATAATGAAAAAGATGGATTTCACTACAGGCCCACCTGATTGTAAGCAGGCAGGTAAAGTTTAGGAAGCAGACAAATACTCTGTATGTGTATTACAGCAGACACCATTTATTGTGTACCATTAAACACAAAGCTCTTTCAAGGCACAATGAAATACCATCAAAAACCAAAAGATTTTTTAAAAATACAAAAATTAAGTAGGATTTATCTTCTATTTAAGCTAACTTGAAGAAATAAAAGAAGTGTGCCTGAGTAAACTAGCCACTGGTTAAAGATTTCTTGCTTGTTAAATCTCTAGGCCCCTTGGGATCCTATCAGGGCATCAATAAATATACTTAATGTTTTAGCTTGGGAAAGTAAAAGAATATTTTAAAGTGAAATAATGTAAGTCAAAGACAGAATTGCCTACCAGCAAGGACAATGAAATGCTGATTCTTATTTTCCTTTATTCATTCCTATGCAACTAGGGGAAATATTTCTAACATTATCCGAGAGTTTTCTTTCTATTTCACCTGTAGTAGAAGATTCATCCAGTTATCTCCATTCTGACATCACTAAGAAACCATTCAGGTATCACTGAGGTAATAATTCTGAACCAAACATGCAAATGAAATAGCAATTAGCTAGTACAAAAGGACAAGTTTCTACACTTAAATATATTATTATTATTATTTTCCTTTTGCAAGGGGCCATCACACTTGGACATTAAAATACTATTGGGCAGAAAAATTGCCATGAGGCATTTCATTACTGGGTGGGTTAAAAACAAACTTCTTCCTTAAAATGTGAAAAAACCACTATCTCCTTAAACATCCATGTGTAATATTTTGTTAAATACCAAAACAGAATTCTTGAGAAGTATCACTTGAAAATACCAGGTGGACTGCACCAAATTGTATGTAAAAAGAAAGCCCACACAGCTCCAGTGCCCTATGTTGACTATTAAGAAACTGCTTCAACAAATTACCTAATTTTGATGATGTTAAGAATAACAAGATAGTTCCTAAAGTCATCACTAGCTATTAGAAATGTAAATTAGTACAATCTTTTTGGTGGGCAATATGGTAAATGCATCATAATTTAAACATGAATAGTCTAACCATCATCAAACCACAACAATTTACCTTGCAAATCTACTCACATAAGTACATAAAAATATACTTGGATAAGAATATTCATTGTACAGGTGTCTGTCTGTAGTAGCAAATATCTGACACTCCAAATGTTCATCAATAGGGGAGTGATTTTTGGGTTGTACAGTTTATGTACTAATGGTATGATGTATTGCCCTAAAAAGAAACCATTCTAAATAGGCATTCTGTGGAAAAAGGACATTATTGATATCTTAAAAATCTTTTCAAATGTCAAAAACAAAATAAAATACAGTGAATGATACAAAAAGTAAGAAGGAAAGTTGAAGAACTGTATGAATATGAATTCAAAGACATACTGTTCAAATAAAGGGTATTCATATATGTATAAAATATCTCTGAAAGGATCTATAAGAAATTGCCTTTGAGGAATGGATATAGAGGGGAGGGGAAAAGGCCTTTCACTTTGAACTTTGCCTAAACTGACATTACTTTCATAAATTAAAGAGCATTTTTCTAATACTCCAGAAAGAACAAGTGATTAGAATTGTCCGTTTTGTCTTTTATGTAACACTTTATAAAAATTGACTTGCTTTACTTCTTCCACGCCAGTGACTAAAGCACTGGCAAGCAAGTATAATGACTCAATGCAGTGAACAAAGAAAAAAAAAAACGGAAAGGAGAAATAGACTAGCCAAAGCATATACAATAAATTGTCATCACTGAAAAGACAAGAAGTTCTGCACAAATTAAATGTATTAATATTTTTTAATTCTAATGCCTCTGGTTCCAGACTCATTTAAGAAATTACGTGCTGAGTCAAATTCATACGGAGACCACCAATTAGGAAAAATTAGTACCTGAGTTTGTGTAATGAAGCAAAACCATAATCCATGCACAAAAGAGTGAAACACACCACATCCTCAATATTTTAAACTGTGAGTACAAATTAATGAAAACAACCCAAAAAAGTTTCTATAAAGCATGCAAACAGGTAAGAAAGCTCACCACAGGACTGCTTCGGGTTGAACTTGTTCTTGATGAGTAGTAACTGTATTCTGATGGCTATAAAGTTTCCAAGAAGAAAGGTTTTACAACAATGATCAGCTCCTTTTCCTGCTGGCAGTACGTAGTGACCCTTGGACCTAGCTCATCCCTGGCCCCCAGGGCGAGCCAGTAACTATTACTCCCAGGTCTGGGATTCCCATCCTCAAGATCCATCAACCCCAAACAATGAAGGAGCTGCCCTGAGAAGCACTGCTCCACCTTCTGCCTAAGTAATTAATGAGCAAGAAAAGAGGTTTCTTTACTTCTATCTTCTTTATGCTTGAAGCCATGATTTCCAGCCGGCACTCCCTCACAGCTTGGGTGAGAATCACGACTGGATAGCTGATGGATCACAGCTTACAGGTCAGATTAAATAACTTTTCCTTTGTAAGTAAACTGTCCCCACCTACACACATCCACTACTTGCTCCCTGGTAACTTACGGTTCGAGAATCATAAGGGCTATATAATCCACCATCATACAATGATGCCTAAAGAACAAAGGAAATACTATTTAGCTATTCAACATCAACGTTATTTTGAAAATGTCGTAACTTCTTTGTAGCATTCTGTTTCAAAAATTTTGAGAAATTGTATAAGTGTACAGTCTCTCTCTGGTGTAAGTGTACAGTATAATGGTATAAGTGCATAGTATAAGTGTAGAGTCTCTCTCATTTATATCTCATTTATATCATTATAATGGTATAAGTGTACAGTCTCTCATTTTGAAAATGTCGTAACTTCTTTGTAGCATTCTGTTTCAAAAATTTTGAGAAATGGTATAGGTGTACAGTCTCTCAAGGGGAAGACTTGTTTAACATAACAAGTTATGTTAACATAACATAACACTCATTTGTATGCAAAATTCCTGCATTAGTCTCATTAAAACCTCAAGTTCACACTTGATTTAAGAAGCACCACTGGTTACAGTGCTTCTCTTCATCATGTTATCAACCTAGCATAACTAACATGAAGTTATTCTCTCGAAAAAGTAAATAAAGCAGAAAAGAAAGTGAGGTACAGAAAGTATTTTGCCACTGTCACAATAAAATTAAGTTACAAAGTCTCAGGTTCCCAGTCCATTTGAAGAGGCCACAACACTACAAACAACAGCTTGAAGTAACCAACTCACTACTCACACATTACACAGAGCTACTGTCTTTGCTTTTTAGTCAGTTTGTTTTACTACAGTCTAGAATTAATGTGGCCAAGGCCACAGTTGTCTCAAAGAAAAAAGTGACATCCCGTGCATGGGCAGCCATCTCACAAGAATAAGCAAGAGTAGGGGGACCCATGCAAATCTATCACCTCTATAACAGGAGAGTAAAGTTTTAGTTTTCACACTACAAATACACTAAATAATAAATATACTAAATAATAAGTACACTGAAGTTTTGTATTTTAAGCACAGGCAGCACATTTTGCAGTACACACAGCATCAGTGTCATGTGTTCTTGACAATTCTGGAGGAAAGTTATCAAAGCAGAGTCAGCACCAGGACAATGCGCCCCCCTCCTCCCCACACCCCACCTCTCAGAGCACACTGGCTGGAAGAATAAAATACAAACCAGACTGGCACTTCTGGACAGACCAGAATTTGTAGTAAGGGAGGCCTAAGAAAAAAGTGCATGATTTAACCCAAAGAAAAAGCAACCCGTAACTCTGAAGGCAAAACACATCTCAGCAAGTACTAACCCTGTGACTCTTAGATGTCGCCAGAGGGTCACTATACAGGGAAGAAGACTGCTAAGAAACAAAAACAAAACAAAATAATTAAGCCAATAAAAAGGAGGGCGGGGAGACTTGGTCTCACCACCATAAGACAAAACTTATGTTTATGTTACACTCCATAATTCATTAGCAGGTCATGAGTGCTTAAGGTAGTTCAGCAACACATAAAGTGAGAAAGGCTTAATCATTAGTAATCTTTTTGAATGTCAGTCTTAACAGATAAGAAAGAAAAACAGCTGCAACAATTTTTCTATAAATGTGTTTATGTCCTATTGGCTTTAAACATCAATGTTAGGAGCTGGAACAGCAACCTAAGAAAATACTCAGGAAGAGAGGGCCATGGCATGGGGGTGTGGCAAACAGTGGCTGTACCCTAGTCACCAGAGGCTCCTGCAATATTTTCAGTAAGTTAGGAGTCAGGAAAGACTAACAGGTTTAGCCTGATTTAAGTTCTGAGTTACCACTATTACCACTCTTTTTCAAATAGATTAGAAAACCTATCAAAACAAGTGCCAGACAAAGTACTGTAGTTTAATCAGATAAGCCATACTGGTCACAATGAATCCATGCACTAAGGAGGCACAGCATTTTTAAAAATCAAATCTCTCTTTTCCTGATATTACTTGATAGCACAATTTTCAACAGCAATCAAACATAGAAAATGAGAATATTTAAGTTATATGTGCAGGTTTTGAAAACTGAATTACTTTAAATGTATGATATGCCATATAGTTAATGTGTGAAATGTCAAATGCCTTGGAAAAAACAAGGGAGTCTAAACAATAAACAAGCAATTATATTCGTCTCAACTCATTTATAATTTAGATTTCACACATAAGCTTTTATTAAAAGGTCATCCACCATGATGTGTCCTGATACCTACAACTTATTCTGAAATATATTTGCCCCCCCGCCCTACCCAAAATGGAATGATAGGTGGATAGACAGAAGATAATTACATAATAAAATGTCAATTGTAGAATCTAGGTGGTAGGAGGTACATGAGTGGTGTAATATGCAATTCTTTGAACTTTGCTGTACGTTAAAATATTTTCATTAAAATTTTGTTTCATTTTGGAAAAAAACTGTATTAGGATGATTCAATAGTTCCCACTGTTAAAAGATACACTCATAAAGATTACGTGAATTCAGTTACCACAAACTAGTATATAACATAGCCATTCCCAGTTCTAACCACTCAAAATGCAAAACAGAGGATTAGAAATATGTTAAACATGGATGAAACATGAAGCCAAAAAAACTTTGGACAAACCCGAGTGTGGTAGGCATAGGTGGGTTTGCTATGTCTAAGACTGCTATAGTTTCTCTGGTCAAAGTAGAGGCCGCTCTGCAAAAAGCAAAATTAAACACATTTTTCTTAGGGATTGCCTAACTTTCTCCTCCTTAAAGGCAATGGATCATATTTAGTAAAAGTTAAAATAACAATCACTTTAAGTCACTCACTTTAAGTCACTTAGCTGTTTTCAAAGCAAGTCATTACTAATTTTACTTTAAAACAAAAGTATAAACTGTTAATCAAAATGGAATGAAAATAATATTTGGCATATTTTAAGTCATACTTAGGAATTTTCTTTAAAAATCCAGGAAAACTGAGTAACTTCCACTTTTATAAATCATTTGGCACTGGCAAAGAAGTTATTAAATGTTATTTTTTTTCAAACTTCTCTTAGTATCATTTGTGAAAATAAACTGATCAAATTAAATGACCAGAGTGAGCATCAACTAAATATGGTTTGATCTGAAACATCTACAGCAGATACATTTTAATATATAGCACAAAACAATTTTATACATGGCCATAACTTGTAGTGGAGAAAATCATCTATAATATTCCCTTTAACACTTCTTCATTCATCTTTCTTAGTCAAGGTTAAGAAACTTAGATAATCCTTGACTGACAGGCTCCTCCACTGCTGGCATCACAATAGGGGACACCACATTCCTGCCACTCCAGGCCCTTCCTTCCTTTACTACACCCTTAAGGTAACCTGCCTGATGATCCCCAGAGCTATAAATACTTCACACTCTAGGACCACTCACAAAAGTCCTCCATAACACACTCTCTCCTCCCTCCCCCTTCCCACCAGGAGAAGCTTCCAAACCTTCTCTCCATTCCAGCAAGGTTCAGAGCTCTTCCCATGGGGACCCTGAGTGAACAGGGAGTTTGGGACTGCACTTCCTCTGCCAGTCCAGTGGCAGCCTAAGAGGAAAGGGTGTTCCTAGCAGCCCAAATGGGCACTAAATACATTTCCCCCCATAGAAATGCTGCTTAGCAAGGTGGCTGGGTTGGAGAGCACTACTGGTTCTGTAGCTTAATTACACCTACAAGCTAAAGTGTTTTCTGCAAGAGAGCATGGGAACTCTGCCATTGCATCCTTCATTTCTCCCACAAAATTCATTCCAAACTCCTAAAATCTGACTTACAAACAAACATTCAGAATTAAACCTGCTTGTGAGTTTGGTACTATCTATAATCCCACAACTAAATAAATACAAATGTCTACAATAAGAACGTCATTAAACTTATTCTTGAGGTATATGACAAAGGACAGATAATAAACGCAAATACATTGTTAATGAACTACTTGTCACAATTCCCTAAGTCTAGCCCAGAGATTAGCATATATTATTTTGATATTAAGTCATGTAAGTGAAAGAAAATTCTTTTTCAATAAGGTTCTGATAAATCATATCTTTGTGTACTACCAAGTGTCAAAATGCCTTAAGAGCTCACCAAAAAAATCATAATCTTTAGGTTCCCTGTAAGTAACCCACTGAATTTTAGAGCAGCGCAAGATATTGGAATACACAACAGAACTAACCAGTAGGTCTTTATGAGAACCAGAAGATCTCTTCTTTGTTCCATAAGAGTGACTGTAAGAATGATTCTGGAAGCAAATATTTGAAGTTAACGTTATGATTATAAAGTTTTAAAAATAATTTAATATTATTAATCTCAAAATCATACACAGAGAGGTACACGTGAGATAGTCCACATGCAATCAATTTCTCATTTGTTAATAAATGATTCACTGCACTTCACTGGCTAAAACAGATGGCTTCTCTATACATCTGCATTCTCCCTCATTGTCCCCTGTGCCATCCAGCTCAGTGTCTAGTCAGCTAAAAAGAAAGTTTAATTGGGACCCAGTGGCAGGGAAATTTGTAGAGATCTTGATCCCAGACTTCATTTGATTCCCTCTACCTTCTCTATAAAAGTATGGCTGACAAGAGTCCATCTTCTTCAATAGTCTTTCTCATCTAACAAGCAAATGCCAAAAGCAATCCTTTAAATCAACCCAAACAATGTTGAGAGATTAAAGTCTATGACATCACATTACACCAGGCAGTGTGCTAAACCCAGGTTAATGCTCCCACAGCTTGTGCAGGTTAGGAGGAAAACATTCAAGGAAGATGGTGTGGGTTGCCCCTTAAAGCAACAGTATTATTAGATAGCCTTACATACAAGTTCTTTGAGGATGGCACTGTCATAATAAATAACTTCGAGAAATACAGAGCCATGAATTTATGAGGGTTTGATAAACACTACTAAATAGGTGATACTACTAAATAGGTGAGCTGGTAGATAAGAAATCCAATCTACATATGCATGCCTTGCCTAAAGTGAGCAGATGCAGCTAGAAGTGCCCTACCTATCAACAATCTGCTCCAGGCAAACTATTGACTTATACATAGCTAGATAGCAAGTCGATGATTATAAAGTCATCTTTATTTTTTTTGATATGCATAATCTTTCCTTTCATGCATTACCCTGAACTTTTTAAAAGATGTCCAAATAGTCTAAAATTTCAGGCAATCTATAAACATAATATTAACCCAAGAAAAATATGCCTTGATTTCCTTGGCTAAAAAGACACACCTTTAAAAACAAACCAAATTAAGCACAAATGAGTGGATATAACTGATATTTCAGGTGTCATATGTCACTGCTGGGATATTTTCTGCTTAATAATTTCACACCTGCTAGCTTGTGGCACATAACATGAAACACAGGTCCATGCTGCTATATTTAGCGTGTGTCAAAATACTGCTAGAGACTTGTCTTCCAGGGCAATGAATGTGTGACAGGTGGGTGGTTCATCATTTCAAGAAAAGATATTACTACCAATCTTACTCCTGAATAGAGAAGCAAATAATTTTTATTTGATTCAGAACTCCTAAGAGGAAAAAGTATCCAAAGATTGATTTTAAAACAATAGTTTCTGCTTTGTTAGCCATACACTGTTTCCAAAACATCATAACAAACCTGTGAAAGTTAGTCCTAATCTACGATTAGCATCATCAAGTGTTCATAAAACTGTACATTTAACACAAAATCAAGCACTACATACTAATGATGAAAGTCTTGAAGATTTATCGTTAAGAGCATCATACTGGATTTCAGAAAAAGGTGAAAGTTGGTTGTATTTCCAAAGTCAGAAACATAAAGAAGAAAAAAGAAACATTTGCAAAGTTATTAATAAATCCAGAACTATTTTAAAAAACAAAAAACTATTATATACAAGGCTGGTACACTTGAATTAAAGACTATTCTTCCCCCAACTCCTTCCTAGTATGAGTTATTACTAAACTGTAAGTATGTATAAAATTGCATATTCTCTTTTGAATATGAAATCATATTCAGTAATGATGGAATGATCCAATCTCAGTATACCATAGCACAAAACACACTAAGGAAGCCTTTAAGTGCAGAAGTTAAGCACTCTGAGTCAAAAGAGGTTGATTTTGATTGCTACCATCATTTCCCATCAAATGAAATATGGCAATGGCAAGACATGGACAGGCAATGAACAAGAGCACATGACTAATATCATCAAGCCTGCCAAAAAAATCAAGCTTCCCACTTAAGAGAAAAGAAAAAAAAAAAAACCAACACCAAACAATTGCAACATCAAAATGGGGGTTGTTCCCTTGGATCTGGTTCATGTACACTCACAAAAAACTTCCTTCCCCAAGAACCTCCCTTATTAAAAATGCTGAACAAAACCAGAAACCTTGTCAGAGCAAAAGCATGGAATGCACAAGTTTGGCATTAAATGTAAATAAAACTGTATAAAATTTATAAAACCAGAGAAAAACACAGTCTTTAAGAAAATAAGATAATAGACATACACCACATTTAAAACCAAAAAATTGGATTAAACAGTAACTACTTAGATTTGTGGTTTCCCAAATTTGTAAAAGCTTATATTTTTAAAACAATCTTACTCAAAAGCGCCACATTTTAAGACAATCAAAAGCAGGTAGTCTGGTAAAATATCTTTCTTTTGCAACTCTTATATCCATTTAGAATTTTTGGGAACACTATTCAAAAATTTCATCTAAAATAATGTTTTTCTAAGTATACCTTGCAACTCACTAGTTTCCATAATCAGTTTATGATTTCAACCAGCATTTTAAAAAAATGACACAGAAGAGAAAATATTAGTGTAACATGCACACTAAATATTATTCTCTGAAGCTTTTGTTCAATAATATATTTAAATACTTATATGACATATACATGGGCACATATCTGCAACTGTATACTGCATCATGGTGTAAAAATGAATTTCTCTTTTGCAGCGATGACAATTTTTGAAAACTTAAACTAGAAGACTAAATTAGATAGTCTAGCTCCAATACATTAAAATCATAGTTCAGACAGAACAAAGGCCCTTACTTCATGCCCAATGAATAGTCATGTCTTAATTCCTGACATCCTGTCTGTAATACCAACAAATTTTACAAAGGCATAGAATTTAACAACTCAATTGAAATGGACCTATTTTGTTTCCTTTTCCAGAGTATAATGCCGAATTTAGCTGGGTTTTAAACTATTGCTGAATCTATGTATTAGGGAAACCCATAATTTGGAAACCCCAGTTGCTATTAGAACAATTAGGTTAACAAAAAGAACCACCCCCATCCTCACCCCCCCATGCCCCAAAAGTGGCAGTTGGTATCTGTGTCGTTTAAAAACAAATGATTCATCAAAGGACAGAGAGCTGAAAATATTAAGGGTTTTATCTAAAACATTTTCAAATCAGCTATTACTATGGATCAAAAAATTGCTTTAACTCTCCAAGAAACATGCCTGAAAGTTTTCATTTGGAAACAAAATTTTTGAAAAGTATAGCAAACAGGTTGTAGAAACAAATGCAGCAAGTGTCAATTTCTATTAGAATGTACCTATTACTCAAGTCACTGGAACTCTGAGAGTCAACCATGAATGCACAATACTAGCACTACACATGAGCTACACACCATGACATCTTTCCTTTTGGGTGTACTGGCTCTGCTCCAGTGTGCCCCAGTTATGTCCTTCGATGGAGTCTTCAATGGAATTAGGCCATGTAACAGTAAATGACAAAAGACAAATTGCAAGCATATTAAAATTAAACTCATCTTAAATTATAACTAAATTCATTAAAATTATTTTAAGGGCATTGTTATGTGAAGAGGAAATGATATATACACCAGCAAAAATCTCCAACAAAGAAAAACAACAATGTATTCCTACTGTTCTCATTCAAAATCACCTCATTTTCTAATTTTTGAATGCCTACCTTAAGTCTTCCTCTACATCATTACATATAGCAGTGACCAAACGTTTGAAAGATTGTCTTAAAGAAACAGATTGTTTCAATTCTAAGCTCAGGGCATTGATTTAATCCTCCTTCCCCCAAATCTACCATTCCCAGTCTTAAACTCTCTTGGCTCTTTTGTTTTTATACAGAATGTCTATAGCACTAACACCATTTGTAGCCCAAACAGTTTGCGGCAGGTCACCTTTCAAGAAGGTAATACCTGAAAAGTTAAACTGACAAAAGGAAAGATCAAAGTCCTAAGAAGGCATCTTTTAAAACCATAAATACATCAGATACTGCTTATGTTCAAACATTAAAGACAAGGAAGGTCCGAAATTGTTATACATTTTAATACATGTAAAAGAGTAATTAATACACATAAGTAAAGTTTAAAATAAAAAACCAACTTCAGAGAAATACCCAAACCCCAAAATTATACAACAAGGCACAATTACATTTAGGTCAGTGTTTTAGGCCATCACATTTAGTTTTATAGACAACAAAAGTTGTGTACATATTGTAGTTATTTTAAAAGGCAAAAAATCTGATGAAAATTTAAAACTGCCAATATTAATGGTTAAGAGAAAAAGGAAAAAAATATATCTCGATTATATTTCTTTTAAACAATATTATTAGTAAGCGTTCACATTTTTAAAATGTGTTAGATATGTACATAATAAAGTACTAGAGTCTCTTTTAGGGTGTAAAATTTTATTAATCTTTAACTTTACATACTAATTTTTAAAATATTGGGAGCTTTTCTCTTTTTTCCCATGGTAACAAATTTTCAGTTACCATAATGAAATAAAATACTATGAAAGTTCTAGTTATGTCTTAAATTGCTTTAATAATATAATTTCCATAGAAAGGAAATCAACCATATTATCTTATAGACATTTCTGGGTAAATAATTTATCAGTTTAATTGTAGATTTATTTTTGTTTGTTTGTAGATTTGTTTTAAATACTTCCAAATTAGGTCAAACTTGACTGGTTTTATTGTTAGCTTAAGCTACTATATATAATTTAGGGCCTCCCCGGTGGCGCAGTGGTTGAGCACTGGGTTGCGAAGCTGCCCACGGACTCTGCAGCACCGGTTCGATCCCCGGCTGCTCCCCGGCCACCGGAGGAGGGTCCCGCATGGCGCGCAGACCTCTCCTGCCGCCCGCTGCTCCCCTCAGCAGTGTACTTCGGTCCTTCTGCCTGCTCTGCTCCCTGCTCTGGCTCTGGTGAATTCTCTCACCCTCCCGCGCTTCTGACTGTACCCAGTGCATGTATAAACAAAAAAAAAAAACAAACAAACAAATAAATAAACAAACAAATAAAACATGCCTCAAGAAAAAAAAAAAAAAAAAAAGCTACTATATATAATTTAATATATAAACTAATTTATAAACTATATAACCAAGTTTTCCTGAAGTCACATAAATCTACAAATAACCAGGTTTCTAATAACTGTGTGAAATGTCACACTGTAAACATTATAACAGAAGCAAAAGAAAAAGCCATGTATGGGCCTCCCCTGGTGGCTCAGGCGGTTGAGCACAGTGCTGTGAAGCTGTCCGCAGCCTCTGCAGCACTGGTTCGATCCCGGCTGGCCTGATTGCATCCCGGCTGGCCGGAGAGGGCCCCACCTGGCGCAGCAGACATCTCCTGTCTCGCCCGCTGCTCCCCTCAGCAGTGTATTTCGTCAGTCTGCCTGTTCTGTTCCCCATTTTGTCTCTGGTGAATCCTCTCACCAACCTGCACATCTGGCCTGTACTCCGGTTCTTGCATAAATAAATAAATAAATATTTAAAAAAGAAAAAGCCATGTATTTTAAAAAGATGGATAGAGAGGATTATTTTCAAAGCCCTCAAAAGCCAACTTTTAAGTTTTTGTTGACTAACTCCCCATATGATTCTTTTCAAAGTAGTTAAAGATGGGGAAAAAACCAAAACATAAAATGAATTTATTATCTTTAAGTTCTTTGTCCTGTAAAATCATTTTTAATATGATTAGATTTCAAGAAATGATTTGTATTCTTCTAAGTCTAAACTTTTGTATTTACAGCCAAAATATTTATGATTCAAAAGCTAAAGAGATTATATTCAAAAAGGACAGTTTAAGAATACAATCACAACAATAACTATTATACAAGAACAAACTCAGTTATTATCATGTATTTTTTTTTTTTAGATTTATTTTAATTTTTATACAAGCACTGGGTACAGTCAGAGGTGCGGGAGGGTGAGAGAATTCACCAGAGCCAGAGCGGAGAGTAGAACAGGCAGAGTGACGAAGTACACTGCTGAGGGGAGCAGCGGGTGGCAGGAGAGGTCTGCGCACCAGGTGGGACCCTCACCCGGCGGCCGGGGATCGAACCAGCGCTGCAGAGGCTGCGGGTAGCTTTGCAACCCAGCACTCAACCACTGCGCCACCGGGGAGGCCCTATTATAGTGTATTTTTATATATTATACCAAATGGGAAGAAAAGTAGACTTGAGGAAAATTAAAATACAGACCTTAATATGAAAGATGACTCTAAAGATGAAAGATCTAGATGTAAAGCTATATACAATTCAATGAGTACATTTAAATCATTGCTTTAAAGTTTAATTAAGGAGAGAGATCAGTCTTTTGGCACAATATGCAAACCTTTAGTGAGTGACTTTCTCATTTATCTAGATTACAACAATGTATGCTAAAATCCTGAGACACACTAAAACATTAATCAAAATGTTGAAGCATGAAACTTCCTATAAATATGACAAGCAAGGAATTTTTCAAGTCAGAAGTTCAATTTTTCCATGTTATAAAATTATAATCAATCACCAAACCCCAAAGCTATTTTCCATTTAATAAATTGTCATTTTTAATAATATGAAAGTAGAAAAAAATCAAAAGTTAAACAAAACACTTTCATACTATAAAATCAATCTCACTATTTTGTGATAATTTGCAAAATTAAAGTTTTTTTCATAGGACAAGAATAGACACATAGATTTTAGAGCTGATTTACTTAGAGCAAAAATTTGGAAGCATGAAAACACTTTGCAATATTTACCATCTATTTTAAAAAAGGCAAGGGAGTATGCGAACACTGTCAGATTGTTAAGCAATGATTCTACAGAATATTCAGATATAAGCTTTGCTACCATGGCGCAAACAACTCAAAATACCAACCCTGTGACTGCCAAGACTTCGAATGGACAATGCATCCTCAACTCCCTGATAAAAATAAAAACAAATACAGTAAAAGTGTGTGAGTGGCTGCATTAAGTTAATGAAGGAAAGTTATTATGAACAAGTTTATAGGTTATTACAAACCAGATAAGGACGATGATGACTGGAACGATGGGAATACCTAGCCCTTTCTGAATCTTCCTGGGAAAGGAGAAAGTACATGAAAAGTTAGTCACTGAACAGAAGGTTATCTATCAGAACAACTGAGCAAAGAACAGTCTGTTAATAGCACAGTAGCACCTTCCTTACAAGTAGATGACCACAATTTGGCTCCATACAAGAAATCTGGGGCAGCCACATGCTCCAGTTATAAAAAGATAGAAATCTTGGTAATATTTTCAGTTTCACATTGTATCTATGTCTGACCACTTGCAGAATGTAATGTGTGTATGACCAAGAGAGCTCACCCTACCAAAATAACAATAAACAAGTATACTAAACAGAAATTGAGTTCAGCATTAAAAGTAGCATTTTAGCTGTTTTTTTTTTTTCCCACTGTGTATACTGGTTTATGCAGGGCAGAAATAAATGTTATCTTTAATATAGATGTAGTTTATGGACAATATATTGTTTTTAAAATATTGGGGTTATAATTCAGTGCTTATGGCACAGAATTTCCTTTTTTTTTTTAATCACTCTAATGGGGAACGGGGGGAGAAATAGAACTAAATGAAATAACCCCTGATTGTGTGTGGATAAAATGAAAAACTACCTATAATTAGAAGAAACTGGATAAATATTTTAGAGTTAGTAAAGTGATCAAGAGCTCTGCTATATGAAGATTGTTTAAAAATAGAAAGAAAGAAATGACCACAGCCTAATAGTTGACAAAATTAAATGCAAGTCTACACTTTTCCACATCAGCTATTGGCACTGGAGCATTAAGTGCTGAGTCATAGGAAATCAAATGACTAGTCCCTAGAACCTAATCAACTGAAACAGTAAAAAAAAAAAAAAAAAACCTTCTGATCTTTCAAATTTCAAAGTCCAAAGTGTTAAAGTAATTTGCACTGACTAAGAATTTAGGCACAACCGTCCAACTGAGTTCACAGTGCTCTTTTCCTAAATAAATCAACTCCTCAACACCCCATGGCAGTATGATGTGAATAAATCATACTGGTGGAACAAATGAATATGGCTACATCACTAGTTAATGCTTTATTTTGGTCATGATCTTTGATTAGAAATACATAATTACAATTCATCTGTTGTGTACATTGGTGTATCTGATCAAATCTGTCATGAAGTCTGTTTATAAGTATCAGCATCATTCAATGTCCAGTATTTAATTCCTCTCTTCCACAGTTAGGAAAACAATACATTTCCATTCCCCTGGACATTCTTAATAGTATAAAGGATTCAAGTCTGAAGAAACAGAACAATAGCTTAGAAAATGGATGTATATTTGTTCAAAACTTTCTGGAAATTTTTATGTTTTAGTATATTTAAATTAAATCCACGGAAATGAGACATACTCTGCTTTTAAAACTGCACTTGAAGTGAGGATGAAGTGGTTTTTTTTTAAAGGTTTATTTACTTATGCATACAAGAGCTGGGGTACAGGCCAGAGGTGCAGGAGGTGAGAGGATTCACCTGAGACAGAGTGGGGAACAGAACAGGCAGATTGACCAAAGTACACTGCTGAGGGGAGCAGCAGGCAAGTCAGGAGAGGTCTGCTGCACCATGTGGGTTGCTCCCTGGCTGGCTGGGAATCAAACTTGTGCTGCAATGGCTGCAGATGGCTTCATAAGTTGTGTCTTAACCCTTGCGCCACCAGGGAGGCCCCGAAGTGGTTTTATTTTAAAAAGTCACAACTCCAAGATAAACCCTAGCCATTTTCTGTGTCAACCAATATTTATTAAATTGAGGCTGGAGTCATTCTTTCAGTTTCAAATTACATAACTTCTAAAACTGCATTTACTCTTTAGGTCACCAACATGTTACTGATTAAGACATCCAGTTTAAAATCAGGATCTCCAGGGTCATGGAAAGTTAGCTAAAAGGGACTATCTGGAGCCTCAGAAAGATGACAGCACTTTTTACTCTGGTCCTTTCATCTTTCCGTGCACTAGCAGATGGGATACTCTTTCAACACTTCAAATTCTGATTCTGCCAATGACTAAGCAAGTTGTAATTTCACCATTCTTTGTCACCTTATCTATAAAGTGGAGATAATGATACTTGTCTTATAACAGTGAAGTGAAAACATGCAAAAAGCACTACCACAGTACTGGCATATAGAACACACTCAATGTTAGTTTCACTCCGGTGCTTCATCACCTTGCTTCCTCATTTCCCAGCCCCACACAAAGAAAAGACTATAACTAGGAGAAATTTTTCATTTAGGAAGGTCCTACTAATAACTGACGGTCCTACTCTTATATATATTGTTTATTAAAATTTATTAGTAATTTAATTTTATATTCAGACTATCACATGCTAACTTCTACTATAAGCTTACAGACAGAAAGCTGCTGATATGCGAGAGGAAGAATCATTTTCAAAGGAGTAGAAGCCCAGTATCTGAGAGGACAGAAGTGATAACTATTCCTACCTAAACTAAGTCCCACCTTCTCTTCATATCCAAATCCCTGTTATTATTCAAGACTTGTGTTACCTGTCAGCTGCATTTTAACCTAAATTGCTCCCCCTCCATGAAAATCTAGCATCCTTACTACCTGAACTGCACACATTTCACACAGATAAAAAAAATGTTTATTATCTCCATGGACTTTGAACATAGGAATCAAATATTAGAGTCAAAATCGGCTTTTCATCTTACTTAATGTTTTTTGGCCTGCACTGACATTGTAATATTAAGTAATTTTATCTTTGAATTATAATACATAATTTTAAAAAGCCTGAATAATTTGATTGAAAGTTTACCCAAAAAGGTGATTTCTTTTACTCACATGAGTGAATGCATCGTCAGTAATATGAACCCGGTTACATGCAGAAACAGTTTAAGTAAAAAAATCAGGCTAGCTTTAGGAGAAAGAAAGAACAGGTTCTACTACGAAGTAACAAACACATACCAGAGAAGTCACTCAATTTTAAAGAACCAAAAATCTTTTCTGTCTTTTCTAAAATGATATCACAATGAAAATTATGATAACATTTTAAATTTGTAAGTTATTACAGTCATAAATAGTCTAATTCTGGTTGTACCAATACAGAAGGGATGCTTAAGAAAATAGTTTTGCAACAATTAGACCCTTTAGAGATCAGACTTCTCTGAGAGTAAGATGATAAAAATAGCCATTCAACACTTTGCATGAGATTTTAAGACTTCACACCCCATACCCCAAGCCATTCACATACCACGTTGAGAAAACTTATAATGGTAAATAGTTGGGGAACTTAAGACTGAAAAGTTCAAATTTAGAAATGATTCACAACAATTAATATTCTGCTGGTTCACAACTTGCTCTTGCAGTTAACAAATATGGGTGGTGGTAAAAGACCTAAAAAGAACTGAGAGAATTGAAAAATAAAATTATCAGAGGAGATGAAAGAGTGACTTGGGTCATCTCTCAATGAAGACCCCACTGACTTAGGTTTTAAAAAGACAGAGAAAGGAAGAGGCAGGCAGGAGAGGGAGGAGAGTAAGGGTGGCAGAGGGTGGGAGCACTGAGGGAGAGAACAAACCTATAGACAGAAAGCACATTCATTTACTCAATCTTTCTTGGTAGGAGCACTCATGAGTGTGAGGCTGCAGATGGCCACAGAATATGGTTGGATTTCAAGTCCACATTTGGTCCACTACAGACAGAAGAGACACTCTGACCTTTAGGTTCAAACATGCCAAACACTCCTACTTTGCAAACTATTAGTCAATGTTTTATTCAAGATTGCATTACTTCAGCAAGTCATCACAACATGCAGGACAGGCAATCCTAGCCTACCAGCCACTTATGAATCTGTCCCCATTTCCGATCAAAGGAATGATGAGAGTGCTACAAATACAAAGGTTTCATAAACTGAAAAGGTTCCAACATACTGCAATTGCCAAAAAGTATTAAACCAACCCTGTACATTTACCCTGAAGGAAATGATTGTTAACTCAAAGAAAGTTACATTCAAAATACAGAAAATTATTCAGCTGCATATGTTCAAGGATAAAAAGACACATGGTTTAAAAAACCACAAATAGAATTTATAATTAATAACTGTCTCATGATTTACAGTGATTTTCAGAGTATAAAAACGTTGTGTTACAATCAAAGAATAGATTGCAACATTTTCATTTCAAGCTAAAAAGTGCATGCTTTTCTTTCTGATAATAAAAACACTGAAATTTTTAAACTGTAGAAAGCCATAAGAAGAAAATAAAGCCAGTCATAATTCTGCACAAACTGAAGTACAGATAGTAATCACTTCTTTTCAGTTGTTTTTGATCTTACATATGGATACAGATTTACACAAAACTGGAGTCCTACCAGTCTTACAGGTTTTTTTCCATGAATATTTTTCACCATTATTAAATATGCTTAAAATTATATGATTGAATGACTTCACAGTGTTTTACTATGTAAATATCATAATGTAATTAATCTAAATTCAAGGACATTCAAGACTATTATAAATAATGTTGGCCTTTTTTAAGTCTACTTTAGCTAAAATAAGTAAAGCACTTATAACACCATAACAGTAATGGCTAAATATGTTTACTGTTACTTGAAACAAATGTTGTGTTTAATTTACTATTATAAAATGGCTTATTAAAATATACACATCACATTGTACTACTTCCAAGGGAAACTAGGTTAACTTTACATGCAAACTCGTCAAGTATTGATTTTTTGGAAGTAAGCACAGAATTACCTCTTTTTGTTGTCGTTCCAGTTCTCTCATGCGTATATCTCTTGCTTCTGCCCGGGCAGCCCGTTTTGCTGCCAGCCTTGCCTCTGCCTGAAAAGTAATACAAAGATTTAGCTTTATTAAAACAACCACCACCACCACTTCTACACCAGCCTGGAGGATAAGGCGTAAATGGGATGTTACCTTTCAAAGGGGGTGAAAGGGTCAAGATAGATGGCAATCTATCAGCAAGTGTGACTGATTTCTTCAGTCACCTTCATTTTTTTCTCTAGTTCTAGAGACTCTCCTGAAATCTATGCCTTTACCTGTAGCTGTCTGCCTTGATTACATATTCAAAACAGTTCCCACAATTCAGTATATGTCTCTCCAAACTTGTTTTTTCCAGAATTTCTTTTGCTATCAATTAAATCATATAAATTAGAAACTTCAAAACCAGTCTCAATTTCATCTTGGGCGTTACCAGTATTCAGTCTCCAAGTACTATCAATTCTCTGACCAATGAAGTTCTCTCGAACCCATCTCAGCTTTCCTTATTCTCATTGTTCTTATTTTCAGTAACTCTTCATATCCCTCTCTTTAAATTGTAATATAATTCAGGGCCTCCCAGTGGCACAAGGTATTAAGTCTCAGCACTCTCAAGCTATCACCAGCCACTGACATGCATTAGATCCCTGGCAAGGGAGCTAACCCACATGGTGCAGCAGACTTCTATTTCTCGCTGCTCCCTTCAGCAGTGTATTTCAGTAGATCTGCCTGTTCTGTTCCCCACTCTATCTCTGGTGAATCCTCTCACCCCTGCACCTCTGTCCTAGACCCCAATTCTTATATGCATAAATAAAAATAAATCTTTTTTAAAAATTTGCAATGTAATTCATATATCACCAAATTCTTTAAAAAAAAATTATTTTATTTATTTAGGCATACAAGAGCAGGGGTGTAGGCCAGAGGTGCAGCGGGTGAGAGGATTCACCAGGGACCGAGTGGGGAGCAGCGGGCAATACAGGAGAAGTCAGCGGGCAATACACCTTGTTGCTTAGCTCCCTGGCCTGGGATTTAACTCATACAGTGGCTGCCAAAAGCTTGGTAGTGCTGAGACTTAACCCCTTGCGCCACCAGGGAAGCTCTATCATCAAATTCTTAAAAGTATATAGTTCAGGGCCTCCCCGGTGGCGCAGCGGTTGAGCGCTGGGTTGCGAAGCTGCCCGCGGCCTCTGCAGCGCCGGTTCGATCCCCAGCTGCTCCCCGGCCACCGGAGGAGGGTCCCACATGGCGCGCAGACCTCTCCTGCCGCCCGCTGCTCCCCTCAGCAGTGTACTTCGGTCCTTCTGCCTGCTCTGCTCCCCGCTCTGGCTCTGGTGAATTCTCTCACCCTCCCGCGCTTCTGACTGTACCCAGTGCATGTATAAACAAACAAACAAATAAATAAAAAAAAAAAAAAAACTTTAAAAAAAAAAAAAGTATATAGTTCAGTGATTTTATAGTATTCCAAAATTGCACAACTATCACTACTATCTAATTCCAGGATATTCATCACCCCAAAAAGAAATCCTGTATCCATTCATAGACTACCTCTTTACCTCCTCCTCATAGGCCCTTACTACCCTTGATGCACTAGGTCTCTATGAATATGCCTATTCTGGACACTTCACATAAACAGATATACAATAGGACCTTTTCAGTTCTTTCTTGGATACTGTAACTGCCTCCAACATCTACTTGTCTCCAGAAAATACCCTATAATTCATCTGTTATTCTGATATGTAAAATCCTCCAAGGAACACATTTGAGAAATGATAATTAAGCTTATATCAATATAAAAGGATCCACTTCAAACTGAACTAATTCTATTCAGGGGGAATCTTACCTTTGGCCTTAATATTTATGAAATTATAACAGTGTTACCAGAAAAATCTCCTCACAGTCAAAGCTCAGACTTCCAAGATGACCTGGTAGATGAGAACTCACACTAATATAACTACCATCCATTGAGCACTTATTTAGAAAAGTTAGATGCTTATTTTCCTTTAATCCACAATATAGCCCACTGAAGAAAAGAAATGTTAAATCACTTGCCCAATAGTCCCTAGATATATACCCACTGGAGCTGAGGTCCACATCCTGAAGATTCTGGCTCCAGTTAATGCAATTAACCCATGATGCCACAACTTACATCTTTACATCCCTATTGTAAAAGCGTATCCCCTGGATAAATCATAAAAAGATTATTTTGAATGAGTTATCCCAGGATTCTCAACTTAGCATAGTCTCTCTTTTCTGTGAAACTATGCCATTCTGGTTCTCTTTATTTCTTTGACTATAACTTTAGCCCAAATGTAGATAATCTTTCCCTCTCACTGCTTGTCATCCCTTCACTCCATATTTTCAACTATCAGCCAATGATAATACCCCAACAAAAAATATTTGAACAAAAATAAAAATGTATGTTTCAAATTGTTTGTGGATCTTCTATCATAAACTATGAATGATTAGGGGCAACCTCATCTTCCCCCAGTGAACATACTTTATTTCCCTATTTTCCAGTCTCCAGAAACAGGACTCTTCTCTTGTGCAAAAACTAATACCTTAGGGCCTCCTACTTTCTGACCAAATCTTACTTGAATCCAGTCCTTGTTGAATTCATTTTAACAGACTCCCCCCTTCCAAATAGGTTCTTACCAGCTGCTTTCACCTAGAATACTTGGTTTTCTAATTTTAACTTCATTTTTTCTATTCCAACTCTTTTCCTTGTTATTACATACCACAAATGTTGGATTAATCTGCCTGGAAGTCCAAGGAGAGAGTGAAGAAAAACAACCCAAAGTAAAATAGGATTATACAAAATGTACCCTCTGATGTCCAATACTCAGAAGCATCCTTATACCCTCTGAATTTTAAATTAGGATTCTGCTAATGCTTCAGTTAAATAAACACAGGAAAATAGGCTAAAATAAACTTGCTGTGGCTGCCAGTGGCATACCAAATCAGAAACACAACGGTGGCCAATCCTATTATAAATTTTCCATCTGTCCAGTGGGTTGACAAGTAAGATGGGATCTATTCATCTGCTGAACAGAGCTCACAGTTTGCTTGGAATTAACCCACAAGTCAAATTTCATCTGGGATTGTTATTTGGAGAAAAAGAAACAGTTTGCTTTTTTTTTTTTAAATAAAGTTGATTAGATCCACCTAACAGTCAAAGGCAAGAGTGTTAACTATAAGCTTTACTATATATATGTGTGTGTATATACATACACACACACACACATACATACATACATATATATATATATATATATAGAGAGAGAGAGAGAGAGAGAGAGAGAGACCCCCTCCATTCTACATTGTGAACTCTTCCATCCTCTCCAGGGACTTTGCCCCAACTATCTGATCTCTCTCTTCTGTCTTCACTCGCTCCCTATCGGGCTTAGTCTTATCTTAAGAATGTTCAAAGTCCCCCCTCCCACCCACCCCCCATCTTTAAAAAACAAAAAGCAAGCTAGCAAAATATCCCATTCTGGTTCAATTCTTCCTTGTCTTCTCTTTGCAGCCAACTTTTCTCACACCTCCCTCCTCACTTCCCACTCTCTTCAAATGACTGCATTCTGGCATCTGCCCAAATCACTTTAGTGAAATTGCTCACGCAAAAGTCACTAATGACCTCTAACTATTGAACCCAATAGAATTTTCCTATTCTTATCTCACTTGTCCTTTCTGGACTTCCAACATCACGGACCACTCATTCCTTCTTAAAGCTATCTTTTTTTTTTTTAATAGAGGCATGTTTTATTTATTTATTTATTTGTTTGTTTGTTTGTTTGTTTGTTTGTTTTGTTTATACATGCACTGGGTACAGTCAGAAGCGCGGGAGGGTGAGAGAATTCACCAGAGCCAGAGCGGGGAGCAGAGCAGGCAGAAGGACCGAAGTACACTGCTGAGGGGAGCAGCGGGCGGCAGGAGAGGTCTGCACGCCATGTGGGACCCTCCTCCGGTGGCCAGGGAGCAGCTGGGAATCGAACCAGCTGGGAATCGAACCGGCGCTGCAGAGGTCGCCGGCAGCTTCGCAACCCAGCGCTCAACCGCTGCGCCACCGGGGAGGCCCCTTAAAGCTATCTTTTTACTAACTGAGCACTAGTGTTCTGGTTTGCCTTTGCCTCTCTGAGCTCCCTTCCTCAGAACCCTCCATGGGTTGGCTCACTTTTCCCAGCTAGCTCCTTACATTTAAATAGAAACAAAGCCAGCTTCCCCTGGTGGCACAGGGTTTGAGCGCTGGGCTACAAAGCTGCCCACAGCCTCTGCAGCGCTGGTTCAATCCCCGGCCCCAGGCGAGGGTCCCACATGGCGCACAGACCTCTCCTGCTGCGCCCACTGCTCCCCTCAGCAGTGTATTTCATCAGTCTGCCTGTTCTGTTCCCCACTCTGGCTCTGGTGAATCCTCTCACCCTCCTGTGCTTCTGACTGTACCCAGTTGCCTGTATAAATAAATAAATCTTAAAAAAATAAAAATAAATAGAACCAAAGCTTTCAGGCTTGATCTGGCTTTTGGTTGGTTTTTTGTTTTGTTTTGTTTTGTTTTTCACTCTCTGTTCGTGCTGATATCAATAGTCTGCAAATCTTTATGTCCAACCCAGATTATTCCCTCCACAATCCTGGTCCAACTGACAGCTATTAAATACTCAGACTAAAATAAGTAAGTAAATAAATAAATACTCAAGACTATCTCACTGGAACCTCAGACGCAATATACTACAAAATGAATTTATCATCTTTCCCTTAAACTTCATATTCCCCATCAGCTGTCCTGTTGCCCCAAAACTAAAAAGAATTATACTAATGTTCCTCCCGCTACCTTCAGTCACTACATCTCAACCCCCTTGCTCCCATTAAGACCCTATGTCTTTTCTAATTTTTCTACCCAAACTTTCTTCTCCATTTACTACAAATGACTTATTTCAGGCTCCACCACCTCTTACCAAGATGACTACAGCAACTTCTTAACCAGTGCCCTGCTCCCTGCCAGTTATTCTACCAATGGTTAAAGCAATTAATTATACTGTAATTCAAACCTGAAAAAGATTTTGCCATTCAGTGGT